CTAAAAACCAACAAGAGGAGAAAAAGTAAACGTGGCCAATGGAGGTCGGGCTTAAACCGTCGCCTGTCTCGGTTTACTGGAGGGGGAATAAATCTGCAGCTCTGGGGAACCAAACACGTGGACTGTTTTTCGCTTTGTTCAATTCATGTGAGGTTACCGATCTGGATTCGCCATGTGTCTCATCTTAAAGATGATTTACCAACCCAAAATCCTCACAAATCTTCCAAATCTCCCACCAGGCGTCATGAAACGAACCTATACCGCCGGTTTTCCCCTCTGGAGCTGAACTGGCTGTGGAGGAAAGCGTGAGCTAACGTTAACTGAAGGAATCTGTCGACCATACAGACTGACTTACACAGGCAAGAGATACTAGAGACAAAACCAAATAAAAATTACATTCAGAAATGAAGAGAATTTAAGTTAAATAAAGAAAGAATAAAAGTTAGTTTTTTTTTTCTTTAGTTAGCTAGCCTGCTAGTCAGAACTCAAGCTAAGTCTGTGGCTCAGCGTGGCTGAGGGAAGATAAACATCCACAGATGCAAGCCTGGCCTAAATTTGCCCAAAGACAGGATAAAGTGACAACTGTTTCAACACAATGTGTAATTAGGGTGGGGTGGATTAAAAATGGTCACATTTCGTTGACTCAAAGGGTAATTTCACCTCTTTTTCAAAATGTGTAGAAAGTTTGCTGTGAACCGCTCCATTCTTGAGAAATGTGGAGTCAGACTTGTTCACAGCTGTGGTGATAGGAACCAGACGTCCAAAGCATATAATGCCTCTAAAAGATACATCACATAAAGTTATTACATTAAATCATTATGGAAATACTGCCCAATACCTGAGACATAGTTTTGCAATAGTTCTGAGCTGAGGTTTTTAAGCATCCATTTATAGCAGGTAAGTACATGCAAGGAGTTGTAGGGCAAAATACTACTTAACATTTGTTTTTCTCGATATACCACTATTTACCATTATCAACATTAGGTGTAAAAGCTCAGAAGACACATGTAGGTACACTGGTCATTTTGGATAGTAAATAAATTTCTGTTGTACACATTGTGATCTCTGATTCCTTCCGCCACCCTTGTAGAGAAATCTGAGTCAGTTAGTTTCTTTTCAATGCTCCAATTCACATCAAACAACTCAAAAGTTCCCCCTTTAAGTATAAAGGCCCTATGTGCCTGGCTCACACAAACTTACCTTCCTTTGGTCATCCCAGGTGTATCCTGTGCTTTAAATGAACAAGGGAATGGGCTGTCACGTCCGGATGGAAAATGGTACACTTGATGGTGTAAAGTCAAGCTTCTGGAGAAAGCACACTTAAGGTAACCAAAAAAGAGGCCTTTTCCTCTGAGAGAAGCATGCAAAGGTCAGACAGTTAAGGGTCACTGTCATAAACTAGCTCTCCCAAGAGCTCCCCCAGAAAAGCTAGTGAGTTCTTGAACAGGGCACACTTTATAAGGAGACGGATGGCCTAATGTGTGTGCATGTTCGTGTGTTAATTGGTCAGCCTTTAAATCCCCAGGGAATAAGGAGAGTGGCCGAGAGAGTGGCAACAACAACATAGTCACATTCCAGACGTACAGCACACAGATTAGCCCCCAATTTCACACTCCATTGTGTCCGTGTGTATACATGTTGTGCGTGGTGGTGACTTTTTTTTCCCAAAGACATTTTGTTTTCTGACTGTTTTGCCTGTACGTTTCAAATAATACCTTGTGTGTGTGTCACATGATGTCCTTGTAAAGCTGTGTCTGTTTTTGTCCTTGTTGATCCTTACAGTAAATCACTGCCAGCAGAACAGCAAAAAAGAGCAGCAAAAATCTGCAGACTAATGTTGGAGAAGTCGATGTCCTGCTTATGTAGCATAACCCTTACGTTATTTTAACCCCAGGCCTTTTCCTGCGATTGTGGTCCTCGTGTTACGCTTTGATGCATCTCTATGATGTGAAGCATTCTCCTGCTATATCGAGGTCTGTGTTTGTCCTATAGATGAGTGCTGAGCAGGCTCTGAAGTGACCAGAAATAGGAAATCTTTTATCTCTTTCTCCCAATCCACATTAGGACTGTCACTGTGAATTATGCTAGTGATTCAGTAATCTTTTTCAAGTATGCAGAGTTTTTTTTAAAAGGCCCAACAATAGAAATGAATTTGTTGGTGAATTCCACCAATTGTTCAGAATAATGTATTTGCTGAGATTTAAATGAAATTTCAGAGCATTTTAAGGTGAAATGGTCCATTATAGAGAAATTTACAAATGGATTTTTTTTTACAGTGGAGGTGATAGAATCATTGCTTATAATGCAGATTTTTAAATGCCATTTTTTTACTATTCAAAACCATCAGTGAACCTACATGTGTCTCGTGACTGCTCCAACATGAATAAATAAAAAAAAATACATTTTAGGCCAAAATCTTATCTCAAAACCCCTTTTAAACAATGGTTCTGTTTCTTACTTTAAGTCCAGTAGGAGAATTTAAAATTTGTAATATCATCATGCAAATTGCCAGTGAATCATTGAGAATGTAAATGTTTATATTTTTCAAATCATAATCGAGTTAAATTGATCAGTTGTGATGGCGGTTTGCATCCTCATAGAAATTAAGCAAGCAACCTGGAGATTTTTTAGAGGCCTAAGAGATTTAATTTATGATGTGGCTTAAAAAAAGATCTAGGTAACAAGTCCCAGTTATGCAATGAATGGGGGGGCATGTTCATCGAGCATCTCGGAGGATGAGTGCTGCTTTAAGGTCAGTAAGGGCAACTCAGCATATCATGACATATCAACGTGCGCATTAGGACACCTGATCTTAGATCAGCGCTTCAACTTTCAGATTATTTATAGACATGGGCCATGGACAAACTGGGTGGAATTAGCTTCAGTAATAAGATATTACTGAATCCTGCAGTACAGTGCACTAACAATCTGATAACTGCTAAAAGTGCTACTGTAACAAGTTTGCATCAGTTGACCAAAAACAATATACAGGAGAAATGGGACTGAGCTTAACTGTTCTGCGTGACAAGAGTACAGGACTTCAGTTGATACTCTTTATAGTCCTCTGAAGATAATGTGAAATTAGTGTGTAATTATGCCTTTCTTTCCCATGAACGTCAAACCAGCCCTTACCTACACTAAGAAAGAGAAAGAAGTGGCTACAAACAGATGAACTATGGGAACACTAGCGTCTTCTATTGTCATCAAACAGTGTTGATAATAATTAGAGGTAATTGTCGCATAGTGGAAGAGCATGTTGAGTGAAAGGTGGCTGTGTTGCAGTAAACAGGGCAGCGATTATACTGTAGGGTGGGAAAAAACAACACTGCATGTGAGAGAAGTTAATCTGATTAACATTTGTAGAGATTCAGAAAGCAGAAAAGCTTTGCTTTTATAGTGATGTGTCTGCAATTTAAGAGACATGAGCATTTACGCACTAAGCACTAAGCATTTTCATCCATGCGTTTAATTATATGTGGAATTACTTATATAAGCACAGAACAAATGCGGTTAGTTGTTTCAGCTTTAAAAGGCAAAGCAACTCACTACTTCACACGACCCCCTGTGTTTTCAATATTAATTTCAATATTAAGTTCTCTTGACTTAATACAGCTCTCAGTAGCCCTACTTTGAAACTGCAGTTGGGTGAACTTTGGGGATTTGTTCAAGCACTTTGAGAGTTTACCTCTTGGATATACAGTACTGTGCAAAACTTTAATTTATTTAATCTCCAGTCAAAACAGCCATACTGTACATGCATTTCATAGTTCAGGAGATGTTTCTGAGGAGATTAGATATAAGAAGGGGCAAGTCAAATGAACATAAGTGAATAAAGAGGCTTTTCCAAAACTGGAGTTCAAAAATGATTAAAACATGGTAACATGTAACTCCTAACCACCATGTGAGACTTGGTAGACCACCAAAACTGTCACCATCAGACAAACAAAGGCTACAAGCTCCCCTCTTGCTTCAGAGCTGAAAAAATTCACGAGTGTTTCTGTCTCTCCTTCCACTGAGAGAAGACAACACGAGTGTGAAAGGATGTGTAGCTGTCAAAGCAGCTGTTACTGAGAAATGGAAATAGACAAAAATGAAGGAAATTTGCAAATTAAAGCTGGTGGTGTTCTCAGAACAATAGACTGGCCACCGCAGTCCAGGAATCAACATTGCTGAATGTGTTTGGCATTACTTGAATTGTGAGAAGCAGAAAATGCAACCAACTTATAAGACTGGACTTTGGAGGTGTGGAAAAATATCCCTGCAGATTTCTCCGAAAAACTGAAAGCAAGACTCCTAGAAGAAGCTCTAATTAAGTCAAGGAATGGACATACTAAATACTGTAAAAAAAATATTTAGTTAAATTCTGTGAAATATATGTTAATATATAACTGAAACTTAATGGCCACTTTGACTGTGAGTGAAATAAATGAAGGTCTCTGACTTGAATGACCGCATATATCAACTGAATTGTGTATTAATGGACCAATTTATGAAAAGCCATTGTGCTGTTCATTGGATGTTACTTGCCATTCTGTTTACGAACTATGTTGCTTGGCAGAGGAATTATTGTTTGCAAATCTTATTAATATTCAATTATTCATTGAGCATTTGTTTGCATGTTTTATTTGTTTACTGTTTTATAAAAGCAGCAAGTCTCTTGAAGCAGCAACAGAACTATTTCAAGGCTCTTCTGATATCATTATTTCTACATTTGTATAATTTCCATTTGAATAGAACACCTGAATCGTTGACTCAGTGAAGGTGTCGGTGGTGTTACTTCACATCTCTTTTCAAAATACGAGGCTGAACGTGCTTTTCAAGAAGAATGTTTTGTTTATCAGTTGTAGACCTTCAAACAAAGGCAGTTACACACAAACTGCAATACGAAAATGGGTGCATTCTTTGGATTTCAGCGTGTTTTTTATGAGACTGTTTCAAACCGCATTGTCGTATCAGCTTACGTAAAGAGCTGAAGTGCTAAAAATGCTGTAGAGTTGTACCTGAAAATCCTGAGACGGTTTCCTTGATAACAGGACAGACGTTGAAAACAGTAATAAGTATTCCCAGTATTAAAGAATCCCACAGTGAAAGTTCAGAAATCCAGGTGTATGAAAAGGAAAACTTTGCCCAATTCCTAAATTCAAATCCAAATTGAGTCCATTTTCATCCATTCATTTTCTAAACCAAAAGAAATAAAGAACAGCCTCCTAACAGCGTGCTGCTACTGCTGCCACTCACTTGTGATGGACAACAAGGTTGTTCACTTTTAATTTATAGCATGATTTACATGAGCACATTAATGCTTAACCCATGTTGGGGAGGCAAGGTTAGGAAATATGTGTGCACGGTGTGCGTGTGTGGACGGAGCGTACAGTTACAGTTAAAACAGATGCCACGGACAAATCTTTCAACATCTGGAATTCATCCGAGCTTTCAGGGGAAAATCTCATGACTTCAGCTCGGCTTTCAGGAGATCAGGTTTGGTTTTACCTTCTTCATATTAGATCACAAACACAAAGAAACAAAGAGATGTAACCCCAGTAACAGCCCAGTGTGACCAAACCCAAGGGGCTACAGGTACTGTAGGCCAAAGAGGGGGGCCAACCCCAGCAGGGTCCCTGGGCCGAGGGCACACACGTACAATTGGTATCTTTTCCCTGGTGCAGAAATTCAATAAATGGAAAGCCCTCCGGTCTTAAAAGTTTGTCTGCACGGCTTAAGTGAATTTAGGGGCCAATGCTAGTATGCAGTGATCAGTGCATGGGAAAAGACAGGACGTAAAAACCTTGTGTTTTCTTGATACACTCAAATCAAGGTGAGCTGGAACAATGAATGTGATAGGTTATGATTCTCCTGTGTTGTTTGAGCTGGCTTTGGAGATTTTTAAAGACACAGTAAAAAATGCTGTATTGTGATACTTCAAGATAATTTCATGATACGCAATATGCATCATGATATTTAGCTTTTCTAAGATTTAATAAGTTTGAACAGACCAAATGGAACCTGTAGCACCAAATAATGTAGTGTAATAATAATAATAATAAATCTACAACTGCAATGATTCTTATTCAATGTTTTACAAACTGTGCTGCACTGAATCTAATTAAACAGGCTTTATAAAGTTCACTTTGTAATGAAACATATAGTCATTGTTCTCTAAGATGATATCCATAATATGCTCCAAAATGTATACTGTAACATGATTTATCACAAGAATGATAAAATCATCATATTACAACCGCACACACACACACGCACACACACACACACACACGCACACACACACACACACACACACACACACACACACAACATACTTACAACAAGTGCAGCACATAATAGTTTGTTCTAGTTGGATTGCTTGAACTAAGGGTGTTAACACTTTCATCGGCTTGTTTATCAGAAGTGGCCTCTGGTGGGTTCTCAGGATTCCCTGAAAAAGTTTTCTCAAACCAAAAGATGAGCAAAATTTCCCAAGAAGTCAGGGGGCAAACTCCACCATTACCTCACCTCCCCCTCCTGTTACACGTTGAAAATTAAACTAAGGTCACACGAGGTACAACCAGCAATCCTGGTGTTCTCGTAAGAGATTAATGCCTTGCAGAGCGTTTGCAGTGAGCTCAGTGCCAGGGTTGCCTACTCTGAAGGATTCGCCTTCAGACTCTTGAAATGATAAAAGTTCAGTTCTTTTAGTGAACTTGATGGGAATGAGAATAAAATATATTAGGGTCAATGACAATATAACATCCATTATATATATCACATTATTGTACAATATCTTCATGTAAATGTGTCTCAGTGCATCAAAAGAAAATACTTCAGGCATTTATGCCTTTCAAAGTCAGGTGGTGTGACTGTCCAACAATATATACAGACTAAGGAAACTATTCAAATTGTAATTTTGGTTACGCAAATTTCTAATTAAAATAGTTTCCTGATTTTGTGTTTGAAATCCTTTAAAATCATAACATCGCAAAGTAGGGAAGCTTTAAAATTATTCAACTCTTAAAAATATGTTTGTCTGTAAACTCTGATTTCCTCAAATGTCACACAGCACAACCAGCAACAAAGGGCTTTTATTTAGACATGCTTTTAAAAAGGAGTGGGCAGGCTACTGCTTCGTGGTGCCATTCCAAGGTCACTTTTTAATACGGTTATTTTAAGTTATCATTTTGAATAGTCTTATTTGTCATTGGGTCTGATGACAAGGTCACTGCTGACAAGGTTACTGCTGTAAGCAGAAAAATAACCAAGAAAATCCCATGTCATAGCCTATTGCTTGTGCCACCACTGCCATTCACATCTGCTAAACTAGCTTGCTAACTTGCTGAGCTGCAAAGGAGACTGTGATGGAAGAGCAAAGAGCCCCCTAGAAAGAGATATTTGAGGAAAAGTGCCAGTTTAATAGCTATGTACATGGTTGCAGTAAAGACCACCCCAACTCATGAAAAAACCTCGAGGAGCTGGCAACCCTACAGTGAGAAGAGGAGCGTCTTACACAAGTGGGACTTCTTGGGGTGCACTCCTAGAGAGAGAGCGTGAGCGTATCGCAGGCCAAGAAACCACACTGTAGGAGAAAATTAACAAAGTCTTGGCAAGATGCAAAAGGTCTCATAAATCTTCATTTGCTTCTTCCGCAGAGCAGTTTAGCTAGCAATTATGCTCAGCTAAAATTGACCACTCCGAGAAGTAACAGGCCTGATCGAAGCTATTTTGGTGTTAAAGCGGGCTCAACCCAACATAAACCGATTCACCTACAGAGAACTCAAGTAAGAAACTCAGAATGTGTCATTGAAGCGGACAAAATGTGGATTTTACATTTAAGCCCATGATCACTGTACTGCAGAAGAAATGAATGATAACGCCGAGAAAGGTGAGCTGTGAGACTGTTTTGGGTATTTAGCGCTCTCAGTGTGGTCTTGTTATGTCCCAGCTTGGTAATGTAGGTGATGGGAAACCCTTGCTGCAGATGTCTAACGCTCTACCAGTGATTAAGGATCTCATAGACACTGGCTCAGAGTCTCTCAGTCTGCGTTTAGAGACTAACTCCGCATCCCTGCAAATCTCTCTGGGGAATAAGAAAGGATAAAGTGCCTGCATCAATGCAGAATTAACTGGCATGATCTCTGATATTGTGCAACGTCTCTGTGCTCCAGCTCTCCTGCGCTGGTATGGAGTGTGGAGGAGATGACCATCATGCAAACATGCAGAGTCTACCTGCGAAGATCTGCCAAGAGAACCAGCAAGAACAGCTTTACAGGCCACTTTCACTTTAGCACCATTTTTTAAAATACTGTCAACCACAAAATGAAATTTACACAATGTTCTCGTCAATCAGGCAAGACATGTTTGTTGTCTCAAGTTTACTTCTTTAGTTTTACACTGGAGGCTCTGAGGCTAAGAAATTCTAGAAACTTTTGCTCTACCAATCAGCGTTCTGAAAACTGCACATCTGAATCACGCTGAGTGATCTCAAATAAATTTGCTTATTGTTGCTGTTGGAACAAAACCTTGTATCTCCAAAAACTTTACAGGAGAAGCCAAAAACTTTCACTTTCTTTCATTTTTTAAATGCAGGCACATACTACATACAGTCGTATGCAAACGTTTGGACACCCCTGGTCAAATTACATTTTTCTAATTTTCTAAGTGAAAATAAGTCACCCATCCTTTACAGAGAACACACTGAATTTAACATATTTGAAAAAAAAACAAACAAAAAAACACATAACATGGCCTGTGTTAAAAAAAAATGCCACATTTTATATTTTATATATTTATCTTTTTTCCAAAATGTTAAAATCAGCAAATAAATAGAACTTGATAAAAATTCCATATTTAAGTTTGTTTACTGTAGAGAATGTGTAAACTCTCAGTTAGAAAATCAACAAGACATGTCATTTGACCAGATGTGTTTTAACCTTTGCATGTAACTTTATTTTCTGATGCTAATTGGATTTTGTTAACTACAAAACAAAGAAAGCAAACTTCAGATACCAAACACATCTTGGCTGATTAAATACATTTGGGATAAAGTCAAAACTTTACTTTTCCTTCTTTGTTGAACTACTCTTTTAAGATGTCTTAGATTAAGTGTGTTGCTGAAGTAAATGCATAAATATGCTTTTACAGCAATCCAGAACCTCGAAGACCCTCTAGTTCACCTCAAAGCATTAATTTAGTTAACACATGCTATTAGATTCCAAATCTTCTTGTATGGAAAGAATGTGATGACACAGCAAGTCAGTCAAAGCCAGTCATGAGTTCATCTTCAAATGGTGCTGACAGAGAACTAAGCTAACGTTTAATGTGACCCCAGTGATGTTTAACTCAAATGCGTAATTGATAGTTTTGCAAATGCAAAAAGATCCAGAACAATTATTGAGAAAAGTGATTACAGAACTTCTCCAGTCTCTTGGTTATGTGTTCTTAAGACACATATCTGATCATAAGAGCTGGTTAGTGAGATATTAAAGCACCTTCACATTTTCACCAACTTGCAATAATAATAAATGGATGTGTGTAAGCACCATCTTGTCTCCAAAAACACGTGAAGGTAAGCTGGTCACTACAATGGGCAAATATGTGCTGACAACTCAACTTTATTACTAAAGGGGAGTAAAAGCTTGTTGACTTGGTTGCATGTATTTAAATGAATTGTGTTGCATTTATCATTTTCTGAGTACGTTGGGTGTATATTTATGTGGAAAGGAATCTAATTTGTACTGGAGTTACATTTTAGGCATTCACACTTAGCTTCCAAACTACACTTTACAAACTACTGCGGCACCGCTTTAAGAACCAAGTAGGCATGTTAACAATAGATATAGGGATGGTTACATTTTTCATTTTATCTCTTCAATTTTAGGCCAAAAAGATCCCACAAAAAATAGCGCTTAACAAAGTTCAGTTCCTATGCTGATAGATGCCGGATGTTCTAAGAGGTTCCACAGAAGTTCTAAAGAAAATAGAACCATCTTTCCCCTATTTTTCTTGCCATTTTTCCCAATTTTCTCCCCAATTTAGTTTTGTCCAATTCCACCCACTAGATAGGTCTCTCCCAGTCACGAGATACTACCAGTGCTAGGAGAGTGAATGCTAGCATGTGTTTCCTCCAAGTCCTCTGAAGCCAGCCACATCTTGTCAAACTGCTGCTTATGCAACATTGGACAGCTTAACACGCTTCCACTAGAACGTTAACTGCCAGTTCTGCTATGTTAGCTAACAGACACCTGTGCTGGTTCGCATTGCGCTGAGTGTTGGGTGGGGGAAAGGCAGGGCCACTATACCCACCCAGAGAGGCCAAATGTGTTGCCTTGAACTCCTTCCCCCTATTTTAGTAAATAAAAATTGGTGGTTTCAGAAGTAATAGTCAGCATGCAGAGAGCTTTTTTTCTGCTAAATATGAATCCAAACATACCCTGTTTGCTTGGAAATACACTATATGTTCAACCATATCGGGATAGCCCTTCTAATTAGTTACTTTAAGATGTTGGCTACTGTATTAATTGCTCATGTTCAATTGAGCACACACAGCTTGTATAATCTTCATAGAAAGGCACTGCCAACAGAATGGGATACTCTAGAGAAGCCACACATGAGCCTACGATCACCATAATCAATGTCAAAAGTCAGCTTGAGGGCTATAAAGCCCCCAGCAATAGGCTGTGGAGCAATGGAACTGGGTTCTCTGGAGTAAAGTTCAACTGCAGTTCCTCTAGAGAGACCTGATACTTTTCTGCTCATGTTTGTTTTTGGCACCCAAGTTACTTCTGTGTAATTCATGATTTCACCAAGGTAACAACTGGTTTTATGCCACTCTATCCACCTTGTTTTTTTACAAGCTGCAGTTCTGCATTTTTTAAATCTTTCTCATGCTCAAGTAAACATGCTCTGTGTTAATGTTTGCAGTTCATCCCAAAGGAGGTCAAACAGCACAACTTGGGAGAAATCTTATGTTTCAAAAACAAAGCACCAAGCAGTGACCTCTGCAGGCCATTTTCATGTTTTGTAAAAAGTTGGCAAAAGAGAACCTTTTATTCCACACTTAAAACATGCAGAATCCGAAATATGGATGTTTAAAATAACACAGCACACAAATTTGGGTTTGTGCAGGTTTATCACATCACTCATCACATCAAACACAGGGGAAAACCAAGAGAGGAGTGATGATGAATGACAAGAGTCACGCAAGTCCTGTTTCTTGTATGTTTTTCCCTCTGGAAACATCCAGACACGACAAGCAGATCACACTGGAAAATCTCCATTAGCACTTCCCGTCACCTCTGACTGTCCTTCCTGAATAGGATTTTCCAGGAGAGCCGTTTGCGAGAACTCTTAGACATTCCGGTTTTAAAATTAACACCACAAAATCAGTCTTAACATTACTAACGAGTCTCCAATGGAAAATCCAGCGCAGTGTGTTGGATGTGCTTAAAAGTCCCACAGGACAAAAATGGCAGTGCAGATTATGGCCAACTACGGCAACAGCCATGGCAACCAGAAGATGATCAAGGATCATGTGCGCAGTCATATATTTCCTCTAAGGAGAAGTTGGACAGAGTTAATTGGAAAGCTTTACATTGTGTGTTTCCAGTGTTTATTTTCCAGTGTGGGTCACTCCTCAGCCGGTGGATCATCTGTAGTGCTCCTGTTCTGTTCCTCTTTCCTCGCGTTCAGCTCCTTCAGCCCCTCCTCGAGCTGCTCCACTGCCTCCATATCACCGGCCGCCCGCGCCAGTGTCAGAGCCTCTTCATACAGCTTAATGGACTCTTCAAACTCACCTGACCACAGGACACAATATCTCTATTAAAGGCATATTAAGGTTTATCTGTTATAAACACAATGTAATCTAGACCTATCGCTACAGCAGAAATCTTTTTCTTTGTAAAATATAGTGGCAAACATAACTATTCATCAGAATTGCAAAGAGATTCAGTTGTGTAAAAATGCTATAACCTGTGCCTTTCTACACATTTATTTGCTACAGTCCTTCAGCATTAAGTACAAATACATTAAAATTGCTAGTTATAACAGTTCGTAGTCTCCTTTATGCAAGGATCAATTCTCAAAAGGAAACACCATGATTTTAAATATGAATCAAACCAGTAAAGATCCATCCTTCCCTAATTTTAGTAATTAAAAAAGCGGCGTTAGAGCCAGTAGTCAGCATACAGAAAGAAGTTCTGCTAAATATGAATCCATGCATACTTTGTTTTCCTGGAAATATAAAGAAATATGCTATATGTCTGACACACCTGTCCAGACACCTCTCCTAATAATGAACACAGCTACTTTAAGCTGCACACATTACTGATACATGTGTTCAGTTGCGCACACATCTTGCATAGTCTTCATAGAAAAACTTTAGCAATAGAAAGGGACATTCTGGAGAAGCCACACAAGTCTAAGATCACCATGACCAATGCCAAGCATCAGAGGGTTATAAAACCCCTGAGCATTGGACTGTGGAGCAGTGGAACTGCATTATTTGGAGTGATCAAGCTCCATCCAGTACCTCTGGGATGAGCTGGAGTGGTGTTTGTGATCCAGAACTAATCATCCAACATCAGTACATGATCTCACTAATGCTCTAGTGGCTGAATAAAATTAGGTCCTCACAGCAATGTTCCACATCTAAAGACTTCCCAGAAGAGTAGAGGCTGTTATTGCAGCAAAGATGGGACAAACTTCCTACTAATATCCTTAATTTCAATTAAACAAACTTTTGGATATAAAGTGTACTTTTAATTGAGGCCCAGAACATTGTTGTTGTGGTAAAAGATGATAAATCAACTACTTTTTAGAATGACTAGTTGAGTAAAAAAATTAATTGTCAGGCAATCCCTAATTAACAAATTTGTTATCAAAAACTTTTTATTAAAAGAAAAGACATGGACTGTTACCTTTGTGCATTAGAATGCCTGCCATGTTCCCCAGCAGTACGTGCTGGTCAGGGTGTCCTGCTGCCTGGCCCAGTTCCACAGCCTTCTTCACCTGAGCCAATGCCTCATCATGCTTCCCCTGAAGATCCAACACTGTGGCCAAATCACTCATCAGGACCAGCGTCTGGAATACAAACATGCACGTTTCATCAGAAGACAGTTATTGGCAGCTCCATTATGGCAAAACAGGCCACATAATTGATAGTTGAGAGCTATACAGTTCATATTTGTCATTACACATTAGCTAGAATAGTCAGCCTAGTTAGCAATAAATCTGCATCAGTACTCAAACAGAGCTCCCAAAGAAAATGTCCAAAGGGCCGAAGACATGACTCATTCAGTTTAAAATCATAAACAGAGCATATTGGACTCCATCTAGACTATATGGAATCAGCCTACTTGTTGGTGCTGTGAAGCCGAGCCAGGCACATTGATGCACATGATGTAGGAATGCCCTAATATACAGGTTTCTGCTCTGACATCCAATACTATATTGAGGAAATTTTGGGCAAACACATTGTGCATCTTGGGGGAGCCCTCTGCTTTGTCGGATTTGGAGCCCGAGGCTGACTGGACGTAAATTGATTGTTAGAGAGTGGAGGGCCTCTTCAGCACCATCTGCATCTTACTGGTATGCAGAGATGGGCAGCTTGGCTGCATTGGAAAGTCTATCGTTCAGGGTTCAGAAAAATTTGTTTCACTCTAGAATGGAGAAAATATTTGTCTTATCTGGACACAGGAGCACAACATGTGGGTCTGGATATCAATTAAGCATTACTCTTTGTGTTTTTTTTTTCTTTTTTTTACTACCTAACTGTCAAATTGTTTTAAACGAAAATACTCTGTGCCCCCCAACCCTTTTTTCCTCCCTATGTTATACATGTTTATAAAAAGTCAATCTAAAAAATAAAAAAAGAATATATATGAGTAAATATATAAATAAATCTCTTGTGTCTTACTGGTTCTTACTGGTTTGTCAAACGGTAGAAGGCGCTCACCAGCGAGTCCAAAAAGAATGGGTTAATACAAAGCACTAGAGCAAAATCATAGTTTGTAAACACTATTTATATAGAAAAACGCATCCATCTCCTGAACATAGAACAGCAGAAAAATAATAACACTGCTGTTACATTTTAAGCACTTTTGAACTCCATTTATATGAGAATATAATGGCGCCTTGTACGTTCATGACGTCAGTGAGCGCGAATCACTTCATTCAGCCAATGAGCTAGTCAGCACGCTAACCAATCAGCACTCAGTAACAGAAATACCAACCAATCAGCACTCAGTAGCTGTAGTACCACCCAATCAGCAGTGAGCTTATCAGTAGCAGTGACGCTATCGTCCTACTGCCCAAAACGCAGTTGCTGTAGAAGGAAACACACAGGTAGGTTTTCATTCCTTTTTTAGTGAAATACATCCTTTTATTTTCTAAACTTAAAAGAAGCTCCTGGACAAGTGGTTCGAAATTATTTTAGCTCCTTTCACCCCAATTCATTCGTTCGCTGACGCCCTCTGGCGTTTTGCAGTCATGTTTTTGCTTCTTTTTAAGTTTTTTTTATTATTTTTTTGTTTGCACACTTAGGTCTGCACTTTGTGCTGTCTATTTTGTTCCATGTTGCACCGTGTTCCTGGAGGAACGGAATTTCACTCCACTGTGTACTTGTACATGGATGGAATGACAATAAAAGCCTCTTGACTATAACGGGATGAAGAACTGGCTCTGGCCTTCTCGCTCTCGTCCTTAACGATGCGTTTCTGGCAATGCTCTCACGTTCAGGTACTCGTGTTTTGGAATGGCACAGTATTATAGAACTTACATACTTATAAATGGACAAATTCGAATAATTTATTATTAGAATAAAAGAGGTGTTTCATTGAATTGTGAGTCTCCATTCTCCGTCGCCCTGGGATGAAACGAAACGATTATCTGAAGAGTAATGTCTGAACAGCGGGTGCTCGAATACTTGAGCATAAGGCAAGAGGCCGAAGGCCTGCAGCTCTGTACCTGAGGATGGCTCTCTCCCTGCTCCTCCTGGCAGATCTGCAGAGCGCGGCGGTAGTCCCTGCAGGCTCCAGACAGACGATGTGTGGCTGCCAGGTATCGCGCCCGGGAGTCCAGACTGAGTCCCAGCAGCAGCCGAGTGTCCTTCCGTTCCTCTTCTGCTGCGACCAGACAGCAAACTGTGTGAGGAACTACCTCCGCACATCTTTCACATAATCTTGGCACATAATAAACTAAACTAGTATACTAGTATAAACACCTAACTACAGAAATACACCATCGTTCAAAAGTTTAGAATCACTCATCACAGTCATCATTTGTTATTATTGTCCAATAATAACTTATACAGTTTAGATTTAAATACTTAAATGATTTCTTTAAAAATTATTAAATGAGACTATACTGTGTTTACAGCGTTTCCCCTTAATTTGTCGGTCATCCGTGGTATAATCAAACATGTGGGGTCCGGTGTTGTATAACCACCCAGAATTATTATTTTTTAAAATACACTATATGGATAAACTTCATTATACATTCTCTACACATTTATACACATAGAGTTCAGGTACGACTAAAGGCTTTACAGTTCATAATGGGTCAAGGAATAATTTGCATATGTTTTTGTAGAAATGTACAGGAATAAATACAGGAGTAAATAGTTTTTTAGGTTCCCCTTTTGTACCAACATTAAATACTGTCTGGACTTTTGTGTCTATAAAAAGGCCAATGGATCTACATTTGATTATAAGGCCTTGTTAGAATGCTACAGCAGAGCGGTTTAAGGTGAGTCTGGCCACTTCCTCTTTCTCCCTTTAAACCTAAAATACGACAAAAGGGTCAAAGGGCGCCCTCGAGCAAGTCCTCAATGAATAGGGGTGAAAGGACCTTCCTGGACCATCCTTCATTTTATAAAGCAGAAGGATGTATTTCACTAAAAATGAATGAAAACTTACCTGTATATTTCTTGTTTTCATTTTCTACAGCAAACGGGTTTGGGGCAGCAGGACGCTACGTCACTGCTACTAATCAGCTCAATGGCTGAGGGAAGGGGTTTTCCCGCTCACTGACGTCATGAACGTTCATGAGGGGCCGTTATAAACTCCAATAACTTCAAAAGCGCTCAAAAATATAACAACGATGTTAAAATGTTTTATGCTGTTCTTCTATTTAAACATGTTTAAGCATTTACAAACAATGATTTTGCTCTGCTGCCCTATTTTAACGATGTATTGTGGATTTGCTCGAGAGCGCCCTCTAGTGTTTGACAAACTCAGAAGACATTACTGAGTGGCGATTCTCCTCTATGAATTCTTTGGTTACAGGATGTTGACTAATTATGTCTGAAACCATCCAGCAGGTGGAGCTCTCGTTTTTGTTCTTGTTTTACTGGTTGATAAGGTGGCAAATGTAACACATTACACTTTAGTCTCATGTCTTTTATTATTCCCTTTTCAGGAGTTCAGCACAGATTTCAATCAGAGACAATCACCCCAAACTCATATATCAGCTTGTATAAAAATCATTTTAAATGAAATTCTGTGATTAAAGCCTAGTGCTCTTTTTGCACAAACCGCACTGACCAGATCTGCACTGTATGTGTTTAATGCATATTTAAATATGAACATATGTAAAACAAATTGAATGTAGATTACTTTGAGCAAATCTGAGCTAATAATACATGAAAACCAAAGGTTAGGAAGCAAACATTAGCCTGCCAGTAATCTAATGTACACAAGCTATATTATTGTAGGGGAAACACTGAATTATCCATTTAGTTTGTCAAAGTTATCTGTCTTAAGAGCTGATCACAACATTTGAAATCCATTCTGAATATTCATTTTCAGCTTATTCTTATGTTAGTTATTATGGAATCATCTACACATCATTCTGAATACATCTAACATTTCTTTCTCAAAGCCAATACAGTCGTGGAGTGCTAGCATCATATTGAAATCTCTTCATGCATGTTTCTGCAAGAAAACTGAATTTATATCACTGAAAAGAGTGACTCAACTTTTAAAACTCTAAATAAGCAGGGGGCGGAATTGCGTTACCTGATACAGTGTCAGGGGGAAGTTCCTTATGTTTCTCAATCTTGGCCTCCAGAGACTCTGTGCAGAACTGGAAGCCATGCTCTGCCAACTCATTCCTACACAAAACAACACAGAGCTGCTGCTGACAGGTAAACCATGGAAAACCACTTTATTGCACCCACACCAGTTTCCAAAACTAATTTTCTTGTCTCAAATTAAACTGCCAAACTGGGTTCTCAAAACGCCAGTGCTGGATAGTTCAACAATTCACGTAATTCACAGATGAATGCTGAGTAATCAGTATGAGAATCCTTGTTCAATTATATGAATGGCAAACTTGCATTAGATAACAGTAGTTGTAGAATTGCACATTGACTTTCTACAGAGAAGGGCAAAACTTACTTGTTTTGAGTTGCATATATGCTGGCCAACTTCAGGGACATTTCAATGACTGCATTGTCATCCTGGCGAAGATGAACCACATACACAGAATAAAAAAAATGTATGAAGGGTTTTGTTTTAAACAACTAAAAAACAAACCAAAAAAACAAAAAAAAACAAAACATGAATTGTCTTGTTTCTGTTGATAAACGTTGTTGGGAGTAGGCTTGACACACCTTTATTAGAGAAACAACAATCTGCTTTCCATTAACAGAGCACTCAACTAGAAACTAGTATTGAAAGAAGGAAAACATTAAAATACATTGTGTAGATATATGATGTATATACACTATACGGCAACTTCACTAAGTACACCTCCTTGTTTCTACGATCATTGTCCATTTTATCAGCTCCACTTACTATATAGATGCACTTTGTAGTTCTACAATTACAGCCTGTAGTCCATCTGTTTCTCTGCAAACTTTGTTAGCCCCCTTTTACCCTGTTCTTCAGTGGTCAGGACCTCAGTGTCACCAACCAAAAACCAAAAATATCCAGCCAACAGTATCCTGTGGGCAGCGTCCTGTGACCATTGATGAAGGACTAGAGGATGACCAACACAAACTGTGCAGCAGCAGATGAGCTATCGTCTCTGACTTTACATCTACAAGGTGGACTGACAAGGTAGGAGTGTCTAACAGAGTGGACACAGTGTTTAAAAACTCCAGCAGCACTGCTGTGTCTGATCCACTTAGACCAGCACAACACACACTAACACACCACCACCACATCAGTGTTACCGCAGTGCTGAGAATGATCCACCACCCAAATAGTACGTGCTCTGTGAGGGTCCATGGGGGTCCTGACCACTGAAGAACAGGGTAAAAGGGGGCTAACAAAGTATGCAGAGAAACAGATGGACTACAGTCTGTAATTGTAGAACTACAAAGTGCACCTATATAGTAAGTGGAGCTGATAAAATGGACAATGAGCATAGAAACAAGGATAATGTCATAATGTTATGTCATAATGTCATAATGTAGTTTGTAACATATTCCTACCTGTGGCGTTCCCCCAGAGAGCACGAAGCTCATAGCTGCTTTGAACAGTTTCTCAGCCTGCAGGGGGCAACAAGGGCAACAAGAGTGGGTTCAAACAAAAAACAAGGGTGGGTTAATTTTATTTTAATTGTCTTTTATGCGTTTGAGGATACAAACAAAATGTTCCAGCCTCAGATAGCTATCTTCCTTCCTCAAGAAAACTGACATGCTGCTCACAGAGTTAACTTAGCAATTCTCATTCTGGGGATGCAGCAGCAAGTGCCACCTCTTTGTACTACTTTAACTTTTAATTCAATTAAATCTTAAAATAATCCCCAAAGATTATAGGCTCCAATTTTCAGTTGTATTCCCTTCAAACATCTCTCACTGGTTAAAGCTGGTTCTGATACCTGTTTTTCTTTTTAAAGAGAGTCCACAGATCGTATTTTTGGCAATCTATACAGAGGGCAGGGTTGCCAGGTCCAGGAAAAAAATCCAGACCAAGGTTTGCTTAGAAGCCACCCACCAGAAAAGGACATAATAATGTTCTCCCCCGACTGCATTTTCAAACGATTTCAGTTTGCCAGGAAACCCGTGGACCTGGCAACCCTGCAAATGGGTGTGCACGCTGTACCAAACAATCCACAGCATAACCAATCAAAAGTGAAAGCGCATGCTTATACATTAGCACCTCTTCTGTAGGTGTGTGTGCTCTGCCTGATTATAACTCATTTGTTTGACATCAATACCTGCTGTAGTGTGTACATTTCACATATTGATGGAATGAAAATATCAATAAAGGGGAATTTAAAAAAAAAGCATAATTCAGTCTGAAATGCACAAAGTCATTCAAAGTGGTCTGATGCTCCTTTCTAGAGAAACTTACCGACTCTTTACAGTGGTGGTGATGGGGTCCAGGGGTCACAATGTTTAGTTTTCACCACCACTGTGAACAACTCTGACTTGGTAATTCTAGAATGGAGCATTTCACACTAAAACACTCTGAATAATGCTGTTTACATCTGAATTGTACAGAAATACGGTGGAATTCCTCTTTAAGTGATCACATTAATGCAAATGGAATGGGACCGGGGGACGGCATCCCTCTCAAATCAGCCCCTGAAGCCAGTGAACAGACAAAGGGAGACAAAAGGCCCTTCCTTATTCTTACTCACATTGTCCAGCTGGCCTTGAACAAAGGCCAGGTTGGCCATCTGTAGGAAAAAAGAACACTGATTAATACGTATGTAACTGTGGACACTATGTTGATGTTTATTATATGAACATAATGTCCATACAGACATTCTATTATAGCAATATATATCATTGTGATCCAAAGAAAGACAGCTTTACAGCAGAGGGCAAAAACATTTTTAACTTTTAATGCAAGTTAATGTAAAGAGATTTTATTGGATACGAATATGGAACATTTCTATTCGTCCAATTGTCATGAAATTTTCACACAATTTAAAACTAAAAGAAATACAGAAAACCAAAAATCACAAAAAATGGGGATGTAACTATGGACACTACGTTAATGTCTGTTATAGCAATATATATGTAACTGTGGACACTGTGTTGATGTCTATTATAGCAATATGGGGATGACATATGAAGTTCATACCAGGCTGTATGTGTAGATGATGGCATCGTTGTTGTGGCTCTGATGGGCGAGTCGGACTGCTTTGTGTAAAAACACGTTTGCTGCATCGAACTCCCCCAGCATCATGCTGTACTGTGAAAAACAGAAATAAACATAAACTGTATAACTTGTATGGATCTAGCACATACACAGTCTACCACAAACCTACAAATTATTCAAATATCATGTAGTAGTTGTGATGACAATGTTATCGCTACCTACTACTAAGTCCCTGCAAGTAGAAGGTGCAACTAAAGACACTAATGCTGCTCACAGTACATTTAAATTATTTGAATAAAATTTTTAAATGATCTAAAAAATGTAAATAGTAAATCCATCAATATAATGAGATCAATAATAAAACTGCTGTATCGTTCATGAACTACCTTTGCTTTTTTTAGGAGAAGAATAATCTCATCCTCAGTCTTCTGTGCCTCAGTTCTCTCATCTGTGCTTCCGAATATTGAGAACGCTGGGGACAAACATAATCCATTTTGACATTATACTCACAGAGCCAGGGAATATGTTTTAATATGTAGAGTCATAAACTGTCAGCAACTGTTGAAATAAAGAAATGAATGAGTACACAAGAGATGTAATTAAAGTGATGGTTTGGGCAAATTTACACAGTGTTCCCCTTATCTCAACTGTAATCAAACAGCCATGATAAGTTTATTATCCAAAGTTTGCTTCTTTCATTCTGCATGAGGCTCATGTGTAATAGAAGCTTAAAGCCACAAGGTTAGCGTGGTGCAAATTGAATGCTTTATTTATAACACCGTACCCTCAAACAGACTTGTTTATATGGTTTCTAACAGACAAAAGTACATAACATAGCTATAAACAGTAGTAGCCGCTGTCTTGAGGCCTCAATTCTGTCCATTTGTGGTGACTTCATGTGTAGTATTGTGAATAGCTTCTTAAAGGGAATGTTCAACATTTTTCTGATCTGGTGTGCAGTTATTGCCACCTTATGGCAAAGCTTGATATAGAACTAAATACATCTAATCTTATTTCTTCACTTTCCACCTTCCTTCCTCTCAGGAAGGCAAAGGAAAACAAAGACAGCACAGACAGAATATTAGCTACATCATGCTAATAGATTAATAACATTGTTATGCTGTAATATTTTGACAAAAACGCAAAAATAATCATTTATAATACAAATGATCAAGTCAAAAGTGGCAGCAGTTCTATGCCCTGTGTAAACCTACAGTCATACGCAAAAGTTTGGGCCCTAGTCGAATGACAGGTTTTGTTGATTGATGTGAAAGTAAGTTACACATCCTCTACAGAGAACACACTTCAGCACACTTTAATACTCATTTATTTATTCAACAAAGTATGTCATTTGCCCAGTTGTGTTTAAACTTCTGCATATAAATGTATGGTAGACCTTTTTTTGCACTGTATCTTACTTTTAAGTAAGCAAGCAAATAAATAAGTTAATTAATAAATAAATATAACAGAAAAAACAAAAACAAACAAACAAAAAACAACAGCATTATTTTAAAACACCTTAAAATGGTTTAAATTAAAATATCCATAGTTGGTACGCCTGGACTGATCCATCCATCAGCTGAAAGCAAGGGGGCAGCAGGTTCTCCTGACAGTCAGTCTATATCTTTACACCCTTCCAAACCTTGGAGATTTGAGATCACATAAACATGATAAACTATAATACTGTAGTACATCAAACTGTACATGACAGTCCAAAGCTCCATACTGCTCTCACCCCTTTATGTTGTGTGAATCAGTACGACAGTAGCTCAGCTGTTCACAGCTACATCTCTCCAAATCTCACACTGTGATTCAGAGTGGAGCTGTAACGTCACTCACCCAGAGCGCTCCACAGTGCCACGCCGCGCCGCTGATAGCCGCTGCGTCCAGTCCGGCTCTGCTCGGTCCTGCACACCGCATTTCCCGCATTTCCACAGAACCTGGACGACCTTCGTCCCTGAGACTCACTCAGCTGCTGCGACAGCTGCGAAACGACAGACAGCGGTCGATGCGACGTGTGTGTTCTGCATGGAGACCAGCTGGAAACAGAAAACCTTCTCGCTCCCTCACTTAGCAGCTTTTTAACGCAAACCCTCTGTGTCACAAACAGACGACAGCTGGAGGGGAGCGCCATGTTTCCTCTTTGATCATGCAATGATGCAGGCGGTGTGGTCACGTGATAAGGCAGTGGCGTCTATATATAGAAGCGCAGTGGTTCAAAGACCTTTATTTTTCAAAGTGCCATATTCTCAAGTTTTCATGCGCTGTCATATCTCCCATTAGTATAATTTCCTTTAAATCTGTGGTTTGATTGGTTTTGGCTCGGTGTGTATTTGTAATGTTATATTTTCTCGTCTTTCGTAATATTTCTGTTATTTTTTTTATTTTGTTTCTGTTTTGAGCATCAGAAAGAGAGTATATGGAATTTGACAAGGGACTTTTATTTTGACAATATTAGGTTCGCCAAGAGTGGAGCACATTCGTGTCCTGAAGTAGAGCAATACAGTAAACATTCATTTAAAAGAATCAAAAAGTAAATTACTAAGTAAATAAACTGAAAGTTAATTTTCTTCCTCCAACAAGTTCGTATTTTTATTTAGAATATTTTAGAATTATGTTTAAAAGTTCGCTGTTTAGCCTTGTGTCGGAGATGAAGATCAGCTGCAAATGAAACAGTACAGAATAAATGGCCGGTCTTTACAGTGAAGACCAACACTAATAAACATTATAGGCTAATTCCACCGATTTTTCAGTGTTTCTTCATACTTAACTCGTTAAGATGTACACAAAGTTATTCGGAGTAGTTTGGTGTGAAATGCTCCCTTCTAGAGAAACGTACAGAGTCAGAGTGGTTCACAGTGGTGGTCATAGGAACCAGGCGTCTGGATGTATAATGCCTCTAAAAACTCCCTCACAGAAAGTTACTACACGAAACGGTTACAAATATGTTTCTGGGGCATTGCCTTAAAGATATGTTTTTAAATGCCTACATGCCAGAGAGGTAAACGCAGGGCGCTATAAGGCAAGATATTTCTCAAAGACAAGCTGTTTTTTTCAGACTATTTTAACCACTATTTTACTATTATCAGCACTGCATATAAAACTCAAAAGATGTGTGGGTTCATAGTTTTGAAAAGATTCTCTACAATAAAACGTCACCATTTCACATCAAACCACTCTGAATGACTAATTATATATATTTAGTTATGTTAAACTGGTGGAATTCCCCTTTAAGGGAAGGTCAAACACGTAGAGGGACTGCTGTTCAAATCTGGCCTCCTGTTCAGGTGAAAAAACGAACACCTGAACCTCTACATCAGGAAAAGCCTTCAAAATGGATACTATTTTATCCAGTTGACAGCCCTTCCAGTTCTGTAGCATTACTGCACATCTCAAAAGCTTATTTTACTTGTAATTAAATTATTGGCTCTAAATGAATTACTTATTTAATGCAAAAGGAGTTTATGTGGTATTACAGTGTTTTACATTCATGAATACAAAGATGGATTTTTTTTATGTATGAATACTTTTTATGGAATAATCACCCCTTGTGAATACTTGATGTCCATATTATATGAATAAATTATATACATACATATGCATATCGATTTCAGAGAACATATGAATGTGCAGTGCTTGGAAGCAAACCATTGTGCCAATACAATTAACCACACCAATGGATGTAACATTTGCACTCATGCCACAATTTGGCTGAAACGTTCACAAATGGTAGGACCTGGAAACAAAGTTTTTATTTAAAGCAGAGATGTGTATGTTGCTTTTATAAAGAGAAGCATTTCTTTCTTCATTGTGCAAATGCTAAAAGTTGTATACACTCTGCTGTCTTCTTGTCCTGCACAAACAAAGTTGTTTAGGCGGCAAAAAGGGCTGGTGGTGGTCTAACTTCAGCTTTTTTGTTACTTAACTAAGAGCTTATAACTGTATCTATATCACTGGATGCTCAAACACTGATATTCACTTTATATGTGTGTCACTGAAAACCCAAAAAAAGAGCATAATGATCGTTGTGTCATCCCCGTTTTAGAGGTTCAGGTTCTCATTCAAGAACTAGACAACACTTTCCTGGTTCGTTATCTTAATCTTTATTCATTTTACTAATGAACAGATAACGTTACAAAACTTCACAATACTCTGTCATAACCCACTGGCCACCTTGCCGTTACACTGCTGTGAGATAAAGGAATGTGGCGAGACTGTCACTTTTTTATCCTAGATTAATATACAGTGGGCAGCACTGAGTGGACTGGCCACTGCAACACCGATCATGCAGTAAGTACTGATAGAACACTGAGGTTTTTTTTCTGTTGACGTACAATAGTGCACAAGGAAAGAGGAAAGGCAGAAGGTGGTCTAAATACAACAAACCTCACTCTCATATGTACATAACCATGAACGGATAGTAATGAATACACATAAAGTACACCACTGATAATCAAAAGTTTAAATCATGCCCTTGCTAAAAAGTCAGGTTTTTAAAACAATATATCAAATAAATTAATGTCAAGTGTTGAAAGTCTTGTTCAGTTTTCTCTGTGACGTAAGTGAAATGCTCAGTGACAAAGTTCTCTCCAGAGTATAAACCCACTGAAGAAAGGAAAAAGCAGACAGACTCAGCTACCAGTGAATTCACAAACATTCACTGTATGTGCTCTAGTGTGGCTGTGGTGCGTTTGGACTAGGCTGCTTTTTCAATACATAACATGTTCTCAACAAACTCCCTTGTTTAAATAAAAGTAAAATGCAATAAAATTCCACTGGGCAGTGCTTTAAGTTAATGTGTGAACTGACACATGAACATAACTTATGGGTGCAAGAATGAAGAACTATTCACATTTGTAAACATCAAATTTACAGAAGTAAGCAATGCTTGAATGGTACTTTTAAATTAATCAAAAGGCATTCTGCTATTTCTTTAACTAAGAAACAGCCAGGAGGAATGCTGATAAGAGCATTTCATAAATTGCTCTGAAAAAAATCCAATGCCATTTTAAACCTAAGACATTCTTTAAAAAATGAAAAAGATCAGGAACACAAAAAGCCTTACGGGAATCAAATGCACGACAATCAACTCAAATGCACATAAAGTCCAATATTGTTCTCTCGCAGGGCCAGACTCGTAATGAGAACATCTGGATACATCCATGTGAAATTCTGACCTAAATGCGGGTGGGAACATAGACTTATTAGTGTGGGTACAAACTGAGAGTGAAATTTTTAAACCAATTCAACACCTCATGAAGTTGAAGGAGGCAACAGTGTGCTTGTCAGCATTGTCCAACAAGCCTGCGGTTAACCCATGGATGTGACGTACGTTATTGTTAATTATTATTATGGGTAGTGTTTCTCCAGAATGTCCTGTTTTCTGTTTAGATCTTCAGACATCTTATAGACTTATTTCTAATTCTTCTGTCTCCATCCATCTTGTTGGATGCTATACTGTTCTTCTTTTACCTTCAACTGTTCCAACCATAATTGTCTGAACCAATCAATTGGTGTTTCTCAGAATATTTTGGTTCAAAATATGACAGCTTCAGTTTAGCAAGGCAGAAAATGTTCCTGTTAATAACAGAGTTTCGCTAGCTTACTTGTTTTGAGGTATTGACTGTACTCTGGATGTGAAAAGAGCACCAACTAATGGAATTTGGGGGTGGGTTTTAGAGGGGGCATACCATTGTTAGTGCCTTTTAAACCAAAAGTTTAATCTGTTTCACTAGATGTGTATTCTCGTTACATCTGGCCCAGTGAGATTAGTATCTTCCATTAGTTCATTGTCAGTTTTTAAAATGTAATCTCTCCTCAAAGACATCACTATCTGAAAGCTTAAAAAAATCCAAGTAATTATTTAAATACGTCTGGTATTTAAATACACATGTATGTCTTGAGAGCTATACAACAACAAAAACCACTCAGAATGACCTCAGCACCATTCACTGGTGTGAATCAGGCAGTGGACACAGACCAATATTGTCCTGCTGGATAAAATGACCAAGATGAAAACTTCCTGCCATCATCACACGACAGAGGTACATTTGGCACGGTGTGTTTTCTACACAGACAATGGCTGCATTGCATATATTAACCAACCAGGAGGGGAAAAAGTGCATACAATTTACACAGATGCCTGTATATTAGCCAGCATTCAGAAGAGGCACATAAAATGCACTGACCCAAAAGAATACTGGTAGGTACATCCACCCCAGTCAACAGGTTATTGCGCAATGGAAACGCAGTTTCACTGAAGGATTTCTCTGGCTCAGCTCAGGTAATTAACTTTAAATATGACCGAAAAAGATAACCGCAAAGCTCTGGACGGCTATGTGTTTCAGAATCTGAAGCCGTTTGAGTTACTTCTGACTGATACTGAAATGACTATATAGTTTAATGCTCATTTTAAAAGTCAGTAAAACAATAAAACTGTACAATGCAATGATTGTTTTTCCTCGCATATCCTGTCACTACACTTACCAATGATTCAAAAAAACACAAACACTGTACTGTAAATGACTGTAAATGTAATTCATAAATTAGTCAATAAAACGACCTTCTTCTCCAGGGCAATATCTGGAACTGAGGACCAAGCAACACTATCTCCTTAAGATCACCCTCCTAACCCACCGTATGTAGCATGATTGTCTTCTACATGGATAACAGCTGCTGAAGTGTGTTTGTTTCAACATAAGCTTGAGTGTATGGGAGTGTACTTATGTTGCATATACAGTATATGTCAGGAACATGTAGGCTGCCGACACTGACTGAGTCTCCGCAAAGCGAGATTTCAACAGCCAGAGACACTAAAGGCAGCGCTGCCGGAGATATTATTCTACAGGTTAAGGAAGACGCCTCAGTGGAGCTGTGGGGTTAGTAAGGAGGGTGTATGCGTGTCTGTAAGAGAGAACGGGGCAGAGGTTTGAGCCCAGCCTTAAAAGAGGCCTCACTCACGGCTCCCGAAGAGCTGAAGGAGGAAGAAGAAGATGTAGACGATATCCATGTAGAGGCAGAGCGCTCCAAACACGTGCTCCTCAGGGCTCAAGGAGTAACGGCGGTTTCCCATCAACAGCTGCACGTCAAACGCCAAGAACTAGATGACAAACAGAAAGCACATTCTTTGATTTCTTCTAGGCCACACAGACATAATGTCATTCATGACATATGGTACAATATGTCATATCTGATCTGTGCTGTGCAGGGAGAGCAAGTGTACTGACCAAAGTGAAAACTAGGGCACACAATCCAGCATAAGCAGTCTGCAACCAGGGTATCTGTGATTGAGAAATAATGAACTACATGAGACAATAACTACTTTAAACATTGATGAATTACAAATCATTCACGCACAATATACATTTCTGTTCAAATGTTTGGAATCAGTGTTTTCAATACAAGAAAACTAATTTTGTTGCTGAAAAAAATTACAGTATATGGTTTATCATTTTTCAACTTCTATTTAAGATCCCAAAATCCCAAACTACTGAATAAACAAGATTCCAAACTACTAAATAAACAAATCTAAAAAAACACTTTTCTGTGTCTAGTTTATAACATTTAAACCTATATTATACAGATTATTGTATATAAAATAACAACATTTATTAATAAAACAGGTGATTTCAAACTGCAACTAACAACATTTTGATAATTGGCTAATTTTTAGACTACTATTGAAATAACTAATCTAACTAACTATTATGCTTTCTCCGGTTTCTCTCCCGCCTGTGCCACAAGAAGTTTCTTCTTTTATGGTGTAACAAAGCACTTTCCGCATACTTCAATCTGTCAGAATGGCTATGTCCATTATACAAACATTATAAAGCATTAGAGAATGCTTCTGTGAGTAAACAACATGTCAACAATAAAAATTCGAATCAATATTTTTTCATAATAAATGTTGTAACTATGTAGTTTAATCATTTGAGCCCTATTATATACTAAGCATATTTATTATGTGTGTTATGTATGTGGAATTTTGAACTTACATATCCAAACGGCACAGTGAAGATGAGCAGTAGCCCGGTGATCATCAGCACCATCATGAGTGAAAAAAGCAGACCGTGACGAGAAGTGAAATCAACCTAAACCACAACCGGAGGTGTTAGGCCACACAAACAAAACGCGCATTCTCTCACAACCTGAAGATAAAACTGAACGAGCTCACCTTGGATTGAAAGCAGAAAAGGGTGACAGCGAGGCACACTAAAGCGGTTATACCCACACACAGCATCACTACTTTGGTATTATGGTAGCTAAGACAAAGTGTAGAAAGAACCACTTATTACAAGAGATAATGCATAGACAGATAATGAAATAAAAAGTGGAAAAGACATTTGTCTTACCTTGCAAGCATGCCTGCCATGTAAGACATTGCCAAAGTCTAAAAAAAGAGTAAATAAAGAGCTGTGAACTGCCTGTTACCTACTACAAAGTAATACACAGTGAACGACCTGTAAATAAAGTACCATTTACTGACAACCACTATCTTCGGTCCTATGGACTTAGTTACTTACAAAGATGCCAAGGAGGATCATGTTGGTTGGGTATCTTCGCCTGTGGAGTAAAAGCAGAAAACAATCTGTAAAGCCTCAAAAATAGCCACAGAAACAATTTGCAAAGGGTTTGTAATCATAATTTTGGTCATAATGTTATTTTATTACCGTGCACTTGTACTGCATACCAGCACCAGGTATGTTCCCATGAAGGTCATACTAGAGAAGACACAGCTTTGTCACTTTTGAGACAATGAAGATACACCTTAAAGATCCTGCACAAATGGCTGCGGAGGCCTGTTCCAACCTCATTAATACCCGATAGAGTCCACCACCCCATTCACCTTTTTGCAGTTACAGAAGTATTTAATGTCAGACGTTTTAATACAGTTTGTTACATGTAAGTGAATAAGAATCTTTGTCTTTGCAAACTAAGGCAGGAAAATGTGATGCAGTCTAACAGACAATTATTTTGACAGTTATCTCCTCTACTTATGTAGACAGAGCAATTCTCTTAATGAGAAAGCAAGACTGAATGATGAAACTATCATAAAAAAAGTGGTAGACAGAGGTAACAATGTCTGTGCAGGATCTTCAAAACACTACGGAGTAGAAGCAGCACAGGAGAAAACACTTACTATGAGGCAAGGTAGAGGATACGATTGTATTGAATGAACTGTCGCACCGGCTCACTGCAAAAACAGAAGACAGACCACAGAAGATGTGTTAAGTCTTAGAAAAATTGGTGAGACTTAAGAATACTTATACATGGGAATAATCATAAAAATGTGTCTCACCAGAAAGTGAAGAGTGCTACAACACCAAAAGTCACCATAAGCTGAACCATAAGGATGCAGAACACCTGCAAGAGAAAGGAACTGGCGCTTGGAAACAATACGCAGAAAAACAGGTGGTCTTCAGAAAAACAGGTGGTCGCAAGCCCTACATTCTAGAGGGCACTAGTTCAGCCCAAGATCAAATCAACTACAGCGTATCTCCTCTCTATATCTCTATTACCTCTATACATGAAGTATACACATCAAAAGTCACTCACTGTCTCTTTGTGCCCCTGCCAGCATCTTAAAACAGACAATGCACTGAGTAAAACCAGAAGATGGGCCTCAAAGAAAATACAGAACATCTGAGCAGAAACAAGTACAAACAGAATCGTACCTTTCTGATAAACATGCGACGGACATTCTTGTCCTCCCAGCTGCTTCCGCTGAGGCCGTCGAAGCTGCCGCTAGAGCTGGGATCAGAGAAGGGTGAGGACATGTCTGAAGCGTACGGGTTTGTGTACCCTGGACCTGAAATGGATGACAAAGCCGTAGAGATTCTCACTTTAATTCACCATCAGTCAAGTCTGAGACATCGGTACTCAAAGCTGCACTAAATTTTGAAAGAGTATTCAAGGAGAAGTCAGTCAAAACGTGGTGAAAAATGTATCTTCAGCGAACGTAAGTGAATTATCAAATATTGTCATCATATCTTCACCAGTATAATGTTGATTTTGCACTTGAGACCTAAACATCAAGCCAAACCCTTTTGAGCCTCTGCATATGACATTAATTCGTGGAGATGCATGATATGATCGAAAAACTCTGGGGAAATCCGGTCCTGATGCCTCTGACTTTTAAATTATTATTTCAAGCCTTACGAGGTGACTTGCAGCAGCACACGAACATCATATTTTCTTTCATTTTAACAAAACTCTTACATAGTGCAGCTTTAAAGGAATACTTTTTAAACCTACTCTCTTCCTGTCACATCTGCAGAGTACAGTTGATTACCACAAGCAATAATTTTGACGTTTCTCTGCATTTTAAAAGTACAGAAAACACATTGAAGATACATGTAACTCACTCACACTACTGTTCAAAAGTTTGGAATCAATTTTCAATCCTATAAAACCAATCTGGTTGCAGATAAAAGTAGAAAATGATTCTAATATGCTAGTGCTGTGCAACTTAACAGGTTTTAAATAGTGGAACAACAGAAAGCTGTCAAATAAAATTATGTGTCTAGATGTGTCCCAAATGAAAAACTGAAAAAACTGTATAGCATTGAGTCTCTCTGGGTGTTTAGGATGATCCTCCCTTCCCCCATCACTCAGCATGATACCTGCCAGCGCAGCAGTCTGTAAGCTGACGTAACAGAACAGGCCAATGACGCTGCGTTAGCCGAAGTTCGAAAAGATGTGGATTGGGATGAGACAGACACAAGAGAATGTCTTACCAAGGCTGTTCTCACAATGTTTTATCCTAGTTCCCAACACTGTTGCAACACAGTAAAAAAGCAGCTCTGGTTATTTTCACTTTCTCTAAGGCTCCCCGGTGATTGGACAAGAGCCTGCAAATCTCACCCACAACCAACTAAGCAGATGACATATTATCAGAAATTGTTCCATGTGCAAAGAACAACTTAGACACATTTACAGTTTGATTTACAAATACCTTTGACTGAACGCCTTCTATAAAAATACACGTTTACTGACCAAATTCAGCAACTGCCCAAAGCCTTCTTTTGTAAGTGTGTTATGAGTCAACATGTTTTCTATTCATTTCTAAGCACAGTAATAAAAGTGTAGAAATTACCATCCATGGTGATCAACCAAGAACTACAGATTCAGCAGATATGGATTAGGTTGAAATGGCAGATGCACTCCTTTAATTCTGAATCACCAGTGACCAAGTCTAAGCCTGGGCTAAATGGGATTTGTAATGTCCACTGACATTGCAATTTAGTTCAAGACTTTAATCCATGTCAGAGAAACCTCATCTCATCATGTATAAACATGCATAACATTTAGGTCTCATAGCCCGGAAAGAGGACATGTTGCAATGGGGTGGTGTAACTAAAGCAGTGGCTCTCAAACCAGTCCTCAGGGACCCCCAAACAGTCCAGATTTTTGCTTGCAACACACAGGGATCAAGCAAAAATGGGGACCGTCTGAGGGACTCTGAGGACTGGTTTTAGAACTACTGAACTGAAGAACACCTGGATACCACTGTTGTAAAATGAATATTTATTTTTAGTCAGCTACACATGTATCCATAAGAATCAGTGCTGTGTAACGACACTCACTCGGAGTTGGATGCACATAGGCCCAGCTGGGATGCATGGGCATGGTTGGAGGTGGCAGGTTACCAACACCTCTCTCTTTATCTCCTGCTGTGGCCTCCGCGTAGGTCGGAGGGGAAGCCGGCAGGCTCATTGTGCCTCAGTTCACTCTCTAAAGGAGGGAAAAGACCATGATTAAATCCACATTATTCGTCAAACATTTTAACATAGGTACTGGCTGAGTGACTTAATGTGGCTTGTAAAGCTGGGCGATATATTGTTCATACCAGTACCGGCATTACACAACTAAGAGTTTTAGCTTTAGCGGTGTTAACAGATAATGAGCATTATATATATATGATTACATCCTATTCCATGTAACAGCAGTGTAAAGGTACATTATGTAAGGTTTCATTCGGTTTAGTTCAGTCAGGCTTGTAAAACTTCTTTTGGCAGTAACAGCAGTCCTTTTGGCAGTAGCAGTCCTCGGGAAGCATCGATTCATTTACTATTAACATGAACACTTAAATATCATCATCGCTGTGAAACCGTAATGTATTTAGAAAGCATCGTGAATTTCAGCAATACCGTACAACACTACGTTACTAATTAGTCTTAACCGATGACACCGCGTAGGCTGTGATGATAAGCGAGTCACTCAGCCTAAAACACATTTTAAACCGCTGCCTATTCTGCTCCTGCAGTTAAAGGCAGTCTGTTTTTCCTACTTTGTGCTCCATATTCATTCACTGATTAAATGGCTTCATGAGCTGGCTAGCTTTAGTTAACTAGCTAAAAATACTGTGAAAGATTTCTGGACCACTTAAAACTGTAGAGGTAATGAATGTCTCGTTAGCTAATTAGCTAACTAAAATGGGAAAACACCGTCCACGCACCCGGTCTAAAAGGCAATTTTATGAGCTGACCGCTCCGTTACTCCAGCTGCTCGCCCAGGTAAGCAGCTAGCAGGGATTGGCTTAGCTTAGCATAGCCGTTATCGGCTGAACTGATGGCTGCTAACGCAGCGGGCTAACGACACGATTCATAAATGTTCCGGCTCTCACCGTGAATAACGCTTTAGGGGACGCAAGAAGAAACGGAAAATCCTCAGCGAAACGAATTACATATGCGTTTTGTTGTTTCTTTTAACCGGTTTAACTCACCTTTGCCGTAACAGTGAAATCAAGTTGGACAATTTAACAAAACAACGGACACAAAACCTCAGTGACGCACATCCTGTACTGCGGGAAGACACCAGGATTAAGAAAAAAGAAATATTAAATTATTTATTCCAATGAAACAGTCTAAATCGCTCAGAAATAAGAATGGACTGAATAAGATAGCTGACATACATTTAAAAAATCTTATATAAATCTCATTGCCTCCACTGTCGTGATAAGATTGTAAAAGGGTTCTTTCCTTTGTAGAAGGGTCATAATATCTCAAATGACTATTAGCCTAAATACCGGATTAATAATTCATTAACTTGCATACATATAATTGTGTGCATGTAGCTACATACTGGACAATACCACAAACAGCAATTAAGTAAATCTGTGGTTATAAGCAAAAGTACTTTTATTTCAGACAATTCCATTATTGCAGATACAGCATTAAATAAAACTCTTCAAGAGCCCATGTAAGTGACTTCATCTGTAACATTTCCGTCTCTGGCCTGTTGAACTGCCTTAAGATTAATGTTAAAATGCTTAAGAGCACAACTGCTTTGATTTTATTTTATTCAGACAAGAACAGAAAATCCAAAACAAAACAGTATATGACTTGTGGGTAGACTGTGCTTCAACTGCAGCATCATCAGCATGCATGCCTTGACATGTCAAAAAGGGGGGTTGACTGTAGAGATGCAGATTGTTGGAAATTGCCTTGGATGGATAATGCAGTGCCTGTGCTTCATGCATTTTTGTCAATTTTTGATTTCAGATGTTCTTTGTAAGCCAAGATGTCCTTTTTCCACTTGGTGATGGTTTGCTTTTCACAAACCCAGATCTCCTGAGCTACCTGTTAGAAGGAGGCAAAGTGAAAATTAGTCATGTCATTTTCAAAATGCCAAGTGATGAACACATTTCACATCGTACAGTATAATTTTTTTTTTTTAAACCGTACCTGCTGAATGAGCCTGAAGTCGTGGCTAACCAGCATCATCCCGCCCTCAAAGTCGTTGATGGCCTCAGCAAGGGCATCAATCGTTTCAATATCCAAGTGATTGGTGGGCTCGTCCAGGAAGAGCATGTGAGGGTTCTGCCAGGCCAGCCAGGCAAAGCAAACACGGCACTTCTGACCATCTGAGAGGTTCCTGATGGGACTCACCTGAGATCAGAGACAGACGTAAATTAACTAAACTAGTAAAACATTTTTGCCAGGTTCTTACACAGTAGAATACAAGTAGATCAACTGACTAGGATCTCAATATGTAGCTAGCATAATTACATTTGACTCAAACCTGCAAAAGCCTCCATGCCCAAACATAAAACTGACCTGCTGTTTGCCAGTGAGCCCATAGCGTCCAATGATCTTTCTCATCTCCTCTTTTTCTTTTATCTCTGGGTAGCACTTCATCATGTACTCCAAAGGAGACAGATCCAACTCCAGCTGCTCTGTCAGATGCTGCAGGACAAATAAAGAGCAGGTAGAGGCCATTCACTCAAAGCAGCTGTCCAACATCAGTAGTCAAGAGAAATGGTGCTGTTTAAGGGCCTTTTATTTATTTACTTTCGGTCTGGTGTTTAAGTTGGACAATTATAATAATAATAAATAAAAAAACAAAAATACATTGAAACTGAGCCTGAAAAACGAATGGCTTGTCAGTACCTGATGATATCTGCCAATCTTGACATGGGAGTGCTTCCTAATCATACCGTCAGTGGGGAGGAGCTGAAAAAAAACAAAATGTCATGAACAGAGCAGACAGCACAGCACAGTTCAAAACATCTAAAAATAAAATGAATGCCAAGACCACACAAAAGGTTTTTCTATGTGAAAGTGCTTTATAAAAAACCGCATACCTCCCCAGTAAGCAGCTTCAGTAGTGTTGATTTGCCAGCTCCATTGGGCCCCACAAGGGCCACCCTGGTATCCAAGTCAATTCCAAACTCCAGGTTTTTATAAATTACTGGCTGAAAGAAGGGAAAAAAAAAAAGAAACAATGTGAGTACACTTCTTTCCTGAAGAGGGCACCACCACACAAATGTGAGAAAGGTGCTGCATCCATAAAATGCTTTTTGGTATGTTCACTGGAAATTAATGGAACTGACCCAAACATAATGTGTTGGGCACAAAGATATCCATCAGTTATGATTAAAAACCTGAACTTGAAGTGCAGAGCCTTGGCATGTAACCAAGTCAATACATTTCTAGTACATTGAAGGGGAAAAAAATAACTTCTCATGCAGACACAGGGCAAGAGAAACTGGATAAGCATCCCTACCGTTTCATCTGAATATCTGAAGCTGACATTTTGAACCATGATGACAGGAGGGGGGATCTTCCCACAGGGAGGAAAATAAAATGACAGTGTCTGGGGGGGGAAAAGGCAGAAGACAGTTTTTAGACTTGCACTGCAAGAGTACTGATAATTTCTGTAGCTTTTCAATACACAGAGAGTTGGCCAGGTCATAAGTTAAAAGAACCTGCTGTGTTGCTCACCTTGTCATTCACTACACGTTCAGTCAGGCCTGATGCAACCATCTTCTGCAGCGTTTTCTCTTTGCTCTGTGCTTGACGGGCCAGTTTGGCTGAGCCGTGCCCAAACCGTGCTATGTAGTTCTAAATGAGGACAAAGTGCTTAAAAGTTAATGGGCCAAGAGTTCTTTTCTTTAAAAATTAACACTAAAAGCCACACACAAGCTCCATAGCAGTTGAATACTGGGAATAGAAGTTCACCTTCATATGAGCGATCTGGTCCTGCTCCCAGTTAAAGCGTTTCATCTGGTTTTCTTCCAGTTCTTCTCTAGTTTTCACATACTGGTCATAGTTACCCTTCAAAGACACAGACAATGTCACAATTACTATTATTTTTTTACACACTGAAATTTGTTGAATTCATTAGCCTAAACCAAGAACCTGCACAGCTAGAGAGGAAATATACTTACTGTGTAGTATTTCAGCTTGCGCTGGTGCAGATGGATGATGTTAGTACAAACACCATTGAGGAAATCTTGAGAATGAGATATCAAGACCAGAATTCGTTTGAACCTGCAGCAGAAACGAAAGGTTCACAATTTAGAAGTAAAACAGAACATACACAGTACTAACTAAGCTTCCTGAGAATAGTCCTAGAATATTCACTGGGTTGCGTCAGTTGATCAGTTAAACGCTTCGGTCTAGTTTTTGTCAAAGCCCCAGCCATACTGAGAAAAAAACTGCATGATGGCGAAGCTACAATTCGGCCTTTTGTTTACATCATGTCAGTGACAACAACCTCTTCTGAAATCACAGGCCAGCTTCAATGTGTGTCTCTAGACCCAATGTAATGAAAGGATCAGAAACTTACTCTTTCAGCTCTTCCTCCAGCCACACACAGGCATCAAGGTCCAGGTGGTTTGTGGGCTCATCAAGGAGGAGCATGAAGGGTTTGAGGAACAGGGCTCTGGAGATGAGAACATTGATAAATTATGTGATTGTGTCCAACAAACCAGGTGTTAGGTAAAGAGCAGTCGGGCATGGAGCTGCAGAAATCAGATAATACGCTTCTGAAATTTTTTGTCACTACACAGTTGTGACAGCGAGTTTCCGCTTGGCAACTGTGCTATCATTCGGCCTTTTGTTACATCATTTTTCAGCAGCATGGAAGTGAGCGTGACCAATCTAGGTGAGCTACAGCAGAAATGACAAACACTTCAAGAATAATTAAATGGGCATTAAAGGTTTACCTGGCAAGAGCAACACGCATCCTCCAGCCTCCGCTGAAGTCTTTAAGCTTCTTCTGCTGCATGGTGGTGGAAAAGCCCAGACCATGGAGGATACGGGATGCACGCATCTCTGCTTTGTCTGCATCCAGTTCCTCTAACCGTTCATACAGCTCCATTAGCTTCTCACATTCAGCTAAAAGGCAGGTAAGTGAAAGTTGAAACAAGCGTACTTGCCTTTAGAAACAATGATACCAAAGACATGCACTACAACAAGCATTTGTTCCTCAACTGTACTGCCTCCTTATAGGAAAAAGAAAAGAAAAAAAGGGGGAAAAAAAACAAAAACACCACAGAGTGTTCTGATAGTGGTCTATGCCATACCATGCCTAGGAATAAATACAATCACAAAGAGAAGAGCATCTATGACAATGTGGAGAGCCCCTTTAAGACAGCTGAGCTAGAATGGTTTATACTCAATAACATATAGATATACTCGGTAAAACTCACAGTCTTCATGGGCGAGCCTCTCAGCCTCTCTCTCTAGCTGGATTCTCTCCTCATCAACCTCCATGACACACTGCAGTGCTGTCTTCTCACTGGGGGGCATCTCACGCGTCAGGTGGTAAATGTCAATGTGTTCTGGAATGGGCACCTCCCTATGACCAATGGCTGACAGCAACATGGATTTACCTGAACAAACAAAGGGGGTAAATGACACCTGGCCATAAAAACACCAAAAGGCCAAACTGCCAAATGGCAACTTTCACACATCTACAGATAGTAGCGTTTGTGCTTCCCCAAGGCATCTTGAAACTTACCTGTTCCATTGAGTCCAATAAGGCCATAACGGCGGCCTGAGTTGAGTTCCAGACAGGTATCACTGAGCAGCTCCTGCCCATGGAAGGTCAGTGATAAACTGCTGATGTGCACATCTGTGCTGTTGGGGTGAGAGGCGAGCACCCCTGTCACAGCACGTGCCTCTGTTTTCTTCAACTCAAACTCATCCAGCTCCTTAGTCAAACTGGCAACTCCTGTAGATGACAGAACATTATCTTTAAAAAGACTGAGACCTTAATGTTTTAGTGGTCAAGTCAAGCAAGTTATGCTACAGCCTCCAAGTACACAAGCCTTGAAGCACTCTTTACAACACAGGTTTCTGACTCACCGTTGACCTCAGCCGCACCATTCTCCTGGCTCTCGGGTTTCTCTGCCTCGCCATTAACTTCTTCAGCCTTCTTGGGCCGTTGACGGGCCTTGGCTGCTTCTTTCTTCTTCGCCGCTTTCTTCTTTGCTAAATCGGACGGCATGGCAACTGTGGAGCCCAGGAACGGGAAAAAAAGCCCTGAGGACACACCAAGCAACGGGTAAGCAAGAGTGAGAGACTACCCACCACACTGCGGTCATCACGGAGACAGGTACCTAAGGCTACTTAAAGCTTTTTTTTTTTCTAAACCACAAAGAAACTCTGACTTTGTCACTTAAAACTTGAACCGAACAGACACCAACCGCCTACAGGGAGCAGAGACTAGCCGACGCTGCCTTTTTTCTGACTTGTGTCTTGAAATGTGTCAAAGATTTCACATGGGAATATTTACCTCCGGTGGACAATATCTCACTCTTGACGTAGCGACTCGTCGTCTTAGCTACCAATTATCGACGCTGGAAAAAAAAATCGTGCTTAGCTAGCCTGACTCGCCTTTCCTAGTCATTTCAGCGAGCATTCTCCAGGACAACCATATCCACATCTGACAGACGCTTTTATAAAAGGATTTACAACGCTGTAGTTACAGAACCTAGACGGACAGACAGCACTGTGGCTCCTTCCTGGAGTAACGTTAGCTCCAACCACGATGCTAAAGCTAACCGGCCCGTAACGAGGCTAGCTAGCCGGCTAGCTCGAAAAATAAGAATAAAAACGACGACAAAATTACCGCGTCTAATCAAATATGACACTTAAGCACGTGCTGATGATACGGCCGAAGTGAACAGAGGACAAAAGGCCTTGACATCGACCTCATGTCGGAGGTTTCCGACTCCGAACTGCGTGTCGCCGCATTGTGTCCTCGCACTGCCGGCAAAACTCGGCCTCACACCGCCGCCCCGGCGACCAAGACAGTAATTTCTCCACAGAATGTGGCCTGCGAGTCAAAAGCCTTAAGAAAGGGAGAGAAACATTTCCATTTTTCTTAAAATATTGATAAAAGCAGCCTCGTTTTCGTTACCTTTTTCTCTTCTCCTCGCTGCGCTAACGGAACACAGACCGTCTCACGGAACGCACAGCGCGGCAGAGAGCGGCGCGTGCCCTCAATACCGGCTCGTCAGCCAATCAGATTTTTAAGAAAATGACGCTCCGCCTCCGGATTGGTGGAGCCTGACTGGATTGGGCTGTTGCGTCGAGGCGCCAGAATCAGTGCGTCATGTCCTGGTCAGCGTTTCGATTGTGACTAATAGAAGTTTACTGTGAGTTCACGTTTGTTTTTGGTTGAATTCCACAATTTCACACACACACACACACACACACACACACACACACACACACACACACACACATATATATATATATATATATATGAAACAAAAAAGAAATGTATTCAAATCGTGGAAAATATGTTTTCTTTGGGGATTATGTTGCCTCACAGCGCCCTGCATGATTTTTTTTAGAAATTTGTTTTAGAACCAAAATCTGTCGTAAAACAATGTGTCAGATATCAGGCAAGGCATTCATAACCATTTTATGTTTAGAGGTGGACGTCTGGTTCCAATCACCACCATTGTGGACAATTTTGACTCTCTATGTTTATCACATTAAACCAATCTGTTTACAACTTCACCGTTTAATTATGTAGAAACGTTTAAATTTCGGTGGAGTTCCCCTTTAAATGTGAAGCATGTGTGGATATCATTTAGGGCTGCTTCTGAACACGTGGGGCCCCTAACAGACATTCTACTTGGTGGTTCTTTTGAATGCAAGAATAAAACAATAATTAATACGTAATTATACTTAATAAACAAATAGTTTAAGAAAAAGAACGGCACTCCCATCGCTTTTTGACAAATAATATTAAATACATTTTAAAATATGAACGTAACGCCCCCTGGTGGCTCAGGGGTCCTAAGCAACTGCTTACTCTGCTTTTAGCACTATTAAGGAACAAACGAGAGAGAGAGAGAGAGAGAGAGAGAGAGACAGAGAGAGAGAGAGAGAGAAGAGGAACAGCTACACTAGTTTACACACCTACACTCTTAAAAAAGATGGTTCTTCAAAGTTTTTTTTAGCGAAAATGGTTCTATATGGAACTAGGAGCACTCAAGGAACCTTTTGCGATATTACAGGGTTCTCAGCATCATGAAAATGTTCCTAAGATTGATGGAATCCTTCAGAAAGGTTCATTATAGAACCATCTACAGCACGTTTTCAATCAATCTGAAGAACCCTTTTATTATGCAAAAAACCATGTAATCTTGCAAAAGGTTCTGTAAGTGCTTTTTAAGAGTGTGACATTTCTCCATTAAAAAGGCCATTGTTTTAGATAGTTTAAATTTGGTTTAGGCTTGATCTGGCATTGGGAAACCAGCATGTGGGCTCAAATTCTTGAGTGTAGTGTTTCTTAAACCACAGCTAAATGTGAAATGCTAAAATTATCATTCAGTGTTGGGCAAGATATTTTGAAAAAGTAGTGATGGCTGAATATGGAATACACAGAATACCTTTGGAGTACATTTACAATACATCTATGTAAAGCACATGGGATTTTTTAAACTTTATTCATATTGTTCCTCACTGTTACTGGTTGGCAGTTTTCTTCATGTATTTATTCTGTAAATGTTTTTTTTTAATTGTTTTGAAAATTCTCTTTTTTCCCATTACCTGCTTCAGTCCACTGCTGCTCCCATAATCCCCCTAGCAGGAGTCCAGTACAACACTGATGCTAAGGTTATCACTTGCAAACATGTTCACTACTGAGATGGTTATTAGTCTGATCATTCCTCAGAAAAAGCTCAGTAACACTGAGATTAATAACTGATCATCACATTGATTTATCAGTCTACTCAGGCTTTAGCAGAGATCAGTAACACTAAGATTAATAACTGATCATCACATTGGTTTATCAGTCTATGCAGACTTTAGCAGAGCTCAGTAACACAGATTAATGACTGGGTCATTACATTGGTTTATCAGTCTACTCAGGCTTTAGTAGAGCTCAGTAACAGATTAATGACTGATTATCACATTGATTTATCAGTCTACACAGACTTTAGCAGAGATCAGTAACACTAAGATTAATAACTGATCATCACATTGGTTTATCAGTCTATGCAGACTTTAGCAGAGCTCAGTAACACAGATTAATGACTGGGTCATTACATTGGTTTATCAGCCTACTCAGGCTTTAGTAGGAACTTCTACTTCTACTCCTGTAGACAGTGTTTGTAAAGAGGCTGTTAATTGAGATCCTATTTAGAATTAATTCATTCACAGATTCTAAAATAGTTAATAAATATGTTAATAATGGTATTTTTATTGGATTTTTTATTTTGTAAGTATTCTAAAAGTATTCTCCAAAAAATGTAAAAGTAACTGTATTCTGAATACTGCCCTTACAAAATGTAACATGGAATAAATACAGACACAATTTCATTCACAACTGTTAGCATTAGTGATAGCATGATGGCACTTTTTCTATTCTGATCTGATTTCTATTCTTGAAAATCATTTGAGAGTGGTAGTTTTTCTTCTTTACAAACTACTAAGCTTTAAAATGAGTTACTTTTAATCAAAACACTTCACTTAACATGAGCATCTAAAAGTAGGCCACCATCCTCAAACACTCTGCTAGCCCCCAGGAAAATCTACACAGCTAACATCATCACATCACACAGTGAGCTATTTCAGGATTCATTTGTTACAGGACTGGACTGAATTAATTCTTTTTCTCCTTCAATATCCAATCCAGCATTTTTAGCTGAGATCGGCCACATACCAATACCAATCAATACTGACATGCCTTCTCTAGTTAGCACACTGAAGGATAAGGGTACTAGTTGAAACACTTTAAAATGTTTTATGGCACAGAAACCTGTTTTCTGAGAAATGAGAAAAGATAAAGGATGATGTCATCTGCTGGTAACCTGTTGGTAAAATGAGCTGTTAGCAGGATAAGTATAAACTTGACCAACATATCATTACAGTAGCTCCAAAACTTAACTTTACAGAAGAAAAAAAATCTTTTAATGGAAGTTAATTAAACATTTTGTTTCCCAAGTAGCTTTGGACCATGTCTATTGGTCCATTCATCTTGAAAATGTAACACAATGTAAAGGAAACCTGGCATTTTCAAATTCTGTTAAAAAATAAAAAAATGACAAGAGTGGAGATACAAGGTTTTGTCCTGACAGCAAAGACACGCAAATATGTTTTTAAAACTCTCTACATTTTACAGAGAGAAAAACACACCAGTGCATTAATAAGTAGAACATTTGTTTGAAAACGTGATCAAGTAAAACCATTATTTTAATTATTCAGAAAAGTACAAATGTCAGGAAAACAAGTGCAGCAACCACATACTTGAATCTGTTTCCACAAAGTGCATATTGTAAGATTAAAGGTAAATTAAATTACTCCTTGGTTTGCTGATGAGCTGAATGTATTTATTCATTTACAGATACCAAATGTTTGCAACATGAGACCACAGGACACCTTCATTTACCATAAATAAAGAGCAGAAGAATTAGAAAAAAATTAGAGGATTATGCATTTCAGAGTGAGAATGATCATTTCTGGCATTCATGCATAGCATTTTCTTACCAGATTCAGATTCAATGCCAAGCCCCATTATAACTCATTACATTTCTAACTATTCAGGTGTCTTAAACAGCCTTTTAGACCACACTGACAAACATTATGTATGCATGGAGGACTCACTGAATGGGTCAATAGAAGCATCTACCTTCAAGGCCATCATGACTGAATCTATGCATATTTATGTAATGCTGGTCAACTGCTCTGACCTCCCCCTCCTCCCACAAATAAAATACATAACAATGATGCAAAAAAGAGACTGACCCACACTTAAAACTTTGGTAAATGCTTTTTCCCCTCATGTGCGTCTCCAGTGAGCTTTTTAAGGCAACATTTTCGATGGATTCATGCTAAACATGTTTCCTAAAACAGGCCTGTATGTTCTCATGCAACATGCAGTGTCGTGTTTCTAAAACAGACGTATCTGACTATATTTAGTTTCACTGGCAATTAAAGCCACCAACAAAATGGCTTTAACTTTAAAACATTTAAACTCACTGGTCAGGAAGAAACAAGAACAAATGTTTTGGGACATAAGAGCAAAGTATTCATCTTTAAAGCTCCTGTTCTTCTGTCTTTGCTTTCTGCATGAGCTCAACACAAACCAGAACAGAAACATTTTCAGTGAATCTAAACCTGAAGCTTAGTCATTAACAAATACACAGAAAAATATACTGCATTTACTTGATTCAAATGTCTACGTCATTTCCACATGAATAAAATGCATTACGTCGACACTCGTTTTTCTGTTCATTCAGAAAAAGTTAAAAAAATTTTAAATGGCCAGCCACATCATTAATTCTTATTGTTTTATATACATTAATTACTTATTATATACAGCGTAAATTTAAAAATAAACTGTTCTCCAAAGGTATTTTTAGATGTTGTATTTAATATTTGCTATTTTGTGAACAGGAAAAATGATAAATTATATATTGCAATTATCTATTTACGTTCAGTTTTTTATCAATCTGCCTTGAGTTTTGATTTCCACTTTTGGAAATAGAATAAAATCTGTATGGTTATTTTATACCTTCATTCTCAATCTTATACAGCTTTCTAATCTAATTTACAATCTTCTACAGCCATACATTTAATTTACATTGGATTTACTAAAAGTTAAATATTGATTGAATTTGGAGTGTCCGTTCAGATAGCCTGTTTTTTCTAACCTTTACTATAGCTGATACTTATCAGCAGATCATATAGCAGGAAATTAATCAAATTAGACAGGTGTCCTTGAAACATTTTCCATTCAAAAGATGAAAGCATCAAGTGAAAATAAAATTCTAATTTAAAACACAATAAAAAGTGAAATAAGGTCAGATAAACCTCATGCTGTACGACAGTTTTTGCCTGCCACAGATAACCAACATGGCAGGCCACGACAGGATGGGGAAAAGAACCAAGTGAAATATGAGCGAAAAACCACACTGTTTTCTGTTTGTCATAGTCATCCCTGCATGCTTCAAATCCTGACAACTGTTTTCAAGTTGTTGAATGCAATTTTGCTATCATGGATGTTTTAGCACTGTTCTGTGCAGTTTCATTACCATGGTTTTTCTCCGGTTTTGTGCTTTAGTTCCGGGGATGCCAATGACTCAATGCTCCCCACCAATCTAACTTAAGTGGCACCTATGTGTACACCTATGTTCATCATTCTTATTTACAGCTTCCTAGTGTCCTACTTATTATTTGAAACCTGTAAATTTGTACAGCGCTACCATATTAGAATCATTTAATCCATTTATCTGCAGCCAGGTTTTGTATTATTGAAACTATGATTCCAAACTTTTGAACACCAGTGTTGTTTGTTCATGTAGAAATGATGTACACATTTGAATCGAGTAAATTCGAGTAAAGCAGCACTAAAATGTGAGCACGGATACGTTCCGTATTTGATTAAAAAAAGTCTGCTTTATTCCAGCCTGGTGGAGTTATGGTAGTCATTTAGTTAAGAAGACAGATGAAAGTTTACACAGTGCTTCAGTTCACAGACACAGGACAGATAAGAAGTAGAGACAAGGGATGCCCACCTAAAAAGCAACATACAATACCTGTTAATACATATTCACATTGATATCAGTAGCAAAAACAGTCCGCTGACGAAACAAACGCCCCCTCGCCCAGTCTTTTTCACACTGTCCAAAGGTTCAAAATATGCTGGAAATCATTCGTACCCACGGTATAAACCTTTCACTCAAAAAGGACACTGTTTTTGTGCAGCCGTTAAAATGTTTGGTCACACATAGATGTTAAAAGAGTAGCATCTGTTTTACTCCCTCTCTCTCTGAACTGTGGCATAAGAAATTTTCAGATGACCTCATATTCAAAGAGTCTTGTTTCCGGTAGCATTTATAAACTCAAAACTGAATTGTAACAATCTATACAAACTGTACAATAAATAACAAGATAGCATTTCGGCATTTGCTCAACAGGTTTTCATAATGTTCAAGGATACTGAGAAAGGTGTCCAGTATGCTGGAGATACATCAGTAAATTGAAATTCTCCTTAACTGGCAATCAAAAGGGCTGGTAATTCTTTTCCAAAGTGGAAATGATTTTAAGTTGTGCGCATGGCCAAGGCCTGTTCGAGCTCTTGTCTTCGTTGTTGAATCTGCATTATAAAAAATAAAACACAATAAAAGTGTATTAATATGAAAAAGTCTGCTGCCTTAGGTATACAAATATTAAGGGTGTATTAAGGGTGGCCGTACACACTTATCACTTCTAAGACTCAGAAAAGTGAATGCTTGATATTAAATTTGCTTAAAAAATGAAACAATGAAACATCAAAAAGAGAAAAAGAATCACTTTTTATTATTATGATGAATGAAAATCAAGGACATATGGCCATATAATGTAGATGTATTATATGGTGGTTTATAAACCTCATACTTGTGGAGGTCACAAATCAGCATGTACCCTTCTCACTCACCTTGCAGTAAAAGTAGCGACTGACAGCTTCCTGAGACCAGGGCTGGTTATAAAACTCAGCTCTCCTTTCTTCCTCTGGGTTCCCCACCACATCTGTCATGAGCTACACAAGTAACCAAAGACAAAGCTGTTCAAGCAAAAAACATGACAAAAAGTTTCACCTACTTTTTCTTAGCTTTTCTTTCAAAATCCACTTAATGCCTTTCTTCAGGATTAGATTATAAATAGGACTGGGCTCAAATCAGAATTGCATTTGTGAATTTGTTGAAACAAATCAAACAATCTGAAATTGAATTGGAAGTCAAGAAACACATTACTTTTGAATTTTAATTCATAAAATGCACATAAATTCAGCAGTAATGTTTTGTAAGTAATTTGAAAGCCTCTGTATAAAATGGATAGTTCCGGTCCTAAAATCTGATTAGCTGAGCCGCATTCAAAGCCACTGTAAAATACATAATATGCACACACCTATGACCCTGTGGCATGCGCCCGCCCCCCGAACACAGGGGGGCAGGGCCTGAACACCCAGCGGCGACGAACCTCGTTGAGGACGGCAGAGAGAGAGCCGCGAGCGTGGAGGGGGCGGAGCGCAAAGCCCGAGCTCCGCCGAGGGACGCCAGTCACACGAGTGACGGCAGGAGGAGGATGACGACGGTGCCGGCAACAAGTGGCACGAGGGCAAGCAGTGAGTCCCGAGCTCCGCCACTTGAGCCCCGCCCCCTGGTAAACAGTGGTGCCAAAACCCGGGAGGAGGACGCCACCACACTGAGGGAGTCTCCACGGCGGAAGAGGAGGCCGTCAAGACCCTGGCACACCTGCACCTGGCCGGCTGGCGGGAGCTGCAGGCTGTCTTCCAGGATGCTGAAAAGCACTGGAAGCAGCTTGAGGAGCAGCAGGTGGCAACCCATCAGATGGTCAGGAGCCTGCTGGCGGAGCGGCAAACCTCGGTCTGCGTGGGGGCAGGAGCCCCCTTCTCACCGCCCCTCAAACCTCCAGTCCCAGCTCCCAGAAGGACTGGAGCTCTTCTCCCCCTCCCCTTCCTGCTCTGAGAGCGCTCAGAGCTTACCGTCTCTCCCCTCCCGTTCCTGCTCCGAGCTTCGCACCCATCCCGTCCCCGCCGCCGGAGAAGCCGCGGAGGCCCCGCCTGCCGCCAAAATCAGTGTGACCCTGGCTTCTCCCACCCTCCCGCCCTGCGCTGGGGGGGTGTGGGGGGGCAATGGCTCAGGCCAGTGAGTTGGGTGGTGGGGGTATGTGGCATGCGCCCGCCCCCCGGGCCCCGACAACGACGGCCGCAAGAGCTGGCAGGAAGGCGGGGCCCGAACACCCAGCAGCGACGAACCTCATTGAGGACGGCAGGGAGAGAGCCGCGAGGGTGGAGGGGGCGGAGCGCAAAGCCCAAGCTCCGCCGAGGGACGCCAGTCACGCGAGTGACGGCAGGAGGAAGACGACGGTGCCAGCAACAAGCGGCACGAGGGCAAGCAGTGAGTCCCGAGCTCCACCGCCTGGGCCCCGCCCCCTGTTGCGCAGCAAGGCCGCTCCACTACACCTCACGTTCGACCCGGGCGGCTGAGCTGCAAGCTGGGGGCGGTGACAGGGAGGCAGAGCGGCGAGCTCTCGTTCCCTCTCGGCTCAGGTGCGCTGCCCTTAATGAGAGCCAGCTGATTCAGATCTGGCTGGCAGCGTGAGCGCCTTTTAAAAGAGCTGAGAGGGAACAGAACAGAGAGAGAGAGAGGGACGAGCAGCAGCCACAAGAGCAACAAAGACTGAAGAGCTGAAAAGCTGTGAGGATAAAGGACTGAAAAGTCTAGCTGACTGAAGCCACTGAAAAGTGGCCAGCCTAGGTTTTGTGTTTTGTATTGTTTGTTTAAATTTGGGTGAATTAAAGTAATGGCTGCTGCAACCCTGAACGCTGCCTCCAGCGTCCTCCTTGAGCCTGGGGTAGCACATGGCGTGCTACAGACCCCATCAAAACAACTGAACTTTGTATTACTGCGCACGTCACGAAAAATCCGTGTGTTATTAATGAAATAATCTTTGACTTTAATGCTGCTCACATGGACTATACTGATGAAGTAAGAACTTCAAACAGAGGGGCTTACAATTTATTTTCTTAACTAGAACTAGGATGGTAAGTTAGCTAACAGGCTAAACAACTCTATCATTAATACCACAGGCCTGAATTAAGGTATATGATTCACTGTAAAACTATTACTTGAATGGCTTTTATGCTTCAAATGTCTGTCTTGCAGTCAGAAGCCGCATCAAACTTGGGCTGTATCTCAAACGGCTCCGTACTACCTAAATAGTGTGCTATGTCAGTTTAGAAATTCCAAATAGTGCATCATTTGTCAAGTGTGGACTATTTTTTAGCTATATTATGCACTGCTGAGGTGCAGGAGCCAGCATTTAAATTACTATGTAGTGCACTATGTAGGGAGCAGCGAGTCGTTTGAGATGAAGGGGGTTTTAGGTACTCTGCTTGTGTTGTGCTGTGATGAGTGGATCAGACACAGCAGAGCTCCTGGAGTTTGTAAACACCTCAGTGTCACTCCTCCACTGAGAATAGTCCACCAACCAAAAATATCCTGTGGGCAGCGTCCTGAGACCGTTGATGAAGTATTAGAGGATGACCAACACAAACTGTGCAGAACCGGTGAGCTATCGTCTCTGACGATAGGTGTGTTTAATAGACTGGAAACAGTGTTTAAAAACTCCACCAGCACTGCTGTGTTACCTGCTCTGTGGTGGTCCTGTGGGGGTCCTGACATTGAAGGACAGGATAAAAATCTGTATATTATATTAAAATATACAACAAATTCATTATTACCTGACTCTAATTATATTTCCTTTACTGTTAAATTTTGCCTATCAATTTAAACTCGAAGTCATGAAAAATACCGTATTTTGCTGCAATTGGTGAGACAATCTGGATGTGGCCCTAATGCCGGTTAGAAAACAGAAGATTAGCACAGTTTGTCACCTTAAGGTCCCGGTTCTGTGAACAGATCCAGTCCTGGATGTAGCCCTTTGGATCTCTGGAGAAACTGAGCATGAAATCTCTCTGGATCTTCAGCTGGTTGATGGACTCAATGGTCTCATGAATCTGAGGAAGCACAGAGATGCAAGTGATAAATATGGAATAAATGCATAGAACTTCTCACTTTTGTAAAATTAGTGTATAACAGCAAGACGTCTTGTAGAAAATGTTCTAGTTTGTACACCAATAAACTTTATTGCAATAAGCAATTGACCAGATGATGCGGCTGCAGTGAATGTCTTGCCTTATTGTCCAGTGATGCTATCTCCTGCTGATTAGCGGTCGAGAGCAGAAAGCCACTCATTTGAGTTTTTAGAGGATCATCCACTTCAACGTCAATGTCATAACAGGCCGTCTTTTTGTGATCGTTGGGATCCACACTGTTAGACGAGGGTACAGAATGTCTTTATAAACTTTAGAAACAATCCCCAAGCTTCCAAGATGTCACAATATGTTGGCTTACAAAAAAGCAGAAAAACTTCACAAACATATTCACATTTGAGGCAAGTATTCAGTACCTGATAACATGATTGATCACAATGGGATCAGGCGGCAGCAGCAAGTTGGTGAGCCGCTGAGGAATCTCACAAAACTTCAGACGTGGACAGTCAAAGATCTGAAAGGAGACCAAGTCCGTGTCAGCTAAATGACACCTTCTTAATATATTCACTAGGAATGGTGGTAGTGATGAAATCAATGACAATACCATGATCTCATTTGGTATACTGTAATGTACTGTTCACTGGTTTCCCAAAAATGCAGCTGTTATCACTCAAACACAGAAAAAGGAACATATTAGGTGGGTTTCACCTTGTGTTTTTTTTTTCTTGGGAGTTCACAGTGCATCTCCATATTGCTAAGCAATAACAGTGTCATAACAGTCAATCTCTGCTAGTCAGCTATTGTTTGGATATGCACAAGCAAAAAGTTCTGGCCCTTTTAGAAAGTGACATACTAAAAAAAAAGGATACCTTTTGTCTATCTCCCTTACAGCAGTCACTGAAGGTCCGCCTTAAATTTGATGTGACTGGCTGATGCAGTAAAAGTGCTCATGATGTAGGCTACTTCACACACACCTCTCTCATCTGACCGACAAAATGCATTCAATGTGAACCCCTCCTTACTCCAGCACTTCAATGTCTACCGATTTCATACAGATTGTCTAATTTGATGTCCTAGCACCTTCTTAAATAACACATTCTCAGATACTCTGACATCTATATTTAGAAGACCTAAATCTTCACATAACTTTACTTCAGAGGTCCATAACTGTCTAAAGTACTATTCAGACAGGGATGGTTCATTTTTATTATTACCTCAGTTGTGTTAGTTGCTCAAAGAACCTTAAGCTGCATTTTAATGTATAGTTGGTGGAATATAAAAATAAAGTAATTATTAATGAATGCTGAAAGCTATTAATATTAATGTAAGCTATAATGCTCAACAGCATGGACCAAAATGTCAGTACCTGCTGGAAATATTTGTCACAGTTGATGTATTCCTTTTCATGGGAGTCTTGCAGCTTGTTGGTCTTTACGTATTGCCACAGCGCCTGGATGATGCAGGAGCGGGTCTGTGTGTGGATGCCCAGCAGACGAGCAAGTCTGGGGTCCAGCTTAAACTGGGGGGGCTGTGAAGGGTTAAAAAAATACATCAAAGTCTGATCCATGCAATGTTGTATGGTGGTTCAGCATAAAACCACTAATGATGTATTTGAAATGCTAGTGACTTTGTAGTTATGCTGTCTCCTTAGTCTTTGCTCGTAACAACTGCAGAGTCATTGCTGAATAAGACAATAAAGTGGCCTCATGAGTAGCCAGCACTAAGTGTAAACTTTCAGAGACACAGCAAGACTTGCATTCTGAATAGAGCTGATCACTTGACACTGACCATCCATTGAAACTAATGGCTCACCAAATGAAGTTAACTACTATTCATATGTTAAGATAGGAAGTGACAAAGCCAATTAGCATGAAGATGGCCTTTAAGGGCTTTTAAGAGCAAAATGTGCTATTAAGCATAACAATCAAAAGATGTCTGTCAAAATCTTTTACATTGTAAGCTGTGAATCACCCTGTTTATCCTAGCTACAAATATAGAGTCAAACTTGGAAGGAGGCCCAGTTCCTATAGAGAGCAGCAGTATGAGTAATCTTTAATAATAATCCAGCAGCCCTGTTCACACCTGGTAATCCAACATGAGGAGCAGAGTGCACCGCACATTCACATCTCCTGGCCTCTTTACCTGAAAGCCATCCGTCTCTTGGGTCGTGGGAGTGCGATGCCACTATTAGCACAACAAAACACAACATACCAAAAACATTGTTACATTTATTAACCATTTAATAGCGCAAAAGTGCCTTATTACAGTCATACAAGTCTCACCAGTGATACATTCAGAGACTTTGTCAATGTTCCCATTATCTCAAGAAAATCTGTGTTCAGAGTAGTTACGACACATGCATGTCCATGTTGGCAGTAAAATGTATTAGCATGTGAAATTAGAGCTTTCTTTGTAATACCGTGTTTCCTATCACCACAGAAAAGACGAACAATGCGCCTGACAAAATGTCTGCCCTCACACAAGGTGACGGTCTTCTTTTTTCTCTAATGTTCAACAACAGATTACTCCCCATGGATAAAATGTAAACTCACCCATAAAGTAATCATGTAATCTAGTGCACCAAGCCACATCACTCCAGTTCAAAACTTAATAATGCATCGCAGTTAAAGCACTGATAAATGCCAAGTTAACCTTTACATTCTTTTCATATAAATTTAGTGGAAATTTTAAACACTATTTCTGAATGTATCACATTTGGAATCAGTTAACTAACTTCACAAACTCGCTGATTTCAAGCGAATAGACACGAGGCGGTAACGCTGGCCGAGGTAACATACCATTAGCTTTTGTCTGTTTATCTAAGGACTTCACTGTCTTTCTCAGTGTAAAATTCAAGTCATCTACTATGGCTTTCTGATGTCCCATTCTGGTTTTAATATAAAGCAGTGATGACAAAATAATAAGTAGTGTACTAAGGTGAGCAGAGAACATTGGTGGGAGTCAAATGCACACATTCTTTTTTTCTGTGATGCTGCATGATGCAGTGCGTCTAATGTGTGGTGGCTTTAGGTGTAAAAAAAGTGTAGAAAAGTTACAAGACTTCTTCCTAGTAATACTTGTGGAAAAACTACAGGGGTAAACTTCACAAAAATACTGAAAATAGTATTTATTAATACATAGTTCCTCTCTTAGTCAGACTTCCCACCAGGGCAATCACCCACCCCCCAAGATATCTGCCATAATTCAAACCCGGAATCAGAGTAACAATAAAAAGCCAATAATGTGTGAAGTACATTCTTATTAATGTGTTTTCTAGTTTAAAAGGGTAGATTATGTATGAAATAAATGCAATAACAGCATTAAAATCACATTCTTAAGGACAGTGTATTAAAAAGAAGAGTAGATTAAAAAGCAGAAACAGCTGCTTGATTGCATTTTCTGTTAACAGTGTGTTTTCTTAATGTTGTTTTTTGTATTCATTTTGATATGCATAGAACAAGATCTAACAAAGCTGAAAATGCATTGGTTTATATTTTGCTTGAGTCAAACTACCTCTTTGAACAAGCAGACAAATGAATAGGCATTTACTTTACAATTCATTCCATTTTTATTGTTACTCTTGATGAAAAAAATCAATAATAAACCCTCAGTGATCTGAATTCTGTTCTGAATGTGTGCATTGTAGAGCTTCTGATAATAAAGGGAACATTGTGCTTCCTTTATATAGAGGTAAAAAAACATGATAGCACACAGAAAGTTTCAATTCCATATGCTGATATATTTTACTATGCCCAGTGAGGACACGCACACAGCCAAAATAGTCTAAAGCAGGGGTGTCAAACTCAACCGCTAAAAGGGCCATATTAAGAGTCTCAACAAATCCGTGGGCCAGGATGTGTTTTTTTTTTACTATAACCCAAATTGGCCATTGTTTATTCAAAAGATGCAAAAACGTCAACAGTAAAATTCAGACACTTGTGGTAGAGCTTGAAATATTACATGAATACTTGAAATATTCAAAATTTAAATGTCTCCAGGAGCTACATCTTTTAAATGTACCTATTTGCTTATGATGTATGTATGTAATGTATATAATACAATATTGGTTGAACTGCAGCTGAAAAGCAGCTTGTGTGTTTTTGTGATATGACTGGTGTGGAATTGTGTAGAATTGTGTAGAATTGTGTAGAACTGAGGTGTAATCGCTGTTCCATAGATTGTTGTTGGAGTAGGAGAACTGGAGCGCACATTATGCTCCAGTGCATGTTGGGGACTGTATTGCAGTGCACTGTGAAACGGGCTAATATTAATAGAAAATTAAAATACTTCTGCGGGCCAAATAGGATTGTGCCTTGTGTTTGACACATGGGGTCTAGAGGCAGATTTTCTGTGAACGAATGGCTGATATGTTAGGCAATGGTTAATAATAAGGCATCTTGGAAGAGAATATCAGGAGCAGATAAACAGTCAGCCTGTGTGCTGTGTTAAACGCTAGATTCAAACATCTCTGCAATGACAAATAGAAATAAAGTATTTTAAAATAAAGTATTTTTGTGGGCCTAATCAGAAAATACCATCATTAAAATGACAGAGCTTTTTTGATATACAGTGCAATGAGGCTGTCTGGGGCTGAAATAATACTCTTTAGGGCGCCTTAATGCACTCCGTATCGTTTGTTATTCTAAGACTATGGCATGTCATCCAGTGGTCCCCCCTGTCATTTGAAAGGAAAATCATAATGGCAGTGACTCACAGCTCAACTCAATTAGCGTCGCTAGATACTGCATGGACTTTCAAGGCCTCTCTACACAGGTAAATCACTCTTTTATTATGCGTCGCTATCTGGTATGTGGCTTGATGAAAACGCTCAAGCACCAAGGACAGTTTAAAGTGCCACAGATTGAATACGCCAAAAACCTCCCATCCACAGCACGGCAGGACAGATACCGAGATGCAAAGGGAACGGCCTGAAAGCACGACAATGCTAAAAGGAGGGGTCACCTCTCCAGAGATGAGGACTGCCTACGTAGAAGCGCGCTCACAAGAGCCGAAAGCTTCAACCAAAATCCATAAATATTAAGCGGGTGAAGCAGCTGGAAACGTTCCCTTGTGTAATGTAAATGCCTGAGTCTGCCTTAATAGCACCTGTGCACAATGGCTCCTCCGCTGAAACAGAGTAAACTGGCCAGAAGTCTCTCAAGTTCCATCCATTTTAAGGCGGTTTCATAAGTTTTTGCCTTTAGCCATGAATTTGTTTTCTTCCAAGAATGCTACACTGAGCTTGATCCTCGCTGTAGTGCCATCGCTCCAAAGTGTCATGGGCAATGTTTTATGTAAGATATTGCTATGGAAACCAGGAAGACATTTCTTCTATGAAGTCTGGATTACTGAACTTTTCTTACATTATTAAGCAACAACTTTTATACTGCTGAGCAACTCAACAAAGAATTCACATTATTTTTTTTAGGAACACTACACACACATACACACACACACACACACACACACACACACACACACACATACACACACACACTACTATAACATCTGGAACGATAGGTTTCTTGCAAATTAGCTGCCTCTTCATTACAGACACAATCAAGGACCTGACTGCACTTAGAGCCCTATTGATTTAGGAAGGGCTTCATGCACCAAGCCTTAACTACCATTTAATTGATTCTTGAGCATTTATAATTCTTCCTAGAATAGAGACTTGAGCACTATTAAATGCATGGCTGCATTTTTTTAAGTGCCAGGATATATGAGGGATGGATGGATCCTTACCTCCACTATGTGGTTATCAGGGCCATACAGGTCCTTATCCAGCTCAATTACCAAGCTCTTGAAGAAAGAAGAGAATTTCCTCTTTTGCTTTCCAGGCTATGGCACAAGGAGACATTCATGAAATTCATCTCAAGAACATCAACAAAATGACAAATTTAAATGACGTATTTAAGTAATAGACACATTTTGACCCTAAAACCGCCTTTTCCTCCCTTTTATTTCTCACTCACAGCTTAATGAAACCGATGAAGATATTCTATTATGTTTATCCCACATTTATGCTTTTAAATAAAAGAAAAAAACACTTCATCACAATTTGAATCTGATGAAAAGGTACTGTCTAACATTTTTGTTTCACAGTAAGAACTCCAATGCTTTACATTTCTGCTATGCTTCTGTCATTTAAACTTGTTAAAACAGAAATCACTTAAATGTACTTGTTAATACAGCAAATCAAATGTGACTATTATATAAATATGACAAACATATTTTTCATATTTCATATGGATTTTTCACTCTTTAGTGATACAGTCATATGCAGAAGTTTGGGCCCTCCTAGTCAAAAGATGTTTTGTTGATTTTCTAAGAAAATAGAATTGTGTTTTATTGTTGAGGAGAGCACATCATATACAGGGAACACAGTTCTGCACATTCTACTGTTTATTTGCTGAATGTAACATGGAAAAAAAATTAAACACATGTATTAAAACAATGTGGCCTGTGCAAAAGTGATGGCATGTTTTAAATTTTGTATTTTTTTTTTTGCCAGTGTGTTAAATAAACAGAAATTGTGCACTAGGATCGCCTTTGTGTCCTGTATTGGACGCAATAGAAATCAACAAAACATGTAATTTTACCATGGATTTTCAAACTTTATATATAATAAAATAAGTATAATATATATATAATAAAACAGTTTATCTTAATCAAGTAAGCTGTTTATAATTTACCAAAACTAATGAAAAAAAGGACAGAAAAATTAAAAGTCTTGACTGGGCATAAATAGGCCACTTATACCAAATATAAAGTAAATCTGTCTTCCTAATTAGCCCAGTCAGTGTTTTATTTTACAAATATGACTCATTTTAATAACTGATAAGCTTGTGAACAACAGAGACACTCTTTTAAGAAGGGCTGACGACAAGCATTTAAATTGGGAACCATTATTAATAAAAGTGGTTCACATTTTTTGTTAGGACTGTTCCCACAACTAGCTAACTAATCATAGCATTTTTAGTCAACTTAGACAATGTCAATACAAGGTGGTGCCATGCTAAACTGTAGCCGGCCAAGTGTAGTAAAAACATTTAACAACAGATCTAATGAACCGGATTTACTTTTTCATGTTTTAACAGTCAACCAGAGAGTTGACAATCCCTGTAATTCCTTTTCACTCAGCTCCCATGCTGCATTCCTGTGTGTTTACAGACATCAGGCTTCCATTCAAAATCTATAGATAAATGCCAGTGAAATGGCTGAGTGGGCTCATCAGCACCCACAGTGTGAAGGAGGACTTTCAGCTTTTTCTGTAATTCTACACTAAACACTAAATATCAACCAATGGAATCAGAAATCTTATTGGTCGCCTATATTAAAAACAAAAAGATATACAACTGCATTGAAGAATTAAGAAAATAAAATAATAATTAGAAATTAACTAATGATTAATGTTTTTTCCCGAAATAGAATTAGCATGTGTATAAGGTTTAGCTATGACAATGTTCCATTTAAACTAACTAAATAATTGCTAGTATAAAAAAAAAAAGTTTATATATACAACTGGAATGTTGTATCTTTAAACCACTTTGATGATAATTTGAGTTTCTTTTAAACCGCACAAACTGATCCAGTTTAAAAAGCAGAATTTTTGGCCATTCTTCTGTTCTACAGGTCTCATCTGTACAACCATACAGGGCCTTCGATGTCGTATTTTGATCTTAATAAGACACAGAATTTCAATTTAAGACAGTTCTGGACTGCAGGCACTTGCACTCTTTGATTATGCAGTCTTGCTGTTGTAACATACAGAATGCGGCTTGGTGTTGTCATGTTAAAAATAAGCACCAGCATCCCTGAAAAAGAAAGTGCCTAAAAGGCGGCTTATATTGCTTCAAAATGTGTTCAGCATTAATGGTGTCTTCACAAATGTGCAAGTTACCCACTAATACTCCCCAGTACCTTGACAGGCGCTGAACAGATGTCCATTATTTCTAAAAATAATCTGAAAGTTTGAGTTGTGAGACCACAATACACGTTTCCCCTGTGCATCAGTTATTTTAGATGAGCTCGAGCTCAGAGAAGTTGGCAGCATATCTGAACTTTGTTGACACATGACTTTGCATAGTACAGTCTCAACTTGATGATGATTTTTCAAAGGATTCCTGAGCCCATGTGGTGATATCCATCACAGAAGTATGGTGATTTTTTTGATGCAGTGCTGTCTGAGTGGTTGAATGTCATGGGCATTAATTTGTGGTTTTCAGCCTTGTCCTTTATTCATGGAGATTTCTATTAATTCCCTGAACCTTTTGATGATAGTATGCACCATGGAGTGTGAAACACTTAAAATCTTTGCAATCCCTGGAAAAGGAACATCATTTTTAAGCAGCTGGAGTTTTTGCTGATGCATATTTGGCAGAGTGGTGAGCCTCGATCCATCCTTGCTCATAAAGGACTAGGTCTTTCCTGGTTGCTCCTTTTATATCCAAGCATGGTTGCCTCATGTGTTTGAGATGTTTTCTGAATATTTCACAATGTTTCTGGTCCCTATCACACCTTTTTTTGGAACATGTTTCAGGCATCAATTTCAGAATGAACATATATTTACAAAAACAATAAAGTGACAAAGATTAAACATTAAATATCTCCCAGATGAAAGTATTAAATTACTGCTTTCTGTGTTTATTTGCATTTTACCTAGTGTACCAACTTTTTTGGGACTGAGTTTGTATGAGCACGGTGTATAGTATGAGAATATGGTGCTAAACGAAAAAAAGGTAAGGTATTTTATGATAAACACCAAATTTACTCACATCTTCAAGTAGCTTGCCTTCTACCCGCAGCTCCCAGGATGCAATGCTGCCCTCAGAGTCCTCAGAATCAGCCTTTGCAGGGTTGAACGTGTTGGAGATGTACAGTCGGAGCTTCCGTTTTTGCTGTTTAAAGATGAACAGTTCTCTTTAAGATTCCGAGCTTTCATATTCCTGTGTTGCAGTTATTTTACAGTCATGTTCTATATAGCTGTTGCAAAACTATATTATACATGTAATATACTGGACTCGCATTTAGTAAATGTATCATAATTTATCACAGCAAGGTCATCTCTTCATATCTTAACAACATCTTTGCAGTCTGTTTAATTACCATTGACTCCTCTTTTGTCACATACTAATATATCTAACTACACAGAAGACTTTAAATGTTTATATCAATGTCTGTGCAGACATCACTGCATGAGACATTTTAAAATCTCCAACCCAAACCAGAATAATCACTGATGACACACACCTTCATGGGTCTTTTGAGGGCCTCTTGGATGTCCACCCGCTTCCTCATAATGGTTTGGTCCAGCTTGCGCTCAAAAGCCAAAAGGTCCATGTACGCCTGTGACTCGGGCACCAGCTCCCTGATCTGATAACAGGAGGTTAACACGTGAAAAACAGGGTGATGATGACGGCATTTGTTAATGAGCTACGGCCCTAATTAGTATCTTTCATACACTATTATTTCTTCGAGTGAACCACTGCTAAAACAGAGCAGGCCATGTTCTCTGGAGGCAGCACTTCCATTACTCTTCCAGTGATTAACTAATTAACTCTGATTACCAACTAATTACTCTGTGCTGTTAGCTACTGGTACTGAGACAAAGCAAAAATGCCCTTGCCAAGCTATGAGGAATAATAAGCCTGCGCTGTTCGACACTCTCCAGGTTTTCATTGCGTTGCATCATTCCCTCTTACCCCCAGTGCCTTGCAAAAATTTACCAACACCATCACAATATCCCCCAGAGCGCATGGAGTGCTTGTAAAAAGATAAAAATAAAGTGGAAAGCCACTGAGAGGATGCCGAACGCGCGTGCTACATAACGATGGGACAGAAAAATAAAATGGTCTTGTCTTTTATCTGCCATTCACAGTCCTGTTTCGGGTGCCCCTTCCCTGGCTGTAACCCTGCCTTTCTTTGTGGAGCGTTACTGTGCCACCTCTCGACGGAGGCGGTCCACCGGAGCCCCCCTCTGCCTGTACCGTCCCAAAACTCTTGCAGGAGCCGCCGTGCCATCACACAAAACCCGGGAATCAAACATCCCTTAGAGTGCCCCAGAAATCCTCTCAAAAGGCAATAAAGCCCCGCTCTTGGTCCCCATGACTCCTCCCTACCTCTTTCTTGCCCCGCAGAAGGAAAAAAGAAAAAGGCCAGAAGATTTACCTGCACTGTGCGATGGCGTGGTACAGAAATAAAAAAAGAAATAAACACAAACAGAGAGGAAGAATAACCACAGTGATGCACCTCACCCTCTGAGGGAGAATCTTGTCTGCCATTTTCCTTCTCTTGGCACTACGGATAGGAGAAAAGGGACAGAAAGAAAGAGAGAGGGAGAGAGAGAGGGAGAGAGAGAGAGAAAAAGCATGTTACTATGGTGACTGATAGCAGAGTCCACAGGCCATCTGCTGAATAACTGGGACCCGTCCAGACGTTGTTCCAGCTGTGTGAGAGTGTGTGTATGTGGATGTGTGTGTGTGTGTGTGTGTGTGTGTGTGTGTGTGAGAGAGAGAGCAACAGAGAAAGAGGGAGTGAGAAAGGAAGAAAGAAAGCAGGAGAGAGAGTTAGAGGGAGAGCTTGAATGGACAAGAAGTGGAAATATGCAAGAAAGTGTAATATTGAGTGCAATTTGGGAAAATGAGTCTCATTCATACTCTTGTGTCTTTGTGTGTGTGTGTGTGTGTGTGTGTGTGTGTGTGTGTGTGTGTGTGTGTGTGTGTGTGTGCGTGTGTGTGTGTGCGTGTGTGCGTGTGTGCGCGCATCCTGTGATTTCCATGCAGTCACAATATGGAGCTGAATCACTAGGAGGGACTGAAGCAAAGCCAATTTATTCTGTCTCCTGCATGGAGCTTTTTTCAATTGAGATGAGTTTTCACACTGGTGAGTCTGAGTGGGAGGTGGGGGCTCTCTGTCTGTTCTACTGATCTCTCAGCTGTGGTGGGAAGTTAATGCAAAATCTTTGCTCTGTATATGAATGCATGCATCATAGCCCAGCCATTTTCCTAATACACGATACGCATCACAATATTTTGTTTTCATGAAGGAGGTTAAGTTGGATAAGTTGATAAAGATAAGACGACAAGTTGGAATTTTTAAATGTGTGCACCAGCGGTGCTACATTAAAAATTAATACATCTAAAAACACTTCCTTTTTAATTATATTTATTCAACATGTCACATATTGTGCCACATAAAATCTAAATAAAAATACCTCAATGTTCTCTTTGTATGAAACATGAAGTGCACATGGTGCATCCAGCAAGAAAGGAAGCATTGTGCAGCGACAGAAACATGTTAGCACACAGAAAGTTCCAGTTCTACATGCTAAAACTGATAAAATTCACTGTTGTACTGTTCACAACTGAGGCATTCACACAGCAAAATTCCTCTGGCAGCATGCTCGTTGCATGTATGTGGTTAAAATATGGTTATCAAGCAGGACTGTACTGTTGTAACTAATTAAAATTAGCCAGGTTGGATATGACTGATAATGCACCATTCTGATATACTGTATTACCAGTGCTGTTACTAATCGTATCAAATTGATTGGATTTTCAGAACAATAAAATCGGTACTACCTAGACATTGCGAGAAATGATGACACAGAATTTGCCACTATGCTAATGTTAGCTCAACTACAAACAAAAAACTAGAGTTACACTGATACCGGTATCACCACCAATACTGGCACATAAATGCAGTGTCAGTACTGTCAAAGGCGACATTAATACTTCTGACTAATACCACGTGCGCTGATGCTTGACGACATGTGCATGCCAGACAAGTTGGTGTGAGCTCACACGCCTCAGTAAAAATCTGCTACAGCTGTATCAGCTGTAGTCTGAGTTAACGTTAGTCCAGATTGTTAGTGAGCGAACATTCCGAGAGATGTAAGGAAGGAACGGCCTGTTTCTTAAGGTAAACCCTTTAGACTTGGATTAGCCTTTAGCATAGCAGCCGACTAGCCGGGCCTGTGTGCCCAACAGCTCTACCTGCATTAAGCCTCCGTTGGTCAGCTGCATTTCACAGCAGCGTGGTGCGACGGCCTTTTGCTTCTATCAAGGTGAGAAATCCGCAGCTCAACTGCTGCTCCTGACAGCATGAATGATTGTAACATCCCTAAACAAACTGCACCTGACCTTTCACATGCAGCAAAAGATTCAAATTAATACTACACTTTAAATGTAGGCATTTTGACAACAACTGAGTTGGGCACTACAGTTTCTCGTTAGGTTGAATATGACTTTTGCTCACGGTCTTTAAAGCTGGTCCTTGCAACAGTTGCTTTGAAAGAAATGCATGGATGGACCAATTTATTTCTACTGAACAAGCCCCACTTTTACAGACTCCTGCATGACCGAGGAACACATGGCCTCGCTGGTGGCGGAAGTGTCCGTCCACATCCGTCTCTCACACCCCCCTCTCACGAGAATGGATAAACTTTCTCATGGTCCTCCACTCCCTCCACAAACCACACGGCTCCTTCGGGACGGGCTGAGAGGCTGGAGAGGTTGGGAACCGTACTGGAGCGTGGTGGGGGCTGGGAGTTAGACGTGTAGAAGAATCCTTTAACCCCTTGAACCTTAAGCTTAGTATTCAGATATTAATCTTGAGACTTATTCTTCAGTAACTACTAATAAATTATTTGATAACTACTATGAAACTAATATATAATTAAAAGGGTGGGGAACTGAAGGCATACATACCGGCTATAAAGGAGTTTAAGGGGTTAAACCAGTGTTTATCAACTTTGAGGCCCATAGGACGGTCCACAATATTACTCTGACACAGTTCCCAGTACACTTGTGCTAGGTATTCGGTGCACGTAAAGGCTTAGTTCAGGTGTGCTGGCAGCTGAGACAGAGCAAAAATGTGGGTCATCTAGTGGGCCCCAAGGCCTGAGTTGAGAAACATTGCTGTAAGGCCATGGTACACTGACCCAACATTCTTCAACAAACACCAACATTCGAATGTTGACAGCTGGCTTTAGAATGTTCCAGAATAAGAACGGATAAGTCAAGTGAATCAGTATAAACAGGGAAATAATGTGTGAGGTTTAACTCAGCATCTCATCTGTAGGTGTAATGATAAAAACGACTTTGCTATAGACCATGCAGTCAATTTACAAGACACTACTGAAGGTCAAACAGTGGACAGAGTGGGTACTTTTAAGCTACTACCACTGGATGCTGTTGATGTTTTACATGCTTTGATTAATATGAATGCAAGATAATCATGTTTTGCAGATAAACTAGATCCATTTTTATTACAGCTCTTAGCACACCTAATATTTCAAAGCATTGCTTAAATACACAATCTTACTACACAGGGACCTAACAGCTTGGAAAGCTGCCCACTTGACACCTCTTCATAAAAGGAGAGACATTAAAGATTTAAATAAATATATACCAGTTTCTAAGCATTCATGTGTAGCAAAATGTTTTTATAAATAAAAAGAATTATACCTATGCAGCTGTGCAGCTTTTTTATTAAAAGAAAACGCTTTGCTGTAGAAGAAGTTCCATAAAAACTCTTTTTTGTAAACAATATTGTAAAAAAAAAGCAGTGATGTGTCATTCTTTACAGGCTTGTAAAAAGCTTTTGATACAGTTGACCATGACTGGGTCATGCAAAGGTTGTTTTCTCTTGGTTTTGACCAGCAGGCACCCAATTAGTCCAATAATTATCTTACTAAATGAACTCTGTGTTGTAAATCCTGGGAATTATTAATGGGGCTCTGCATGGTTCTATCCTACCACCACTACCCTTTACATTATATATATATATATATATATATATATATATATATATATATATTAACTTATTAATAGAAATCTTTACAGTCTGAAACAGTGTTGAATTAACACAAGACAAAATGTTTTCCTGATCCTGATTCTGCATAAATTAAAACAAAATGATTTAAACTGTTTCTTAAGTTAATTATCATTTTCTGCTATTTTACATTTTACTGTCTATTTTGTATTTTATTGTATGTCTTACAGGGCTGCACCGTAAATGAGACCATTGTAGAGCAAAGTGAATGGGGGTTGAACAATATAGAAACTTTCAACAATCACACACAAACATGATGCACCAACTGCTGGTGACTTAGAAAACGGTGTGCTCTGGACTTTCAACTGACACCCAGAGACACAGCTCAGAGAAATACATTCAGGTATCTGATCCTGTGAGAGAATCTGAGAGGAGCGTATGGGAGCTGAAGGGGAATAGAGAAACGTCCATCACGTGCAGCTACGGTGGATCTTCACAAATCTGACGTTTTCTAAAAATGCTCTCTACCATGCAATTAGCATATGTGTTCAAATCAAATGCAACTTCATGTTCTACCTGACATGCACAATACCAGGTCAATCATTCTCTCACTACGAGCATCTTCAGAACATGGGACAGTACAGTGTTGGAATTTCTCTTCATGGTATTGTCTTGAGTGCATACATGCATGAGGATAATAGAAACCAGTGAGGTTTTGATGCTGTAAGGAAGGGCATACCTAACAAGCAATGTCAAACCCATCACAAACTCAGTCTAACATGCAGCACAGGAAACCGCCTACTTGGTTCCAATTGCCGGCTCTGACTGGGCCTCTCGCAAGTCCATTTGCCTTGCCGAAATCTCACTGGCTCCTGGGAATCCCAGTGGTTTCCTATAGGTTGAAATTGTGTGATTCTAATTAGTTACTACACCATGTGTTGTTGGTTAACGAAACCCTGCCCAAGAATGTATAAGGATCAGCATTTCTTGTACTTATTGTTCAAATTAATTCATTTAAAAAAAGAGTCTAAAGTGGGGTTTTGGCTTAGCTTGGTCTAAAGTTCTTTGACTTACACAAAACCTTGGCCTCAAAAATAAGTAATAATTTGTCACCAGTGTAGCATAATGCTGTGATGCCAACACATCTAGACAGTCTGTCTTGGACTAAACCCTGGGCTCATCTCACTAGCCTACAACTTAATATAGGTCTTGATGTCATTGGTGTGGTTCATGATCTTGCGACTAGGGATTATGAAAGCTACATTTAAAATACTTCCTATGAGCAAGTACAAACAGAGGAAGGAAACATTAAATCATGAACATATCAGCAGTAATATAAGAAATCTAAAGTGAGAGACATACGAATTCTAACTTGTGTAACTTGGGTTGAACAGAAGTCCAAGCAGTTAAGAACAGGAATTAGACACAATCAATAATGATGTAACAATAAAACAAATACAGTCTTAATATTAAAAGGCACATGCAGCAAGTTCAAGCATTACGGCAATGACAGGTTCTTAAACTAAATGCTGTAACCACCAATGCAGTAATGCTCATTCTAGTCACTAGAGGGAGCTACACCTTGCAAGAGCAGGTGAGAACATATAGCAGGAGAGGTCAATGTCAAAAAAGGCTACAATCATTGCAAAACTGTGGGAGCTGCCATAGCCCAAGCAGACCAATTGCCCTTTTCTCAGATGTGTGATGACATGTAGAAGCAAGCACTGCTTGGCATAAACAATATCAACTCTGCTGCTACCTTGTGATTGGCGTGTTACAGTATGTGCTATACCCACTCTTCCCTCCTGAGAGAGAGGAGGGCCTGGTCTAGAAAAGGGCAAGGCATTGTTTTCTTCATTGTAAGCATGGATCGAAAGACAGTTGGTTAAGTGACAGGTCAATGTTCAGTTCTGCTAGTGGACGGAGGATGGTACTCACTTTCGAGGCCGGCTCTGAACAGGGGGAGCCTGCACGGGAGGGGTGGGAGTGGGACGTTTCCGGTTAGGGTCCATCGCAGGGTTAGGCATCCCTGGCCGGATCGGGGATGTACCTCCAAACGGGGGACCAGGGGGGCCCATAGGGGCGCCTTGATGGGGCATTCGGGGCCCTGAGGTCATGCCTGGACGCTGTGAGGACAATAAAAGTGAGTATTTGAGACAAGTGAGTATTTGAGACAACATATGTGCTGTCTTGTGAAAACCTCACAATTCCATTGAGTGTCACTCCAACTTTACATTGCGTGAACATTTCACACTGAACGGACCAACAGACATGGACCAAAAGTTATTCGTATAAAATCTTGTTACAAGTGACTGTCTATTAAAATGTATTTATTTTGAAAATATGCACTGTACAACATAAGTGCAAATGTATGAACATGAAGACTAGACATCCAAAAAACCATCTCTCTCTCAGGCACATACCTATACACTTTCCAGTACTGTACAGGTATTTGACAGTGATTTGAAACTGATATCATAGATAATACTGTAAGAACATAAGCCCAGTCACGGCCATAGATATAATCTTTACAGGCATGAAGCTCTGAGAGAGCTATAAAGTCCAGTAATGTGTTGCCCTCCACTACTGGAAGCTGATCTAGGCCAGAGCCAAGCACACCTGTGCCTGTCAGTTTGGAGGCGACAGCTGCAACAAGACGCGGGATGAGACTGCAGCTAAAGGAGAGTCTGACTCGCTGTGACATAGAGCAGCTACTCCCTTCAGCCTGACACTAGCACACCACTGTTTCACTCTCAGATCAGCTTGGTTAAAGTTTCAAACACTGGTAGCATAAATCAGTGTATTAGAGCCAAATTTGATTTAAACAACACAGGACATAAAACGTATGAAGTATCATCAAGTCTGTAATATATGGAGCATTTTCTGTTGTATTGTATTTAGCTAATAAATGTATTTAGCTATCTTAACTGAGACAGAAGCCTTATTTACAGTAGGGTAGTGTTGGGTTGGTCCATAGGTCATGAAACAGTGCCTAGAAATGATTTAAATTAGGCTAAATTCCACAATTTAACTCATTTCTGAAATTCATTCCCCACCAACAGTGCCTTCAAGTAGACTACAGTTTATTTCAGCTGCATCAAACTGAATGAATAACCCTTATTTCTTCTGTTAAGAGGCAAGGTAAAACATATCTGTAACAAAAACAAACACAATTTAAAGCTGACCTTTCAGAAGGTTGATGGCCACATTCTTCTGACAAGCTGACAACTTATCTACATGCTAAACAGGCCTTTGTATTGAATGGGTCAGCTATGAGTCATGCAGCAGCTCAGACACAAAGTCACAGCAACTCTCTGGACGACCAGAGAAGCTGCAAAAACGTCCAGAACTGCAGCCAGATCTCGCGGCTCCAGTGCTCTCCACGGCACACCTCTGCCAGAGAGGCAGGATGCTCCCGTATGGTGCGGTGACCCTCCTGACCTGTTCGACCCTTCCCTAAAGTAGGCTGAACCCCAGGGTACCCTGGGCTGGTCCAATCCCACTGCCTGTGGGCGGAGAGGTGCTGGGACGTGAACATGTGGACACAGCAGGGCGCGGGAAGAGGCAGCGACGCGACTCTCTGCCAATCCCGGCTCTCAAGGTCGCAGAGGAGGTTCAGGGCACAGAGGGAGGCTGAACTGGGCAATCAGGCAGCAGCATCAGGCTGTCACTGAGGACTTGCTACGGAAATAGCGCTAATGATGAAACGCCGCTTACGGATGCTCTTCTTTCATTAGCTAAGGTTGAAATTTAAAAGCCTGACCAGGAATTGGGGAAAGAACGTCCTCCACAGAGAGCACTGAACAAACTTATGGCTTGCACTTTGGGGACTGCAGAGGGTTATTACTGTTCAAAGGGCTCTATTATTTCTCCTTTAGTGTCCCTTATAGTGCACACTGACCTTAACAAACAGCAACAATCTAATGTCAGCAGTTGGCTTTTTAATGTTCCAGAATAAGAACTTTCTGAACGGGAAAGAACGTTCACGAACAGCTTAAATTGAGAAGAACAATCTAGAACAACGTGAATAGAGGAGAACGAAAGAGGAGAACACATCGGTATGGCCCAAAAAAGCATGCACATGTATAGAACCAAATTCAGACTTGGTATTCTCTAAATAATGGTCTTTTTATGTAGTATGGGACTGTAGAATTCCCCAGACTAAGTTCACCTTCGAAATCAATTAGTGGCTTTTTGAACTTGGTCTTCAACTGATTTTGGGGAGTTCTGCATGGTCCGGTGTCCATAAAAAGATATTTAGTTGGAGCATACCAAAGAATCTGTTGGTTCTATGCATGTCCAATGCATGTAATTTCTGTGTTAGCTAAAGGACAGTTAAGGGAGAGATACCCCTAACCTTTGAAAGAGTCACCTCCAAACTGTGGCAGAGGGCCAATCTGCCATGCTATGCAGCCCCAACACAATACAAAAAGCGTGACACTCTTCTCCTTGGCGAAAGGCAAAGTTGCGCGAGCCATCTAGAACGCGACAACTGGAAAGAAGAAAGAAAGTGGACATGGAAGAGTTCAGATAACAAGATGATTCATTCAGCACTGGCATAATCAGCTCAATCTCAAGCTGGGAGAACACTCTCCGTGGAAAAGTTTGTGTTGGGAGCAGACTAAACAGTGGAGGTGCAGTCTGGAGGGTGAAACCTAAACTCTCCTCAAGAAGCCCTCGCTCACTTCCAGCCAAGGGCTACTGGCCTGGTCCTGGCTGAACTTTGAGACGCAATCATTCGCAGCTCTGATCAGATTTTCTCAAATGATCTTCGAGTTTCTCAAATGACTGCTGTGCTGCCGCTAAAGCGCTGGAAACCAAGAGCACTAAACTGAAACAATACAAAATACAATAATAGTGAGAAATATGTAGCTATAAACAACATAGGTATTCGTTTGAGTATTTGTCAGGCAATGAGGGTCTAAAATGAAAGACAAATTAAAATTTTCTTCTAAGAACAAGACGTATTACTTTACGTTACATTTTACATATGTTACAAAACTCTGGGGAGTCTAAGAATAATTCTAGCAGCATCAGTAAATCACTTGAGTACCTGTCAAGCAAAAAACACACCTAAATGTTAAAATGTCATCATTTTACACTTGTTTCTCCTTCACCTTAAGCACAAGACATGAGTTATGTTACATGTGATATATAAGACACGATACAACAGGGAGTCTATGGCAACATTTAACTGAACACTAAGTAATCAGTTTATAATTAACATGGATACACCCACATACAGATGAACTACATGAACATTATCCAAGTCTTCACTGCAAATCTAATAATACAACTCAGATCTGCAGCAAACTGACAGGCCAATCACAAGCACAAGCTCTAAAACAGGTTCAACTGGCGCTGTAAAGGAACAGTACCCTGCGCTTGGGTCAGTATATGTACTTTCAAATGCCACTGGTGCTGATCTCCACTTCCCCTTACACTTCTTCAGAGTGACCTGCACTGACAGCCTTCCCTCACTGCTCCCTCTCCTCCATCTCATTATAAAAACAATAAGCCCTTCCTCAGCTCTCCTCCATCTCCTGCGCCCTCGTTCTTTTAAAAAATGTAGAATTTTTGATCAGCTACACGCACGCCTCAGCAGCATCCCAGTCCTTCCTTCACAACAGCGCTGTGCCTCTGTCTCTAGAATGCATTCACATGCTCACACAGCCACACACATACACTCACTCACTCACCACTCCATGGACGAGAAACTCAAACAGTTTACTCTTGGTGGCTTTGCGAGCTCCGCCAGCAGAATCCTCCGTGGCCATTGCGAGTAATTCCTTTTTTTTCTCACCCCCCACCAATTTCTCTTTTGTTGTCTCTATAAGTAGCTCCCTCTCCCTGTCCGTCTCTCCCTCTATTCTGTCCACATTCCCTCTCTCGTCCAAAAGAGAGCACTCCTCCCTCTCGCTCTCTCAGTCTTTCCTCTCCTCTCCCAAATGCTCTCCTCCTCTCTCTCTCTTTTTTAAAGCATGTCAGCGTGTGGCTAAAGTCAAGCCTCTTGCTCCGCTCCACACTCACTCACTCTCTCTCTCTCTCTCTCTCTCGTGCCCGCCCTCCCTGTTTTTTTAATGTAGCTCCCTCAGACTCGGGTAGGGACAGACTTGGGGGGCTAACAAGGGGGCTGCTGCAGGCCCACTACTAAAGCTTCATTCTGCTACATGAGGAGGGACTGGTTCAGTACTGTTCTGGTACCAAAGGCAACACTGCCTCACAAAGTTATACAACTGGGAGTTTTTGTTTGAAGCTGCCCGAGACTGTCCTTAACATAGCTTAGTGACCATATCTACCAGGGCATCCACTTTAAGGATAGGATGTTTACTGGTAACAATGACATTAAAGCAATAAGCTACAAGAGTCCATGGGTTACTGTGATTTTATCACGGGAAAGGTGTTCTTGAAGAAATGTAGTTCCTTTAGAGAGGAGAACATTCGGTCGCCCATCGCTGTATATTTTGGTCAGTTCATGTTGTTTAACAATGAACATATGAGAACACGGCACTGTTTAATACAAAAACTTTCGCTTTATAAGTACTTTTTAGTCACCAAATTACCACCGCGAGTCTTATTTAGCACCAATCCAGTAGCACCCTCTTCCCACACTGGGGCTCAATCTCAAATGGCTCCCTGCTTCCTACATAGTGCACTACGTAGGAATTTAAATACCGAATCTTGCACCCCTATGGTGCAAAATATAGCTAACTATTTAGCTAGCACACTATTTAGGGAATACGGAGATGTTTGGGATTCTTCCAGGGTTTGACGCTACTCTGTGGCATAGTAATACACAATTTAGTTGTTGTGAAGCTGTCATAGGTGTGGGTATGTTGTGGATTTTACAACGGCTTTGAACGCAGCTCAGCCAATCAGATTTTAGGACCAGAACTATCCGTTTTATAAAACATGGTATGAAACCCAAACGATCAAGCCATTTCAAAATTGTTGCATTTATGATAACTGTGTCTTTATGAAAAGAGAACAACAGGACAACACGTTTTTACATTTACAATCTGAACAGTAAACACAGTAGTGGTTGTGTTCATTTAAAAAAGCTGTCATTTTGAAGGTACTGAGCTGTTTTCAGTGGTTACAAAGACATACAAGTGGTTCAAATAATAGGCTGTCAATAAAATACCTGTGGAGAAATGATTTCAATGCACGTTAGTGCTTTTTAAACATCCTGATTATATCTGAACTCTATTAAACCTGACTTCTTGCCAGCGATACTTTCAGAGACTTTGGGTATGCTCCATTTAACTCATTAAAATCTCCCCTCAGAGTAGATGGGCTGTGCGCATGTCCACGCTGGGCATAGCGATCTGTATCTGCATGTGGAATTGGAGCTTTTAGTGTGCTGTTCTCTATTACTATATAAAAGAAGCACAAAGTTGACTTTATTGTTGGATGCACTGGGATAGCTTCTGAGTGCAGTTGATACTGACTAGTTTCATCAGAGTAACAGTAAAAGGCAGATGGAGTGTAATATGTTTTCATGCTCAAAAATTTAGTTTTGACACAAACCAAAATTAAAAACCTATATAAACCTATAATTAAAAATTGTCAGCTTTGTTAGTTCATGTTCTTCACATATGAAATAAATACAATGACAGCACTAAGATACTGCCTATTAACAATAAAGTGTAGATTAAGTGGTAGGACAGCTGACACTTTTTCAGATTGATTACATGAGAAAGTTAACAACACAGTAATAATATGGTTTATTATTATGGCATAATATTGAAAACTGATCGGTTTGGTTACTGACATCATGATAAACAATGATCATATTATTTAAGCCCTACATCTTTTCAAGTAAAAGATGTAAAACTGTGCAATCCCTATTAAAGGAAGTATTCTAATTATGAACACAAAACTGTTCTACACCCAAGAAAAGTTACATGTAAAATATCTGTTATCTCATCATCTAAGCGCTTATCCTCTTGGGTGTGCTGAAACCTATACCAGCACTCATTAGGCAAAAGGCAGGTCATCAATCCATCACAGGGCAGATACACAGACATATACAATCACACACAGACAAACACTCTCACACCTAGGGGCAATTCAGGGACTGTGGAAGGAAACCCACGCAAACATGGTGAGAACATGCACACTCCACACAGAAAAGACCCTGGTTGCCCGGCCGGGGAATCGAACCCAGGCTCTTCTTGCTGTGAAGCAACAGCACTGCCCTTTTTTTTTTTTATCTCAGGATAGATCTTATTGCATATTTTTGTATATTTCTAGTTGTGTTACTACTTTTTACTGCATTTATGTTCATGTTGATAAATGATGTTAGTTTTCTAATATATGGATAACTGAGTTACTGAGACGCAACAAACTAACTTTATAATACTTTGAAAGAATAAGTTTTGAAATAGGCTGAGTGAAGGCTAAAACAGCTTAAAACAAAGGATGTCACAAGCTAGGCCAGGTTCAGATTATATGGCTGCCAAAAAATGCAAGCTACTGTAAAATACAAATAATACAAAGAAGTACACAAAAGTGTGAGTGTAAACAGGCAGACAGACGATGTGATGTGTTTCAGGGCCACATGCCTAGTTGGAGATTAAGAGACAGATTATTGGGCCCTAAAATACAGGAAAAGCAGGCCAGCCAGCTGGCAGGCCTGAGAGAGAGATAGTGAGAGAGAGAGACTATGTACTTTTCTAGCATCTAAAAGCATTATGGAATATCTGAAATATTTTATAATTAATCTACAAAAATTAACATCATATAATCTGAGGATTATGGTGTTGCTGGCATAAAATATATATGCACCCTACTAGTAAGAGCAGCCTTATCTCTGAGTTTAGACCTGAGCTGCCAGTAGAAAACCCCCCTGTTAGGACCCCCATAAAGGCGATACTATGGAGTAGCAATGTCCCATTCAATCAGAGTGGAGAGGGGTGCTGGAGGGGGAACCAAGGCTTCAGATAGACTACATTTTCCAAGGTTTAATAAGAGGCATATTGAGACTCTTGCTTTTTTCTTCTTACAAATTACTATGTACAGTATTACAAACCATAAAAATGACTTAAAATGCAGTTCGTGTGACGCTGAGCTTCCTTATGTGTGATGGTGCACAACATGGCTCAAGAAATAAACGCTGGAAAGAAATAAATGGTACTGGTGCCACACAGAACCTACTGACAGAGCAGCAAGACATAATAGAAAAGTAACGATCACCAACACTGAGAGCATTTCAGTGACAAGTACAATAGCGCCCCCTTGTGTAGAGGCCTGCGACATTATATCCAGCAACTTAGACCCTAAACAATGTCTGCCTGTAACATGGTTGGAGGAGAAGTGGGCCAGATTTGAACAGACAGAGCTCACATGATCACAATCACTGACACAGCATATAAAACAAATGGTGAAGCATATATAACGACCCACATATGTAGTCTACATGTAGCTACAGGTAGACCAGCCGGACCTGAAGCCTCAGCTGCCGGGGCCAAGTTTGACAAGCTCTGCAAACTTGTCCACATTTCTCTGCCATTTTTCAAACCTTGCTTGCTGTATATGAACGCGTAGAAGCCTGAGAGGAACAACGTGCTCCTCAACAGGCTAAATAATAAACTCTCTACGGCTTTCAGCTCGTAGCTTCGCTATGAAACAACGAAATAGCACCTGTTTTGCGTCTCTCAGGTGCAAAGGCTTGTTGTGGCAGCGTAAGGTGCTGTGAGGAGAAAATGTTCACCCAGCTATAGAGAATGAGAAATAAATGAGTGCAGAGGGCTTGAGAAAGGAGACGATGCTGGTGGGGTCTCTGAAATGGTTGAAGAAAGGGAGAAATGTTACAGAGCTTTAATAACGGAGCTGGAGAAGGAGGGAAAGCTGATGGCGCTGTTAGCGATGCGGTCCTACCTTTCTCTCCATCGCGCCAAGTTCGCAGCATACGACACACAGATAGCTGAAGAGAAGAAGAAAAAAAAACACACACACAGTGTGTGTCCGTTTAGTGTTAACTTCGTCGCTGCTCCACACAAGATTCCCTTTTCAGTGACTCCCCCCTCCTCCTCCTTCTCCCTACCGGGATGCTGGTGTAGGGGAGCGAGAGAGAGGGAGAGAGACACTGAGAGACAGATATATAGAGAGAGTCTGGAGCTCCTTTGGTGCGGCAGACTGAGGGGCGCAGGCGCGCAGTGATTGAGAAGAGTTTAAGGGAGCGTCTACAAACTACAGCTCCTCCCCGACTGAAGGTGCAGCGCTCTAATACAGCCGCACGCTTTATTGTAAAACTGTACAACTGACCTCTTCTGCCATCCCTACGGTACTCTAATTAACTTGTCCTCGGATGCTCAAGTGTAAAGGTTTAAATACAAAATAATAAAGGCAAAAATAAAAGAGCAAATATACAGTGAGAAGAAACAATTATTCAGACACTTTTGTTTTTGTTACATGACATACTTTTAGCGCACGTCTTTCCTGAATGCACTGCTGCCAGAGCAGCTGAGGTGACAAACGGTTCTGTAGGAGCCAAATTAAGCTTATGTGCAATTTGTCTTCCTAAATATTTGAGTACCATCTTGGGAACACTAGGGGGCGAGCTGCACTAGGTGACAGGTCAGGTGCTTATAGTCACAAGACACTTACAGAATGGGCAGGAGCTCGGGCGGCGGAAACATACGGTTCTTACCGAGATTGTTGTTGTGTATTGCAATTCAAGTTTTGTTATCTTCATTATTGGTGACCATAGTTTATTATCTCCAGTAAAAGAGATTGTTTCTATAGAAAAATGTCTTGATAAACAGGAACACCGCCCATCTACTACCATCCACTCGAACAAGTGACTAAGAAATTGGTTCTCTGATAGTCACTACAGTTTCGCCAAATCAACTAGCCTCCAAGCTGCCACCACTGAAGCCAAACCAGTGGAGTTCATGATTGACAAGAAGGCTCCCAAGCAAACAATGCAGTGCCATGCAGCAGAAGAGGCTAAAAGGGGGCTAGAGTGTTATGGCCCCTGAGAGAATAACCCTCATTTTCGCTGCAGCCACCAGAAAGAGCAACTGGTGCCACAGGATTTGGATAGAGTGCTGCATCTACAGGGAACAGCTCACAGGCTTGACAATCTCCCTGCTGCAACCAGGTGTGCTTCCTCACACTGCAACAGGCTGGCCTATGCCAGACGACTGCAGGCCATCACTGTCCAAGCTCAGCTTTGTTACCGGCAGCCTAGTTGACATGAGGGAGAAAGCGACTCGCTTGTGCTGGGAGGTCTGAACCAAGTGCACGAATTCTGGCCCGCACCCATACGGGAAGCCTGCATTCTCAGTTTAGACTTTATTAGCAGCAGTGGGAACCATGATTAACATTGCGAGGACTACACTTAGTCTGTAGCAGAGGCAAAATTTTGCCGCATGGAATCCAGCAGCGGAGCCGAGGAGGTAGGGTCGTGGCTCCCTGTCAGTGAGGCCTTCGCTAGCCATGAGGGAAGGAAGCGCTGTCAGGTAGAGGGAACCATGACTTTTCGTGGGTGATGCCTCTGGCGCTAGTGGGGCTGAATAAGCAGCACTACAGCCTTTGGTTGGATCTTCAAGGATTGTGGGGAGCACAAATGAGCAGCACTTCCAATGGGGTCCGCACAGTTGACAATGGAGGTGACAGATGGTGCAGATGGTAGCTGAGGTGAGTACAGTGGAGGTTTGCACTAGAGTAGAAGTGCATGAGTTATGGCAGCAGACCTGGTCAGGGTTAGCTGAAGAGCAGAAACAGCAATTGTGAGAGAGTTTGAGCTATTGTAGTGACATCTTCGAGATTACAGAGGGAGACTGCATGTGGACCGATTTGGTGCAGCTTAGCATTAACACGGGCAAATATGCTCCAATTCGGCTCCGCCCTCACCAGCTCCCATTAGTAAAAGAAAGAGGCCGCAAAACATAAAACAAAGGAAACGGCAGCGGCTGGGATTATCAAATTGTCAAATAACCGTTGGGTGGCGCTGGTGGTCCTAGCAAAGAAAAAGGATGAAAGTTGGCGGGACTACTGGTGGCTCAGTGCTGTAGTTAAACCTGACTAGTATCCCCTCCATACACTGATGAAGCCTTGGAGTGGCTAGTTAGCTCCTCATAGTTCTGTTCGCTGGACCTGCGAAGTGGGTATTGGCAGGTGGTGCTTGCTCTGGATGCCTGAAAAAAGACAGCATTGCTGGGCATTGGGCTGTTAATTTACAGTAAAGGCCTATGGCCTCCGGAATGCACCAGCTATGTTTGAGTGGCTGATGGAGCAAGTGCTCCACGCACCAGATTTGATGGGGCACTCACAAATTTGGAGCAAGTATTCCGGGCTATAAAATCCACAAACCTCCAGGTGCACCTTAAGAAATGTAAACTCCATCAATGGCACATAATATTCCTCAGCCACGTAGTGAGTAGAGCAGGAGTAGAACCGGAACCAAGGAAGGTGGATGCGGTGTCAGTGAGCTGCGTAGCTTTCTTGAACAGTGCTGGATGTGATGCATGGAGCTACCTGCATGGGGCACTTTGGGGTAGGTAAGACCCTGAAACAACTGTGGCACAGATTCTACTGGCTGGACTGCAGCCTGGACGTGGAGCTCTATGAGCACTGCTGTGACCTGTGTACAGCCAAGAAAGGGCTGCCGCAGCAACTGCATGCTCTGTTGCAATCCCTCCACTCCGGTACCCCAATAGAAAGAGTAGCTGTCGACGTCCTTGCTTGTGGCCATGGATTATTTCACTAAATGGCCTGAGGCATTTGCAGTCCTAGACCAGAGTGTGGCCATGATAGCGGAGCTGCTAGTAGAGGAGTTCTTCTGCTGGTGGAAAGTCATCAAGTTATCAGGGAAACATTACCAAAACTTAAATATGTAAGATCTGAGGATTTGGAGACCTCTCTGGTGGTAATTGCATGCAATGTGCAGAACATTTAACCTCAGCTGTGCTTCAGACCCCAACAAGTAGATGAATGTGATGTTTGCAACTGAGTTGAAAGAGTATTTAAAGTCAAAACTTAACGAAGGACGTGTCTACTGTACAATCTACTGTTGTCATCATATCTTCATTAGTATAATGTTGATTTTGTATTAATTAAGCAGTTCTTTTTTAGAGCCTGTGCACCATGAAAGAACTTACAACACTCTTCTCCAAATAAAAGAGAAGCCAGCAGATACTGGAAAAGCAGGATGACCTGAAAGCAGAAGTTACACAAAGAAAAACGCAAAACTCCTAAAAATGGCGCACAGAAAAGCATGTCTAAAAACATACAAGTTTTGCATACAAGTATTTAGAAAATAAAGAACTATTTTAGGACAATGTACTCAAGAACAATTCAGCTTGCCACATTTGAAGAAAGAAGAATTGCACATAGGATCTAAACAACACCATACCCACAGTGAAGTATGATGGTGGGAGCAAACAAGACAAGGACCCCAAACAGCCAAAATAAGACCCATTCCTAAAACAGAAGGTGAAAGTGCTTACATGGCCTAGTCATCTCCTTGAATTCCACTGGAGGATGAAGTTTATCAGAAGGACTGACGTAACCTTGGGAAATGGAAGACAGTTTGACAACAGAGAGATGGGTCAAAATTTAACCACAATGCTGAAAAAAGCTAATTATTTCTTACTTTAGATGTCTTGAAGCTGTAATAATAAGAGCTATGCAACAAAGTACTCGTGTTATTCATTTGTGGTGTCTAAACACTTTTTCCCCCATTTAGTCTTTTTAACATATCTTTGTTGATGCTTATGAATACATACTTTTTGTCCACATTTGTACGTATAAAGTAAAGAGATGTTTTGTATGTGAAGTGGCTACTAGCACGGGAAGTAAAATATCAAAATTAAAAATGTCTGAATGCTTTTTCCTCCCTCACTGTACAGTGACATGTATGCTGCAGTGGATCACACAGCAGTGCTGCTGGAGTTTTTTAACAACTCAGTCTGACAACAGACCAACAAGGTACCAGCACAGCACACACTAACATGTCATTATCATGTCAGTGTTACTGCTATACTGAGAATGATCCACCGCCTGGCCCTGTGGGGGTCCTGACCACTGAAGAACAGAAGTGGCCAAATTATGCGGAGAAAATGATGGACTACAATCTGTCATTGCAGCACTATAAAATGCACCTATATGGTAAGCAGAACGGAGAAAATTGACAATGAATGTACAAGGTAGCTGAACATAAGGTGGCCAGTGAGTGTATAAGCTAAGGGACTTTTCTCGTTATTTGCAGCGAGTGATCTGTCTTACCCGCAGAGATGGAGACGGATTAAAGATCAAATGTTTGAAATCATTTTTACTTCCTTCAGCTTTGGTCAGGTAAACTGGAAAGCTTATGTCAAAATTGTCCAGTAGTAATGTTCGACACCTCAAACAGGCATGACTCTCAGCTCAGCTGCTTTGAAATGGCTCTCAAGATGACTCTATTAGCTGAATAACATAAGCCAAGAGTACTGTGCAGAAGGAATGTGTCTCACCTCTTCTCGTATGTGACGGACTTGACATGCTTGGCTTCAGTCATCTGGCTGACTAAGAAATTCTTATTTGTGAAATACAAGTAAAAATTAGTAAAACAGTACCTTCTAAAAAGCATAATCTAGCGGTGTCTCACAGAAAGGAAACAAGTTGAATCTAAACAGTCCTTCACTTGGGCTTTTTGTACAACCGTTTGCAAAAGTTTAGGTTTTCTTTTTGATACATCCTCTACACCTTCTTTCCTGTTTATTTGCTGAATTTAATGTATTGGAAAAAAACAGAACATAAAATATGACCTGTGCAAAAATTCTGACATTTTATATTTCATAATTTTTTTCTATTATGTTAAATAAATAGACATTATGTAATAAAATTTGCAGAAAAATTCCATATTTCAGCCAATTCTCTGTAGAGGATGTGTTATTTCCACTTAGAAAACCAATGAAACAAATAACTTGACTGGGTGTGTTCAAACTTTTGCATGCAACTGTACAATGACTGGATGGTACAAAAACTGAATGTTTCAGTCACACTGTATTACTTTAAATCTAACTGAGACAAAATTGGAGAAATTCTACAGCCCAAATAAATCATTTCAGAAATTTCAGAAATGACATCAGTCGCTGATAAATAAAAGAATGATTTAATAGATTATTTCTTTGTTTCAAAAGCCTTTTTTTCCACAAAGTACTTCAATAGTCCCAACGTACATCAGCAGCGCTGTCTTCTCTGCTCTGTAACAGTGCGAGACAGACAGACAGATAAACCTGTCTAAGGCTTAGACAGTCATGTGACTATCAAACCGACCCCTACTACAAGCAAGCGCCGGCTACATGCCAGCAGCCTGCCAACCCAAAAATAAGAGAAATATTAGGATAGGCACAATGAGCATTTCTAAACAACTAAAAAAATTAAATATATAGCACATTTCTATCTGTGACACAAGCATAAACTTGGTGCAGATGAAAATGACAACAGTGAAGAAAAAAAAGGACAAAAAAAAAAATAGATCTCAGAGATTATTTTCTGAAATCACAGCCTTCAAAAACAACCTTAGAGAGTCCAGAGATCCCAGAAGCGACAGACACTGGCGCTGGTATGCAAGTGCAAAAATGAGTGTACATGAGTGTGTGTTTGTGTGTTGAGTGAAGCTACCCATCAGCGGCGGTATACCCCGAATGCAACAAAACTAAAGAAAATGGTGATGCCGACAAGAGAGGCAGTGGCAGGTGCGGTGAAGAACTGACGGTACTGAAACTGGAAGTACCACAGCACGGACAGCATGAGCACGAACAGCGGCACCATCAGGCTGCCCACGTTCAGCGCCACGTGCACCTGGTCGGCAGCACGGGCACCTGCGGGAACGGCCCGGGTGGCGTGCTGAGAGATGTGGCAGTGCAGAACGCAGTTATCGGCCAGGTTCAGAGAGGACAGGGTCTGGGCGTCATCCTGGAGGAGCTGACCCTGGTAGATCAGACGCACCTGGTGTTCCTGGCCAGCGAAGTAGGTCCTGCATATGTGACAACACACATACATGTGGGTCAGCTTATTTTCATTTAGAAAATCAACAAAACGTGTCCTCTGATCATGGGGTGTTCAAATTTTTCCATATGATTGTAATACTTTGTTATTTATGCTTAACTCCTTATTGCTTTGCGGATATACGCCTGGGCCTCTTGCGCACTGAAAAGTTTTAATTAAAGTAACATGTCTAATAGAAATGCCAAATTCAAGTAGCACTACATAAACATTTCTTTTTGTAAAGAGACCTAAGTTTGTGAAATGTAACATATAATAACATGACAATAATTATTTCACTGTTTATAATGATGTAATAATATATTTACACATCAATACATTATTATTATTGTCATTATAATGCAGATCATATTTATAGCACTTTTCATACATTAAATGCACACTAACAACTGTAGGGGAACAACAGACAAAAAAAAACACTGAATAAGAAACAGAATAAATATTTCATGCAAAAAATATAAATAAATAATAGATGATAGATAACAAAAGTGAGGAGTAAAACTAGAAATTAAAGTTTAAGTTAAAAATAAACATTATTATAATTACCACCTTTTAATGTAACCGATGGTGTCTTCGGGGTTGACCTGTGCTATTCGCTCTGTGTCATTCAGGAACTTCAGCCTCAACACCATGTTTCTCACTGTGTCGTTGGACACATCTTCAGAAGAGGTGGGCTGCATGGGGCTTGAGGCACTAGCTGGTGGCTGGGTGGCAAGCGAAGGTCCTGCTGCCTCTCGGTGCCTCAGACCGTCTGCTCCCAGCAAGCCTCTATCTCCTCCTCCATCATCTGAAGCCTGGCCCTCAGCTCCACTCTCAGCCTCAGCCTTACCGTCCTCCCTCAGGCTATGGGACGGTGAGGTGATGTCACTGGAGGGGAGGGGCTCCTGACTCTCAACCTCTGAAGAGGAGGCAGCGGATGCCGGGGTGGATGGGAGGAGGTGCTCTGGAGGCTCTGCAGTATGTGTGGAGGCCCAGGCTAGAACCACGACCAGCACCAGGAACACCACTCCAAAGAGCACAGTGACCTCATCACCCACGCCCTCTATCAGAGTCATCCTGGACTGCTGCGTCCCGGGACTAAGGCAACGTCAAACTAGGCACCTACAGGACAAAGAACAGAACATGGTCAAGCAGACCTTTACTGTCTAACTGAAATTTGTATAGAAGTGTTGCTTTGCATTGCCTTCACTCAGCTAAATCTTATTTAAAGGGCTATAGCACCTTCAAAATGGTTCCCAAACCTAATCCTGTAATATACCTGGGGATATATTACAGGTTTTCCAGACATAAGTAAAGTCTTGTCTTTGGCTAAATACACAGTTGATGGGAACTGCCCCTTAAAACCTCAAAACTGTATCTATAAAGAAGGGTTCACTCCATTCTCAAAACAACAAAAAAAAAAAAAACAGGTTGGTGCTGTAGGTTTTTGTGCTCTTTTGCACAGACTGAAAGCTCTACCCAAGTCTAAATCTGGGTCAGCAAAAATTTGTGGTTAAGCCTCTGAAGTGAAACAAATAACCATATGCGAGGCAACCTTTGCACACACAAAGGCATTTTGAGCTGAAAGCTGAGCGTTTCTGGTCATGATTAACTTACTTTTCTGTAAATGTTTTCAGGGATGTTGAAATACATCAAGAATAATCTAGACTAAAGGTGGGCAATATGGCAAAAATACAAAAATTTGGGGCAATATAGGCAATTTGACAATATTTCTCATTATGCTGATAAACACAGGCGTCATCTTCTAGAGGTAACACCCTTTATATTCACAGCCTCCACAGTATAAACTGACTGACAGTACATTTCTACCATTAAAATCATTAGTAACAGCAATTCAGCCAGTTTTGATTTTTTTTTACTGTGGCAAATTTCTCTGTTAATCATATTACTTAATACAGAATCAGAACATTTTAACTTATTTGACAGTTAAACAGCTAAACAGTCAAACAGTCTCCCTCTCACAGTTAAATACACATACAAATACAATCAAAAGCAGTCAGAGACAGACCAAGACAGAGCAGAGAGAGGTTGTGCTCTGCAGTGAGCTGACAGAAAAAGCCTCTTACGAGGAATCATCACCTGCAATTTGAGGTTGAGCGCAAATGTATCTTTGCTAACACATTTTTTCAGATGCAGCAACTTTCTCATGTGTCATGTATCTGTTTTGTCTGTTCATGCAACAAAAGAATCCACATAAATCAATATGCCTACACCCCTACCTCACCACCCAGTCTGATCAGATTGCTTTTTAAACTACTAAGTCTAAAAAATGAAACAAACATCTAAGCGAATTACTGGCCAGACTTTACAGGGAACCTGTATTAGAGTAGATTTCCCATCTACCCGCCTTACATTTCCAAAAGTGTGACAACACTGTATTTGATATGGGTAAATCTCATGGGTTAACACTTGTAGATGAACTACACCACTTTATGTAACAATAAGCTTTTCTTATTATGTTGTGGATGTCGACCAGTACTTAAAGAATGGTGACCAACTTCATGTTTCATCATAAACAGAGCATAATGAGTCCTGTTGAATGTGATTTAGTGCAGTATAGTATTTGAGATGCTGAAGAAAAACATTGTATTCATACTGAGCAATATTATTTTCAAATGTGGCACTACTGGTTCTGTTTTGCCTGTTTTCACTCATCAAACCACCAATAAAATACTGTAATGAATTGTCTAGCCTGAAAACATCAGATACAAAGTATCACGATATTATATCAATCAGCCATAACATTAAAACCATGCATGCTTGTATCTGCACTCATCGTTCATTTTATCAGCTCCACTTACCATACAGGAGCACTTTGTAGTTCTACAGTTACAGACTGTAGTCCATCTGTTTCTCTGCATACTTTTGTTAGCCCCCTTTTACTCTGTTCTTCAATGGTCAGGGTCCCCCAGGACCACAACAGAGCAGTTGTTATTTGTGTGGTGGATCATTCTCAGCACTGCAGTCATACTGCTCTGGTGGTGGTTCTGGTGTGAGTGGATCAGACACAGCAGTGTGGCTGGTGTTTTTAAACACTGTATCCACTCACTGTCCACTCTATTAGACGCTTATAACTTCTTGGTCCACCTTGTAGATGTAAAGCCAGAGAGAGTAGCTCATCTTTTGCTGCACAGTTTGTGTTAGACATATTCTAGCCCTTCATCAGTGGTCATAGGACCCTGTTGGCTGGATATTTTTGGTTGGTGGACTATTCTCAGTCAAGCAGTGACACTGAGGTGTTTAAAAACTCCAGCAGCACTGCTGTGTCTGATCCACTTGTACCAGCACAACACACACTAACACACCACCACCACCACGTCTGTGTCACTGCAGTGATGAGAATGATCCACCACTCAAATAATACCTACTCTGCGGGGGTCCTGACCATTGAAAAACAGAAAGGGGGCTAACAAAGCTTGCAGAGAAAAAGATGGACGGACTGCAGTCTGTAACTGTAGAACTACAGAGTACACGTATGTGGTAAGTGGAGCTGATAAAACGAACAATGGATGCAGAAACAAGGAAATGGCTTTAATGTTATGGCTGATCGGTGTATATTTTTGCCATATAGCCCAACCCTACTTATGATACTGTAAGGCACAATACACAACGGTATTGTATCACGGTATTTAGTTTCAATGTGGTTAAAACAGTTGTTAAAAATAAACTATTTAAGAATTTAACAATTAGTAAAATAAATAAATACATAAAAGTGTACCACAGTCTAATCCAATCGGCTACTTGGTCTACAGTCTCTCTATAAATGGTCTAATGTGATAAGATGTACCGACGACACCCAATGCTCTCCACTCCGCCACACTGCCATGTACACTGTAATACAGCTGTTACTCTCCTGGAACACCTTTGAAACCTGACTTTATCAGCTTGTTCAGAAAGTGGCCTGTACAAACATTACAACAACGAGGACCACACACAGCTGTTTCTGAAGGACATCTGGCAGAGAGATTTCTCCTACACACCTTATGGTTTCAGACACAACCTGTAAGGTCACTGAACTAGCTTACATTTACAGGAAAGCTAGTGTTATTAACCATCAGAGGAACTCACGTCTAAATAACTGAATTCCCGTGAGTCAGAACCGTTAACTAAACAGGTAAACGAAACGAACGGGAAATGACAAACTTCTAAAACAAACCGGCTAGTTAGCTGGATATCGAAGCGTTAGATGACTGACTGAATAGCTGCCTCGTGTAGTCCAGCGTAAAGTTTTAAACAACCAGCTAGTCTTCGGTTTGTCCATTCCAGCTAGGTAAAACCATGAGCTACAGACAGGTGGGCTAGCTGGCTGGCTAGTGACTGGTGGTCGATGTGAAAAGCCGAGCTCCGTAACGAGCTAGCGAGCTTAGCAAGCGCTCAACTCCCACCACAGCAGCTGTGGCTGTTTAGCTTCAGTCGATAAATGTGGTTATCAGAAAACATTAACAGCGAAACTAACATCAGTGAAATCGTTCCGAGCTGCTGGAAAACGACTTACTGTTGACACATTACACCGCATGACGGTACATGATCCGCTCCGCGTTACTTTTATATTTGCTCTTAGCTTGCGGGCAGATTGGCCGCATCAACACTAACTGATCTTTTCCGGTGAAGAGAAGCCACTCCGTACGACAAAATAAAAGTCCTAACCTGCTCACCCGCATCCACACGATATAATTCAGACTTTCATTTTTCAGCCCATTGAATTTCATGGTCTAATAAAAGTCTTCTCTAATGAATAATAATGTTACTCGGAGCTGCATTATTCAACAATGTGGCTGTGATTTATCATATAAAATCGGCTCGTTATTTACCCCAGAGGGTGTGTTAACACTTTTGACATTAAACCTATGTTGTCTTAAGATTTGGAGTCATGTACTTTATGTACATACATTAGGTTAACAGTCTGAAGGCTACCAGCCATAAAAGTTCAAGAATATTCTAGTTTGGCTAAGGCCAGGTGGTGAACCTTTTCATTAAAATTGACAATAGAGGAAATGCATGCTCAGTTTTTTATTTTTTTGTAAAAATACATTTCAGGTTAAAGGGAAATTCCATTTGTTTTACATTTTCTGCATAACTCAGTTATTAAGATGTAAACAAAGTCTTTCAGAGTGGTTTGATGTGAAATGTTTAATTCTATAGAAACTTACTGAGACTGAATTGTTCACAGTGGTGGCGATAGGAACCAGACGTCTGATGCATTTAATGCTTCTAAAAGGTCTCTCACAAAAAGTCTTTCCATGAAATGCTTCTAAATATGCTGCCTGATGTAAGATAGATTGATTTATGATAGGTTTGAGATAAGCTTTCAGTATATTTTTTTTAAACCGTGCATGCCATTATTTTGGACAGTAAATAAAACATTTTTATTTGTATTGTAGAGATTGTGACCCCTGGTTCCGATCCCCACCACTGTAAATAAATCTCAGTCTCAAGAGTCAGTCGGTTTCTCTACAATGAACTGTTTCACACTGAAACACTCGGAATGACTCATCTCAGAAGTTGGATTATGCAAAAGAAATTGTAGACATTTTTTTTATTTAAATCTTTGTTTCGGTAATAAAATTATGAATGTTGCTCGTGACATACCTGTGATATACAAACTACCAACTATATTAAGTAATTACACTAGAAAAATATGTAATCCCTGTCTCACTCTCTAAAGAGTCAAGTCATATTTTACCACAAGCTTATGCGCAACCTTTGCACCTCTGTTTTACACAGATGTCTTGGACACAAAATGGCTAATTTAGAACCGTCACAGCCATCTGACCTATCCATTATAATGGCTGAAGGGTAATCTCAAGTAGGCTCTTAAGATCCTCCGAAGGCTGAAAGACAAATACTGGATCCACGGGACGTCCTCTTGATGGAAACTAACGTGCATCCGGCAGTTGATGCGTTGGGAGGCAAATCAGTGTCCCTGTTTCTTGACTCTCTCTCTTGATTTTCATGAGACAAGAACAAACTTTGGTAGTGGATTTCAATCCTAAAGCCTTCTGACAGGTTTCCCCAACCATGGATGACGCAGTCTTGGACAGAAGTACTTTAATGTATAATCACCAGTGACGACCTTTTGTCTGTGTCAGATAGGCTTGGGCAACTTATCAGTATTATCACTGCAACATCAACAATCTCGCTCAACAATATTTTTTGCCGAGACTGATTGGCAACTTTGGTGCATAACTGCATGTGGACGTTTAAGAGCTTAAAAGCAGCGAGTCATTTACATTACATTTCACCTCACATCTGCTTATATGGAGACAGGTAGCAGTTGAGCACGTAGGACTGTGGGAGCACCAGCCGAGCAAAGCAGGTGGAAAGATTTTCTCAACTTAATGCAAATGAGAATCAGATAACTGATGTCCTACATTGGTTTCACATATTTTAAAACCATTTTCATTTATGGTTGATCAGAGTTCAGAATTATCCTAGAACAGCTAAACTTTTTTTTTTTTTGTGCAACGTCCACAAAGCAACCAGCAGTTGGTGAAGCAAGTGCTTTGCTTTACCACAATGTAAATGCGGCTTCAGATACAACCAGTCTTTATCAGAGCATTTATGAAAAGAACCAAATACACTAAGAGTTTGAGATGGAAGGAATGAACAATTTCTTTTCCTGTTCAACACCATCGTGCCAAATTCTATGATGCTGATTTTTAAAGGAGGATATTAAGGCCTACACACTATGGCACAGAATTTCACCCAAACCTATAGTGCATTCCAGCCTTTGCGAGCTAATGATGGTAAGGTTAAAAGATAGGTCTTTTTTACTCTGGGGCTGGTCTCACAAGCCAGACTTCTGCCTACTGTCAGAGATTCTGGTGCATGTTGTTGCTTAAAGCTGCACTATGTAAGATTTTTTTTTGGTGTTGTTAAAACTGAAAGAAGTAACATTACTAAGGTAGGAGGGGGAAAAAACATGCTAAAATGTGTCTGTGTGCTGCTATGAGTCACCCTGTAAAGCCTGAAAAAATCATTTAAAAGTCAGAGATGTCAGGATTTCATGGGAGTTTTTCGGACCACATCACACATCTTTACGTATTAACGTCACATGCTCTGACTCAAACTGAAGGTCTGGCTCAATGTTTAGGTCTCAGATGCAAAATAAACATTAGACCGATGAATGACAATAAATTATTCACTGACATCCTCAGAAGACACGTCCCTCAACAAGTTCTGACCGAGTTCTCTTTGACTACTCTTTCAACACTTTGACAAATATCAAATTCATTCGCTTTTTGGAGTCCGAAGCACAAACGACATTACAAAAATGTTCTTCCACACCTTGTGTGCAATTCCACAATTCCACCAGAGAGGTCTCCAAATATTCAAAGCTTATATAGAGCAGCTTTAAGTGGCGCCTAGTTTAACAGGAAAGGCACCTTGAATGACATGTAAAATGAGCGTTAACAGATCATTGTTGTGGTAGGGTTAGAAGCAGAACCTGCATCAAACAAATGCTCGAGAATATGTCGCTTAAAAGTTACTAAACGCTTAAAATAAAACTGCTAAGAATTTTTAAAGAAGTAATGCCGTGAACTTTTTAAGTAACAACATTTCTCCTAAAGGCTGTCATGGTGAGCAGAGCGGTGTAGATATGGAAATGAGTCAGAATGGAAATCTGAATAGTTGTGGCCAGATTAGCCCACTACAGACTGAGACCACCGCAGAACCGAGACAAGACTGAGACCATTCATTTGCGGTTTTGGCAGATCATGACCAGATTCGAGTACCACGACACGAGTGTGTATATCTCATTATACAATCCGGGTGGGTTGGATTTAATACGTTGCAAGCCATACAAAATACTTTTTCTTCAATATAAATTCAGCAGCTAACACATAGGGACAGAAAATAAGTCAAAACAACCATGTTGTGTGGCAATTATAACATTTGGTCTCATAAACAAACAGCAGAACTGTGAGATTAAGCATACAAAATTGATATAAAAAGAAAAGGAAAGTTATTTTAGTCATTTTGCTTTTTCACTTTTTTAATAATCATTTTATATAGACATTTTAATATGTATATATAAACAGAGATTTCCATCAATTTCCCCACCTACTGCCCACACACATCCACTCACCAAGTCTTCTTACATTCAGAGGAACACTTGCCATAATAAATAATTTTTCTCCCAAAAAAAGAGCAAAGCAAACGCACACAGCGACAGTGCCACGATGAGAACTAGATCACACAAAACAAGGCTTTCATATTACTGCCATCCATACATTTTACCAATATGTGCACTAAACCATAACAATACCCAAATGGAAACCACTCTTTCCCCTCTTTATATAATGTTAAAATCTCAAACAGATTTATTTTGATACTAGTGGCAACTGCGTTGACCTTTTAATCCACTTTGAATGGCAAATTTCTCCCCACTAAGGCAAACGAATTTGGAACTGTCTGTCATCCACACACACAAAAAAAGTCTTTGACCGGACATGCTGTTCTTTCAAACACAGATCTGAAATATGGGGTACAACGATGGTAAAGTGTTCAACAGCAACTTGACAACACAATGCTCTCAACAGGGGACAGATTATTAGTCCGTTGAAGAAATGATTATTCCAGCAGTCCACTGAGTGCGTTGCTTTGCATTCCTTTAAATGAAAAAGTAGATAAATCATTCTGAGAAAATAAAATATATAGATATAATCCTTTTCTTTAGACATCTCCTCTATACATTCATCATGATCCTCTCCGATTCCTTTTAATTCCTGTAGCTCTGTTCTTTTTGCCCATATCCCTAGCTTTATAAAACGTCAAACAGTCCTGCTCAGTTCAGCATCAGACACCCAGTAAGATCTGGTGAAAAGAGCAGGCTTTTTTTTTTTTTCATGGCTGCAGCTGAAATTCAGGAACAGATTCCCATCTGTAATTTCACCCTGGCCCAAATTTACTCCTATAAGTTTTACTCTTTCATAAAACTCACCATTTATCCTGTCTGCCTCAAACAAGGCAATCTTAGTGTCCGCCCCCAACCTGTCCCCTGGATGGTTTAAAACACTAACGAGAGACAGATTATCAACATGGGAGATAAAACCACTAGCGGAGATCTAGCGGGTGGGACAAATATCTTAAACGAGTAACAGCGTGCCTGAACCTCACCTTTAAGCAAACCAAAAACTAGAATGGACCAAGGAACACTCAATCTGGACAAAATATAAAACCAGTCTTTGGAGAGACAACTGAGTCTAGCCTCCAAAACCTGTACAGCCACTTCTCAAAGCACCTTCTTTGAAGATCTAACATAAAATATATCAACTAGCACCCTCAAACTGTGTCTAGAGATCAGAAGGAAATCAGGAGCACTCTGATTGATTCTAGGGAGAAAAGGCATTTGGTTCAGGTGTGACCGCGGAATTCAGGACAGCTAGAGTCGACGCTACTTTGATGTTTAAAATACAACCAGGCATCGTTACCAGTTCTCCACTGAGAACTAAAGCTGCACTCAATATATAGATACAGCAACATACTGAAATTAAACTCTCAATGATACAACTATCAACATAGCAGCAGCTGCAGTGAGATTTATTTATGTACTCAGCTCTCTGTCTTTCACTATCATTGGTTGGCATAATGCAGCTTCTTTTATCGACCTTTATTGTGTTGTGCACTAAAAACAACTGTTTCATTAAGAAAGAAATAAAGAAAAAACAAAAACCTCACACTTATGGTATTGTGATCCCTGTATCGTGACAAAGTAGCGTGTTTTGAAGTGCCAGCTTATAACCCAAGCCTACTGAGAACAGCATGGTGTTGAGTCGTCAGTTTAAGAAGCAGCATTGTGTCCTACTAAGCACCGGCAAAGACACCAGGCTCTGGCTATGTGACAGTGCAGTAGTAGGAATTCCTCAAAGTGAAGGTATACGTATTATAATTTGCTTTTAGAAACTTTGTTTTAGATTTTGCCCAGAGGTGTCATCAATCCCTTTCCCTAAGTAGATGACTAAGACAATCCCACCCACTGTCTTAGTGTCACCACAACCCGTCCTAAAAACTAGGACTGTTCATATCTTGTGTGCACAAACACACAGACAGACAGACAGACAAACAGACAAACAAACACACACACACACACAAAATAGTCTTTCCTCAAAACAACAAAGCCTCTCTAAACTGAAGGTTGCACATGCTCACACACACACACACCCCGCTCTGCTTTTCCACTGTCATAACGGAACCTCCAGGAGTTTTTTGTGGAGGTACTGCTTCACTTCCTCAATTCCATTCAGCTTCTCCAACTCCAGGTAGGGCAACTGGTGAAGAAAGACATACACTGTAGTAAGACTATGAAAGATCTAATGCTCTCTGAAAACAACAAAGCGTGACTCGGATATCTCCAGGATGTGCCATTTACAACTTACCTGTAGAATAACGTAACCTAGCAGCTGCAGGTGGCGGTCTCTCATGGCCCTGGAGCCCACTAGTACGTCAGAGTTGTGGCAGTAGTGCCACTTATCATTTACAGACATGATCACCCTGCACACAGAGAAAAACACATACACAACATAGTTTAACTGCTTAAACTGGAGCCCTGCTAATCTTAAAGCCATATTACAGCTAACATTATTAGGTAACTACCATGAAATTTAAGTATGGACCCATGTTATGTCTTGACATCAATACACAGTGGATAGAAAATGAAAACACCCCTTAATTATTGTCAAATGTAGTTGACCTAAAGCTGCAATTTTTCTTTCTAATCTACATACAGCACTTAATGTAAAGGGGAAAAGCTAACAATAATAAAAAAAAAAATAAACAACCATTTAAAAATTATCTACAATATCTCGGTTGAATAAAGTATACATCCCCTTTAGTACAACAACCTGCAGAGAAGCTCAAGATTAAACAGTTTTCTTCAAGGTCATAGTCACTTAACCAACACTTGCTGGACACAGCAACTAACTTGATAGCTTGAATAAAAAGCTGTTTACTATGACCCTTTAGTTGCAAGTGGAGCTCCACAGAAATGCAACAGCATGAGCTTCAAAGGCCTCCCTGAGGTATGTAAAAAAAAATGAGGTATGTAAAAAAAAAAAATATATTTCCAAGGTTTAGATGATATCCCAGAGCATGTTTAAACCCAAGAAAGTGGGCAACACCCACAGTCTGTCTTCAAAAATACATGACTGGGAGGGAAAACTTGGTCAGAGAGACCACCAGGAACCCAACGGCAACTATGAAACACCTACAGCTTTTTACAGCCAAGAAAAGAATGTGTGCTTCTACTAGTGGGCAGTATGGGCAAAAATATATATCATGGTATAATTAAGATTACTGACTGTTTCGGTATATATCACGGTATATAACGGTATACAGTGTATTTATGTCTATTTTTTTTTTTCAAATAAAACCATTTTGGATGCTCAAGTAAACGTTTTTGTAGATTAACAATGGTTTTAATAAGAAGCAAATTTAACAACTGCAGTGAATTTAAAATGTTTTTATTGGGTGAAAACAGAAATTAACTATACATACATACACATGCACACACACATGCACACACACATGCACACACACATGCACACACACATGCACACACACACGCGCACACACACGCGCACACACACGCGCACACACGCGCACACACACGCACACACACGCACACACACGCACACATATATTGCTTTCTAACCCCCCAACATTAAAAGACAAAGGCGTAGGTAAAGCCCACAGCAGCTTCTCTGAGCTTGGGAAAAAACGGTACAAGGCAAAATGTAACTGCTGCACTATTTATGGTGGAAGGGGAAAATTCGAACAAGAAGTTGGCTTTGTATTCACCAGCTTCAACCTCATAAAAATGGTGCTCAAATGTTATTTGATGTCTGAAAGTCATTTCTCATGTTTGTCTCTCAAGCTTTAATTCATGACCGTCAGACGCTGCTGGAATTTAGTAAATGGTCCATCTGGAGCTAAACAAACTGTCAGAATTTCACACCATCCCAACGGTAAAACATGGTGGTGGAAACATAATGTTTTGGGGATATTTCTCATCTTGGAACGGGTCAAGATTGAGGAAAAAGGATGGATGGAGGCAAGGACACGGAGAACGCCTTCAAATGGGTCAAAAATTCATTTTCTAACAGGACAATGACCACAAGCATAGGGCCAAAGCAGGTGGATGTTGTGGAGTGGTCTTGTCAGAGCCTTGAAATAAATCCAAATAAAAACCTATAGGATTACTTGTAAAGTAAAGTCCATTGCTGAAACCAGCTAACATCTCCAAGCTCGAACAGTTCTGCAAAGAGGAGTGGGGGAAGATCTCCAGATCCAGGTGTGCCAACCTTGCAGAGAGCTACCAAAAAAAACTAGTGGCTGTAGTTGCTGTCAAGGGGGGCTCTGCCAATTGTTGACTGTGGGGGGGGGCGTATTTCAGAAATAAGGAAATCTGGTTCTGTCAACTAAATGCTTTTTTTTTTTCCAAATTCAGTCCTGTTGTCCTACAGTCCAAATAGAAGGCCAAAGTAAATCTTATTGATAATTGCTCAATAAAGTGGCAATTACAAAATATTCAGTTAGATCTACTGTGCTTTTATTATGAAGTTTTTGCTGAGGGAAAATTTATTTGGTTTTCAAATAGTCATGTGTTTTGATTTATAAGCAATTATTACAGGTTTCTGATACTACACAGCAGTAATTCTAGTATTTTTTTTGCTTGTTTTTTTTAATCAAGGAGCATTTTATTCTAGGGCACTGAGAGTATGGATTTTCAGTACCGTGGTGAAAAAGCAATGTCCCCCTGCGCACTGCCCCCTGCCACCCAAAAAAATAAAAATAAATAAATAAATCACAGTTAAGGTGAAATTGAACCTGTTCTGTGGTGTTCAGACGCCTGACCCAATGTAATTGCCATAGTACAAGCCTGATTCTAATGACCTGCTGCTCTACCGACACAACTTTACATGATAAAAAATAACGTCTGACAAAGTCGAGTGAGTGACAGAAAGCCGAAATTGAACTTATTCTGCGGGGCTGTTTTGTTGGGACTTCGCCCCTATTGCAAAGGCCTCTGAGACTCCAAACTGCCCCCGCCTGTATTAATTTCTGAAGCTGGTCGGACTAACCTCTTAAATGACCTCTTACTGACCTTTTAACATGCTCCCCGGAGGTCCTTTCTGTCTCAGATGGGTCTGTAGGGTGAAGCTGGAGTGGAGTGGCTGTCACTACATCACTCTCTCCTCCTTCGTATGTCACGCCCTCGTAAAATGGTGTGATCTCACAGTCCGCTCCTGGATTGGCCCCTGCTGGGATGGGCGTGCCTCCTTCATCCTCCAGGATCTTCCCGATGGAGAACTGGAAGAGGGAGTCCTGTGGGGCGGTGGTCCCAGGCATGGCAGAGCTGGCCTGGGCCAGGCAGTCTGATGGGCTGCTGAGGGTGGAGCTGTCCTGGCTCTCTAGAGAGTGCTCCTTGGCCAATGTGGAGTAGTAATCTGAGGTGGTGTAGTAAGGGTTGTAGTCCAGTGGGACTGCTCCATTAGTGCCCACTCTCTGCCCGGTGGGCCCCGAAGGCCGCATGTGGGAGGGCAGGAAGGCAGAGTCTTGGCCAGGCGGTTTGTCGGCCCCCTCCTCCAGAGGTGGTGAGAAGGGAGAGAACTTCTGGAAGTCGGAGGTGAGGGCAGTGACAGTGTTAGAGCCGTCCGGCGATTTGGGGTTTACTACGGTACATGAAGAGTCCACCCTCAACGAGACCGCGGCTGACCCTGCTCTGATTGGAAGAACACGACCTGCATGGTCTATCCACAGCAGGAAATCTGTGTAGGGATGTAGAGAACATGAAAATAATCTAAAGCACATCAAGAAGAATTCTGTAAGAGACAAGACCACCATTAGTTGACTATAACCTTGCGCTACACAGAGGTGTAATGTTTAGGGTTGTAAAAATGCATCTACACATTGTGAACTGACTGCCTGAATGCTGGACTCAATTATAATTGATTATAACAATGTTTAATAAAGTATGCACTTATTTTTTTTGGCCAAACTAAATTTTTTGGGCTTCAAACATAAAAAAAATGTTTTGGTATGTTGTTTTAATTATCCTTATGTCATATGTACTTTATGTACTTTATAAAGTACTTCAAACTCTTAAAAAGCAAGGGAAATTTGGTTTTCCATGACATGGGCCCTTCAAACGAAAGTAAGAATACTGAAATAATACTAACATAATCCCTGTAAATGTTCCTTGTACCTGTGTAATATCCTGGAGCCAGAACTTCATCCTGTTTGTAACCATGCTCTCCAACCAACTGCCGGAGCGCCTCTGCAACCAGACCTTTGTAACTACACAAGAGAAAAAAAAACAAAAAAAAAAAAAACAACAACTTCAGAATAATTCACTCTTCCTGTAGTTCTATTCTGTCCTGAGTTACCACTTTAAACCTAGAATGAAAGAATTAAGGCACTAGAATACGAAGACAAAATAAAGACAGGTCAAGTGAAATATTAGACCAAAAATATTTTCAGTTAAGAATATCCGCTCACCATGGGCCGTCACATGGCTAAAACTGTGTACGTAAAACGTCCAGTCACTGACCTGTACTTGCGATTGACCTCATCTGCAGTGAGCGCATGTTCGAACATGAGCACTTTGTGGGAGTCTTGCAGGCGTGGGCCCGTGTACTCTCTGTGCTCCAGCTCCACCGCAGCGTCCAGCAGGGACAGGTACCGCCGCACAATCAGAGCATATGGACTGTCTGTGTGGAAGCACATGGCAAAATAAACTAACTTAGTGGCCTAGGATGGACTAGGAGTACACTACAATGAAGTGGCCAGCAGATGTAACCTCTGCTGATTCTGGCTTTTAGGCTACTGTCACATTACAAGCCTCAGTGCTCAATTCTGATTTTTTGCTCAGATCTTTTTAACTTGATGGTTCAGACCGGTGTAGGCAAGTGACTCAAATCTGTCATTAATGTGAACGAACCTGCACCGTGAAACGACCTGCATGTGCACATCATTATCAGTACATGAATGAACTATGTGCATCATGAACTACAACCCAATCAGCAGAATAAACCTTTGTAATGAAGATAATTTGCTCTGAACAGATCTCAGCTGTTCATTATTAGAGTAAGATGAAGGTGAAAAAGGGTCAGATTCTTTTGTTTCTTGGCTGTAACTTAAGGTTTGTAGCTGCTGCCATGATAATACTGATTGATGGTGCACACGTATCAGATATAGGACCGAGCTGAGGTCTGATTTGAAAAGATCAGACCTATGTGTACACAGCTCTGAAAAAATCAGAGGTGTGTCACATGAACACACACACAAAAAAAAAAAAATCAGACTGTGCCACTTCAGTTATTTCAATTTAGCATAATTTCTGTTGACAAGTTACTGAATATGGATAATTCATGTATTTAAGGAGGCAAAACACAACTCAAAGCTAAGCATTCTAGAAATGCTGTTTAACATGTATGTGAAAGAGTATAGTTTAAATATAGATATTACTGTCTTATATTACTGCACCACTTAGTATACTAGTGTTACACAAAGTGTACCAGTTATTTAACACCCAGTCAAGTAAAAGCCACAGGTAAAACCAAAAACAGTTATATCAAACTTGGAAACTGAGCACAACTGCTAAAAGAGAGAGCAATAACATTGATGTAGTCACTTATCAGCCTGGGCAGGCTCGTTCATTACTGTGTCCTAAACAGGGTTCCACAGTAAGCCTTTTTGCAAAGGAGCATTGTTGCTCCTGATTTAAGAATAAGCACGAACCCACAGAGAAATCGTCTACAAATCGTATCTCCTATTGCCTATCAGTCAAAGAGGATGTTTAATTCAAAAAACATTTTTTCCCTATATTGTCCAAGCCCTTAAAAATTACCTGAACAACATTAGGAACATTTTCAGTCATTCAGTATCCATTATGTTCTTTTCTTGCAGTTTCTTTCATTTCATCTGTGGTCCTGTCTTCTCTACTTAACACAATGTATGACTGTGTTTCATATGTAATGTATTTTTTGTTAGTTAGAACCTAAACTAAGGCTTGTTGAAAATTAAATGATTAATAATACCACTAGCTCAGCTAATTGTGAAATTAAAAAAAACAAAACTGTCAATAAAGAACATTTTTGGATCTGACTCAATGAAAAAAGCTGGAAATGTTAACCACTAGTTTATATTGAAATAGCAATGTCTATTATATAATACATTATCAACGATGTTGTCTTAACAAGTTTTAAATGGGGAAAAAAAAACTATTAACAAAGAGCTTGTGAACTGCCTGTAGAAGAATTAGACCAAATCATGTTCTGTATATGTGGCATCACAACCATCACAAATCCTGGTTGTCTGACAATATTGGTCAGAAAAAACAATTAGATATTTTCTAAATTGTTCAGCCCTGCACCTACAATCTCTACAAAACACATTCCCCACTAGTTTTAGCATTCGTTTTGGGGGTCTGTTTAAGAACACACAAAATCAACACTCTTGGGTTTAACTCGATGGTGCCATATTGGCTGATAACACTGGGCAATGTGCTGCAAATATTTAGCCAAGCCTGATACTGGCTTTTCTGTGATACCGAAAAGCCAGACACTGACTTTTTTGTGAAACAACCTTTTTAGCCCATGAGATTCACATTCACTTGCATGAGACTGCAGCAAAGGCCAAAGAGGTGATTATTACCATAAACCAGCAGTTCTTAACTAAACCATGAGACTTCACACCTATGCAGGTATGCTCTCAATCAGAATTCTGGTCATATTTTAGCAAATATAAGCATTTTGCATGCAGTGTAGAATAGGGAGGTGATGGACTCACTGGTGACGTTGCTGATGAAGGACGGGGAGAAGACACGGTGGAGCACCAGGCTGGGGAAGTGCCCTAACTGGAAGAGGGACATAAGGATGTTGACGGTGGCCAGCGGTGAACTCAGAGCCTTCAGCTCCAGCACCATCTCCAGCTTAGAGAAAAACTGAGCCTCGTTAGGCGGCCGGTAACTCATACGGCTGAAGGGGAACACTAACTTCTGGATAACCTGAACAAACAGCAGCACAACACAAGAGAGGTTGTTTTATCAGTTAAACGAACTTTTGTAGATTTTTCACAACCTCAAAAAAAGCAATAAATGTATGATCAGATTACTGATACTTCCTAATAGTTAATGTTCCTCTTATTCAGCAGAAGTGAAGCTGTCCTTCGTCTCACCTTGCTATCTAGGTATTCGCCCTTTTTGACCAGGAACTCAGCGATAGTGTCTAGAAGGCGTGTTTCTCTGAGGCGATGTCGGGCGATATATTTAGCAATAAGGGCCATGGTGTAAGGGGTTATGCTGTCGACCTTTTTAGGCAGCTCCTCTGGGAAAACAGGACAAAAATGCAAGTTGTCAACATGTTTTTGGCAGCAAATTTGCAATTATAAAATTCTTCTTAAAAATGACCACCTTGAAGGTAAATTGGTATGTCAGTGGGCGCTTACAAGGGATGCACTGACATGAGAATCCTGGGCCAATGTTGATATCTGATATTTTTCCCTCTATGATTCCTAAATCACCATGCATCCCTTGTGATTACTACTACACTTGTTATAGGATTGGCATTTTAACCATGTTTATTTTTTTAACAAACAGTGAATATACTTGAGTATCTTATATTTTATACGGTTATAAATAAAAAAAACAAAGCATGTTGAGCATTCATTTTTTGCATCTCTCTACATATCTCGTTGCTGAATAACTTAGTAATTAATTTTTGTGTTTCAAGGGTATGTAATGTAACACAACCAGATGGTCTACAGAACAATAACTTGGATGTTTACCTACAAATTTCTGGTCTTTATATTCAAAATATTCACAGACATAACTCTAACTTAGATGTTGCCATTTTACTTAGCATATCAGATGTTTGTGTCCGAACTGTTCTACATCACACACTCAGTGAAAAACTTAAATTTTTTTTCATTCCAACCTACACATTTTTATTAAAATACCAGCCAAAATAATTACAAACAGTCAGATACTCTGTAGTCAGATATTCTCTATATTTAAATACCTGAAGTCCTTCCTTATATTCAACTCAATTTAGTCCTTACTGATAACTACAAGTATCTAACAGAAACATAATGTAAGGCAACAGCGAACACAGTTAGCCACTCACCGGCCAGACTGCAGATGAACTTCTCCTGCCTGTTCTGGTAGAAGAGATGGGAGCTGAAGATGAGCTCAAGGCTCTTGTTGCTGGCCTCGCAGGCGCACGCCGCCAGCATCTCGTCCAGCAGGGCCATCTCATGATCCCTGACACAGCTGACACTGGCCAGCGTGTGCTTCACCAGCCGTAAAATCTTGCGGTTGACCACCAGTTGCTCAGCCGAGCCGCTGTCGCCTGCCTGCAGTGCTCGCCACTTAGTGCGGTAGTAGGAAAGGAGGAGGAAGAGCGTTTGTGGGTGTCGCTCACGCTCAATGTTCTTTTCCAGGCCTGCTAGACAGGACTCGATGAGCGGGTGCTGGCTGGAAGGGTGCAGTTTCATGCTACTGCTGAACACCATGGAGATGTCCTTCTGGTTGAATTGTGACAGGCGGCCCTGTGATTCCTCTTCCAGCACCTGCACTATTTGAGAGTCACAGGGCAACCCTGAAAAAACAAGAGGACACAGTCATACGTGATGCAGCTGTAGATAGCGGCACGACTATGAACAAAGCTGCACAATTAATCATATATTTTAAGCGCTATTGCCTCTTCTGTGCCTGCCCAGGAACATTTTACGATTGAAAATTACCCAAGGCAGCTAAACCCTCACATTTACAGAAATTTCCCACTCTTTGTCACCAATCAATCTGTGAGTATAAAGGAAAGCATGTGCTTCCTTCAAGACACATTAAGCCAATGCTGGCCAATCATATCCAGCACAATCAGTCAGTACTGCTGTAGATTAACAACAGATCAGGGCCACACAGATGGAATTGGTGAATATGCAGAATAATAAGCCAATCTTCCTAAACATTATCAGTGTTTAACACAAGTTCTGTCAATTGGACTTCTTAGCTTGTGAGCCTTTTCGGAAACTGTTTTAAAATTGCCTTTTTTACATGTGCAGCAAATTAATTGCGAAATGTCATAACACATTTGATTTTAGTAGTATTCTCACTGTCGCAATCCAGGAATTCTAGATTAATTGCTCTATGCTAATTCAGAACTATGAGTCTCATCAATAAGTAAGGCAGTGTGTGTAAATTGTATAATATATAGAGGACCACCACAGAGCAGGTATTATTTGGATGGTGGATCACTTTCAGCAATGCAGTAACACTGACATGGTGGTGGCGTGTTAGTGTGTGTTGCGCTGATATGAGTAGATCAGACACAGCAGGGCTGCTGTGTCACTGCAGTGCTGAGAATGACCCACCACCCAAATAATACATGCTCAGTGGTAGTCCCGAACCACTGAAGAACAGAGTAATAAAGGGCTAACAAATTAAACAGATAAACGGATGGACTACAGTCTGTAACTGTAGAACTACAAAGTGCAGCTAAAGGGTAAGTGGAGATGATAAAATGGACAATGAGTGTAGATACAAGGTAGGCATACTTAAGGTGTATATATCTGCATCAGAAGATGTGTATGTGGAAAATTTCGGTCACCAACTTCAGCCCAGAATTCTTTTATCAATTATTGCCATAAAGAAACTTGTTTTGTGAGTAAGTGCAAATATTCCCACTCATCTTAGAAAACAGATTTCATTAAAACATATCATGACTAAAAAAACAAAACAAAAAAAATTGTGTAATAACATTACTTTTTTTCCATCACCCTCACACAGCTGTAGTAAAAAGGAAAACGTGATTATGAAAGTTAAGTATAAGACTGGGTGAAAATTACCAACACCTCAATACTCCTGATCTACACAAATGATCCATAATACTCTTAAATTCACCAGCTTACCAAGAGCAGCCACAGCATAAAGGCAGTTGACGATGCTGAAGTTGTCAAACTTGGAGCAGTCGTTAACAATGGCGTCACAGAGTGTCTGGAAGTCTGGGTGATCCAGAATCTGTCGAGTAGCACCTTCACCTGAACTTCCAGCAGGGGGCGAGGGCAAGGCTGCCTCTCCGGTTCCCCCACTATTATTGCCCCCACTCCCCCCTCCGCCAGCACCCATCCCTCCGGCCTGCTGAAGCACCAGGAGCTGGCCAATCTTCTGCAGAGCGATCGGGTAGTGATTGTGCGAAATTTTACCCGGGTTTTGGGTAACCCAGCGGAGCACCTCGTCCACACTGCGTGAGCGATCGATCAGCCGCTTCATGGTGAAGAAGGTATCGTAGCTCATCTTCTCATGGATGAAGTTCCAAGTTTTCTTCTTGCTGTGATGTATGTGGGCGTGTGGCTGGTAGTGAGGAGGGGGTAGATGAGGGGGCTGGGGGTGAGTGTGGTAGTGCTGGTGGGTTTGGTAGTGGGGGCGGTGGGAGTCTAGACGACCCTGGTAGAGCGGCGGGTAGCTTGGGGGTGGGGGAACATGGGGATGGTGATGAGGAGGTAGGGGGTGGTGGTGGTTCTCCAGCATGGGTTGTCCTCCGCCCATCAGGCCTACGCGACGGCCCGGCTTGCCTCCTCCTCCACTGTACAGACGTGTGGCGTACATACTAGCGAGAGCACCTGGGGCCAGTAGGCAGGAAGGCTGGGGAGGCAAGGCAAATCTCCCGCAGGTTAAGAGGCCAAGGCGGGTGGGCAGCCCCAGCATGGTATATGGGGTGATCCAACAGTGAGGTTCAAGACTTTACACCTAAAACACAAAAATCTGGTGTTACAGCAAGATCCATCAAGTCAATACGCTGCATACTGGAGCAAGGGTATTCGATTTTAGCCCTGGAGTTCCAGAGTCCACCACAGTTTGCTGATTTCACTGCTCAAAGACAACTACCAAACTTGGTAATTATAGGATCAGTTGAACTAGATGTTTTGAAACTGTGCTGGAAACTGACCTTCAGGACCCCTGCACTAGATAATACATGCATTACACATCCACAAGTCACTTAATTCCTTTCTAAAGTTTGTGTGCAACCTTCAACAAGCATGGAAGACGACTGTGGTAAACAGTGTGTAATCTTACAAGTTAAACAGATCATATCCATACTAATATATAGGCAACTGGGTTCATCCAAAAATAGCTGCAACTGTAACTCAACACACGCTAAGCTGGTGCACACTTCCCAAACCTGAAGAAAGGGAATTCCTAACTTCATTTCAGTTCAGCCTGTTAAATTCCCACTTTAAACAAAAATAATAACAGATTAGCATGAATTCAAAAGTGTTATGGTAGATAAAGAAGGTAGCAAATTAACATGAGTTGTGGAAAAGCATAAAGCAGATTCCAGCAACAACAACATGACAAGAGGTCATATGAGTAAATCTACCAATGTTCTCCGATCATCAGTGCTTATTTTGCACCAGCTGTTGCCTTCAAACACTAAAGAGCTCAAACAGTGGAAGACAGAGAACAGCAGTCGTGGATACACAGAAACAGAAAGTTCAGCCTGACGGTCTGTGTGAGAATGACTCAACAGCTGCACAAAGTCAACAGCAGTCTATGTTGACGTATTGAAGAGACACTAAATTCACCAAGCATTAAAGAAATCTCACATCTTTACTTACATGTTTAGCTTAAAGGAACGAGTTCGGATGACAAGGGAGCTTGAAATCATCAGTGAGAAACGAAGACATTGGCGAAATATTGGAAATGTAACGTTAGCAGCCGAGCTCAGTAGTGTCGCTGACTTGACAACTAACCCACTGTTCCAACGAACCGGAAATAAAAGCCTTGTTCAGGACAGTTATAGCCAGAAAACCCTCATGTTGTCATCTGAAACTGTACAGTTTATGCCAAGCGAAGAACATTTCCAGAGGCCCAGGAAGAGGAGAAGACGAGCTAACCCAAGTATCATTAGCTAACTCGGCTAGCGAGCTGCGTGGCTGGCTAATCGAACAGCACCCATAAACACTCACTGCAGTGTGCAAAATCAACAAGGACCCGACGCGTTCCTCACAAAACAGAGAAATGTGGCCTCAGGGTAGCTAAGTTGGTAGAAGAGCTGACAGACTGTGAGCCTGAGGTGCTGTCCGCATATAAAACTCCACTAACATGGCCTCTCCAAAGCGCTCCGCTAACTGCTACTTCATTTCGGCACAGAGCCGCTCAGGGGCTCTCAGCGAGGGTCTACAGCTGCCTCAGCGCACTGACGAGTCTGGCTGCAGCCTCAGAGCGAAGTGTCAACTCGCCGCGGACGAACAGGCGAGCATGTGTGTCTCGTAATGTCAGGCTGTCGGCCGTTTGCTACTCTCTCCTTGCAGTCTGGCAGGAGTCGTCCGCCGCCCCGGTCTCCGCCATGTTCCCGGTAGTCAACAGTGGCGAAGGGGAAACACGTGTTTTTCCACTAATGTAGTAGTAAGAGTGTACAGGCTACACAGAGAGGAGCTCGCTCGTCGTGGCTCGTTCACTGTAGCTCGCGTTTCCGACAGTGTTCCTGCACTGTTGCATATGGATTTCAAACGTATGATATACATTAGCATACGTGAATTTCTTTCATATCCTCAGAACCGATATTAGTCACATATGGACGTTTATGTGACATACATGCCAACTTATTTGAAATGGGCCATTATCATATATTTCAGTCATATATCAACATAAATAAACACGTTTTTGTAACACATATTTAACAATATATGATAAAAAAATATTAATCATGTAGCTATGACATATTACATATGCTGGCTTCATGTTACATAATTTAAGGTTTTGTTTATTGCATGTATGCTGTATGGTGTATTTCATTTAGATTTTTTGATTTAAAAAGTCTGTAGTATCTGCAGTGCCAGTGTCAGACATATATGTGTGCTCCATGTATCAGACATATGTATTAGACAGATAGTATATATATGTGGTTTATATATCATGCATATGAGTGTTCACCCACCTATCAGACATATATGCATGGTCCATATGTTAATGATGTGGGTTCTTTCAGCATTTCAACTGATGGAAATTTGTCTGAAGGAAGGAGTAAAGGGAAGAGTATAAATATAAACCCTTATGCTAATTAGGGGTGTGGGGTTTACAGAGGGGACATGTCCCACCCACTTTTTATGCAAGATAACTTTGAGGGTTGCAGGATGGTTGTCGAAAAAAGTGTATGACCTGTCCTGGACCCTATAAAATTATATCACTATGCTGAATATGTATTATTTCTATTAATAATTGGTCCCCTCCAACATCAGGAGGCTAGCTTGTCAGACCAAACCGAATAAAAATCTGTAAGAAATATTTTGGTGTTATGTCTCAGTTAAAAAAACATGCTTAGTAAATGTAGAATTGTAGCATACAAATTAGATGAATATTTAAATCTGGGATGGGAAACTGAGGACCAGAGTTCAGCACAGTTTTCTGATTTCTCTGCTCTAACACACCGACTAAACTTAGAATTTAACCGACGAGTTGAATCACTTGTGTTTGAACAAAGCAATCACCAAACAGTGCTGTCCTACAGGACCAGTTCCCCTGATTTAAATCTTTTTCACTAGGATGGAGAACAGGACACTCGCTCGTCACCACACTCACTGTGGCAATGTGCGGTCCGTCAGACTTGCCTTCTCTAGGAGCTTAGCCCAGTGGGTTTCAAAATAAAAGTCAGCCAGTGAAGTATTTATCAAAACAATTTTCATTCATTCTTCCACTTCCTGTTCATCTGCATGATTTTCTATTCAATTAAAATTAGAAAAACTAATTTTTAAAAGTTTTTTTTTCATCAATAGCTAAATTAAATAAATATAACAGAAGAACTATTGGGTTAACATTATTAAGTATAGCAGAAGACTGTAGGACTAATTAAGGGGTGTATGCAAGAGTTTAACGTTACTTTGGTAGAGGATACAGATGCAGTTTAGCTGTAGGGATGAGGATGTCAGAGTTCAGGTTTTGCTTAGGGCCCCAGGAAGGCTATAGCCAGCACTGACTGCTAAGCATTAAGTATAATTGTGTAATTGGTTTACTTCTGACTCAATTGATCTATCAAAGTTCTGTCCACAAATACATTCTTCCATAGTTGCTGTTTGTAGGTCAAACTACAGAATGTTGACAGAAATCACACTGAGCCTAATAAAATTTGGGCTGCGTATATAATGTTAAGTTTCCAGTTTGCATGCGACACTACTGAGTTGGACTGTGTTGTTAAAGTTAATTGAAACAAGGCGAGTTGTAAACATCAATGAACTACACAGTGCTAACATTAGTTGGGAAGAGATGTCAAAACATTTAAACCAGAACCACCAGGCTCAAGAACAGTTTCTACCCTCAGGCTGTTAAACTGGCCACACCTGCCAGATCGTGAATGCAAACGCTACGTGAACTATGTATGTACACTGCGCTTAAACCTAACTCCAAACTTCTTATATAATTGGAATGAACACGTCTACGCCCTTGTACACACCTGACAATAAATACAGAATAAAACTGACACAGACATGTGCTGGTGCGTAGATAATACATAAATTGTATTGTATTGTACTGAAGTTGTAATTTATGCATGGTCCACTAGAAGTCACTAGCTCAGCAGTGGAACCAGAATGAGTTTAAACCAGAACCATTACAGACCACAGTCTAGTACTTCTCTTTTCGTTTGTGACAATCATGAGCTTATCAGTGTGTGTTTGGAGCAGAATTGAGTACAGTCACTGCACGGAACTGTACCACATTCAGTATACCAGTCATCTTGCTCATCAGAACTGATCAGAGTTTTGGTGTCTCAGCATCCTTTAGCATGGGCTAAATATTGACTTATTCAGACTTACAGGTCATCTCTGTTGAATGAGGATGTGATGCAACCAGTGGGCCTACCCACGCTCCGCACACAAATGCATTCTTTTGTAGCAAATGTTGTGAGGTTGGACAAGTTTTACTAAATGTTGGCAAAGACCCCATGCACTGTAATGAATTGAGGATTAGATGTGCTACATTACTTTGAGTTTCAAGTTTAAAACATTACACTACCCACCTGGACAATCTAACTAGGCAGGCTGGAAACAACAACAAATAACTTTACTTTATTTGTTTATTTAACAGGGACTGTACATATTAATCAGCATTATTATTTCATGATGTAGCTGTGCCAGGTTCAGCTAAAACAGTAGTAAAAAGTTACAACACGCATAAAACTAACAGACAAATGCAAGCAGTACATAAAACAAGCATAGTATACAAGCTTGTGACTACAGTACAAACCATGTAATATGATTACGTATTATTCCATTACATCTAATAGTGTGACTTTGTAATAACACACTCTAAATTTAGTTTGAAAAACTGAGCTGTGGGCTACAGTTTTGCATTATGTTAGATGGGATTTTCATTAAAAGTATTGTTTAAACACAGTTTACTGCAATGAGATTTATAAAGCCCAGGTGTGCTTTAGGAGTGTTTTCTAGGACTTTGGATTGTTTTTCCACAAGTGCAAGAATTCACTGTTAGTGGTCTGATTTATTGATTTTAATTGAAAAATATTTGCACAGAGGAGAGCACTGACCGAGACCAAAGGCTTGTCTTCAGGGGGTGGTTGCAGCTGTTGCCTTAAAACACAAATCCAAAAAATTAACCCCTTACATGTAAACTGAAAACTCAAAAGAATGCACAGAGACAACAGACACCATCATATGGCCTTCATTGCTGACAGAAAATGTTAAAATGTCAGAACTGGGGTCTGCTGACTTAGCAAGTACCTCAAAGTGCAGTGTTTAAAGATGGTGTGAAGGGTTTGAAACAGCTTTTTAGGGCTGCCTGATTTAAACTTGATGTCACAATTACTGGTAATGTTACAATTTAACTGTCCTAATGAATTGGCAGTGTGCCTGAGGATCATGTGTAGGCCCCATAGTGCCCTGACGGAAGAGAAATTAACTTGGATATTATAAATTAACATAACCAAATAAAACATTTCCCTCAAAACTCTGTTATCAGATTATCTAGTAGTTAACTGTTGACTTGCTTTCTCTCCAGCAAAGATGAAAATCCAGTTCACTTCCTGTTTTGTAAATTCTACACATTTCCATTGAGATATATTCCATTAACTTTATTGAAGAACAAAATGCATAGTTTAAATGCAGGACCTCCAATATAGGCAGACATTGCATTATGTAACGACTGTGAAAATGGATTAAATTCTCTGATTGATATCTCTTTCTTTTAATTCTTTCCATTTATGGGCATTTTGCCACACAGTGTTTTTTTTTCATTTTCTTTGAAGTCTTTTTCCAGTGAAGTTATGCAATGTTTGTTATGGTTCAGTTAGGACCACTTTTTGTTTGGCTTAAAAAAAACCTCTGATTATTTGATTAATCATTAAATAATCAGTAGGTTACTGTATTACTAATGTAATCAATACTGTCAACCCTGTGAGACAATTTTAATAGTTTTATGATGCATTCATGATGCTCAAGGTTTTGAAATAAGTGTTTAGACAGTAGAAATCATTAAGAATATTCCACGTGTCCATTACAGTATCTCTGAGATACAGTTCTTGAAATACTAAGCTCATTCTAAGCACTCTGCACTTCCCAAAACAGCAAAAGCAAACAAACACTGTATCACCTGTGCAAAAAAAAACCTAAAACACTCAAAACATTATGTACATATACTCAAAATGTTACATACAGCATGACACACAAAGTCAATAGTGATTGCTAACAGCAACATAGCCAAATGTAGGTACAAATGTGGAAAAAACATAGTCTGATGTCATAATGTCACCATAATTATGGTGAAGAAAAAAACAGGTGGGTAAATGCACACGTTAAACATTATACTTTCGGTCTCTCCTCTGTTTGGCCACAAAACCTCAGTAATGTGCAATCTTTCAAGGTACAGAGGGTCAAACCTTCTTACACATCTGAGCCACCTTTTGCAACCCTCAGCCATGATGTCCTCACAGCCAGCATCCATAACATTGAGTAAAGACATCTGCTTATGGGTTTGGAGTTAGGACAATCAAACACCCTCCTCCTTCATCTGAGAATTCCTCAGAAGGGTTGAGAAATAGTGAATAGAGTGGGAGGAACTCTGTTGATAAGGAGTGGGCAATATGGCAAAAATACAGTGAGATGCATAAATATTTACAACAGATTTACAACATCTGTTGAAATTAAGCTAGATTTACTCTTTTATAGAAACCTATGAATCAGTAAAGAGTTATTTACTTTGTTTTTTCCCTTCTTAGTTCTGATATGTTTGACTTACAACTTACAAAGTCTGTTATAATATTAACCCACAACTTATGAGGTCTGATATGATTGGTTGAGCCTAATGTTAGACTTTTCAACAAAGCTAAACAACAGGACTCCCGTGTGCGTTTATGTTATGTTAGTAAAGCTCTGGTAGCACAGCCAAAGCAACGCTGCATTAGAGCAGTAGCACCTTCCCCAGTTCTTATCGACCTGCTATCACATTATGTTAATCGAGCAATGAGAAATGAATGAAAAAACTATATCAATAATATCCAACTAATAACGTAAATTTATTTGAGGGGGTTATATAACAGTTGGGAGGCTAATGTCCCCTTAAAACTAGCCTCATGACACTGTTATTTACGTTGAATAAAACTAGGTAATTTACTTACTAGGTAAGTTACCATGTGATAATAATAATTTTTAGGTTTAACTGAGAGGCATGTTTTTATAGTGTGTGCTCTCTTACTCTCATGAAAGTGTTTACACTTGCTTATTATGTGCTGGGTCCTTAATTGACTGTCCATTATAAGCAAAAGAATTCCTTTTATAGAGGGTCAACACCTTGGCCGGATTATTTATTTTTTTTACACATATTCAATGAGTATTAATATTATTTGCTTATATTAAATTAGCTGATATAATATTTGTGATTAAGCTAATTAATATGCAGTTTATTTTCATGTTTGGTTCTGGAGCTCAGTGTAACAATTTTTGTAATGTTTTGTAATAGTATTTACAAGCATTCGCAAATTTGGCCTCAGAAATATTCAGTTTTGTTAAAGGCTGGCACCGGATGAGAAGTGAATTAAAGAATTATGATTATTGTGTTCATTGAATGTATTGTGCACTCAAGAGTGCAAAAAACGGTTTGTGGTTTGTTCTAAACAGAGTGTTAATGTACTAACTGTGTGAAGAGTTTTAAGAAAGAGAGCTCTGAAAATACTTGTTAGATATTGTAAAAAAACTGATGTTTTCTCTAGTTGATATTACTTGACAAATGCATAAGTCAGTGAAATTTAGTTAGTTGTTTAAATGAAATGAAGTGAGTTGTCAGATTTACTTCAAAAGTGTTTGATTAATGTAATCTTGTTGAGTAAAACAACCTATTTCCCATTGGCTCCTGGCATCATCTATTTGCAAATTGGTTTACTTGTCTTACTAACGGCGGCGCGCTGGCGCAGTGGGTAGTGCTGTTGCCTCACAAAAAGAAGGGCCTGGGTTCGATTCCCGGCTGGGCAACCAGGGTCATTTCTGTGTGGAGTTTGCATGTTCTCCCCGTGTCTACGTAGGTTTCCTCCCACAGTCCAAAGACATGCAGTCAGGCCAATTAGGCATGCTAAATTGCCCCTATGTGTGAATGTGTGTGTGATTGTATGTATATGTATGTCTGTCTGTCTGCCCTGCGATGGACTGGCGACCTGTCCAGGGTGTATCCTGCCTTCCGCCCAATGACAGCTGGGATAGGCTCCAGCACCCCATTGTGACCCAGAAGGATAAGTGGTTTAGATGATGATGTATGTATGTATGTTTTACTCACCCTCTTCCTGTTGTCCTTCCATTCTGGCCTACCACCCATTGTAACTGCTTTTTTTCTAATGCTCCAAGGTTAACAAGTTAGCCTACAACGTAGCTGGCTATAACCTATTGCTGAGCGTAATGTTACAACAGCTCAGTAACACAGTAATGATAAAATTGCGTGATCTATCATAATGTTCTGCTACATTAAGTGATAGAACATAACCATATTAAGTTAAATATTGGAGTAATACATAAAAATGGTTATTTCAATTAATTAGAACTTACTTGTGTATGATTTACTTGGATTCATTAAGTTTACTCAGATGATCATTTTAAAGTTGTACATTTTAAGTAAATCCAGCATTTAATATCTTGTCTGCTAAACGATGAATCATGCTTAATTTCACCAGTGACGAGTTCACTTTAGATTTCAGGCTGACTTTAACTTAGAGTTACTGTACGATGATAGCTCTCTTTTTAGTCATGTAGTTCACCACAGCCACTTTCTCTACATAGTTAACTTGCTTCAATGCAGATTAAGCTAAAGTATCCAATCAACCTCCTGTCCAGTCAATGTCCTGCGAAAAGATGGCATCAGCTTTGTTTGAATAACACGTAGAGTTCAGCTCTCGCATTATGAGGGGATCTTTACAGAGGCCTAGCATTTTTAGGGATAGACGGTAAATTAGCACACTGCTAAAAATGTATATGTTTCATTTTGTACGGTTGCAATAAGATTATTTAAATGTTTCTAGTATCTAAAGAACTTGTGTTATTCTGCTGGTAGATGATTTTGTCTGTTTCAAGCATTATTTATTGAAACAAGCAAAACTATCTGCATTATGATGTGAAACAAGGAAAATGATCAGCCAACAGAATGACTTTCACTAGATAAAATGACTATTAACAATGACTTAATATTAATAATAAAATATATTAAATTGAGCTTGTTTTTGATTAACTGTTGTTTTATTGCTTTAACCTTCTTTAAAAATGTACATAGAACAAGGCAGTGAGAATAATGGTCTTTATTGAAAAGTGTATCACTGCTGTTGAAACAAAACCTTCTATCTCTAAAAAGGTAACTTTAGAGGAGAAGGAAAAAACCTTCTTAACCTTAATGGAAGTTAATGGAGTAAGATAAATTTTGGACCATTCCTATTGGTCCATTCATGACATTTTAACACAATGTAAAGGCGTTTATGCTCCAATTCTCATAAAAGTCATCTGTCTAAAGTGCTTTTTTGTATGGTGATCAGTATATATTCCTCTTCATTCACAGGTGGAATCTGTATTTTGTCAGTTTGCTATGTGCTGCTTAGGGGACTTAAAGTCAGACACACCCAAGACATCCTAACTCCTGCTTATTATTCCCACTTTTCTGAGACAACACAGTTGCTCCTCCATGTGTCCAGTAAGCACACTCCTTTCGAATGTCTCTTCCCTGAAATGAGAACCACCAGACATACTTTTAACTTTTCAGTGTGAGCAGGGAGATGTGGAGGGGAAAATGCATTTTGAACAGATGTATTCAGGACTTACATTTCTGACATCAACTTGTCTTGCACAGTCAATCAGTTCTTCACCGTTTTCTTGCTTACATACAAGACAGTCAATCCAGGGCTTTATAAAAGGAATGACACAGTACAGTATTATAATATTCATAGTAGTTGTATATTCAAAGTGCAAGTATTATAGTATTTGCAGTTAATGATTTTGTACCAAAATATCCAAAAACACAGTCTGTTTACACACTGATTAATTAAGCATGTGAATAACGTGAACTTTGACTAACCAGTGTTCAGGGTTTAAAGGACATTCTCGTCTAAAAGTAGCATATTAAAATATGTTATTTGTCATTTTATCTGATATTCTGTTGTGCAACAGTCCTAATCAGTTTGACATAATTCAAGATTTTGCGTCCATCAGCAGCCCACACCCAAAAAATCTGCCCCAAAGCAGTTGTAGTTTTTCAAAAGTTCCTCTCACCTTCATGATACATCATCAGAAGGGACTTTTTCTAGTCTTTAAACTAAAAGAATTCATTCTCAAGGCTATTGTGGCACGACTGTAGTATGTGACTAAGCATGTTTACAACAGACAAACTTAAATTTGTCATTTTGGCCAAAGTGCCCCTTTAAGGGGGACAGAAATGATTAAATTTTGCATACACACCGTTTTAGGTTTTTGTGTAATACAGTCATCTCGATGTCCAAATCCTTTATGTGGTTCCTTCTTGCATGTAGTGACTATCAGTCGCACATTTACATACAAGTTATTGTCTGTAATCTGTGGAAAAAGGAGTACAGGCGTATAAGTGTATAAGTGAGCCTCACAGACACACACACATTATCTAAGCTGCTTATCCTCCTGGGTTGTGGGGGTGCTGGAGCCCATCCCAGCAGTCACTGGGCAAAAGGCAGGAAACACCCTGGACAGGTTAAGTGAGCCACATTACACCACAAATACATAAAACAGCAAAGGGCTGGTAAACCAACAAACCACATTATTATCATTACATCAACCTTATCAATTACTGTAGTGATGAACTTATTACAAGGTGCTGTTATCATTCTGACTGACTCGAGTATGTTAATAGTAAATGTTATAATAACAGTTTTCTGCATGTTAACCTTGCAATAATATTCAAAATCACACATCAGCAAAAAATAAGAAAAATATTATATTTAATATTATATCCTATGCCCTATATTCATTCATAGGGCATAAGCTGTTAGAACTCGAGCTGAGAAATTAATTTAAGCTCATTCTATTACATTTACTTTAACAATGTATCACAATGTTTCATGCTTGCTTAGTTTACTCCCTAAAAACAGACCTAAAGCAAGTGTACAGGTGTAAAAACTATTAACTATACATTTCAGCAAGTTAGTTGTTCCACTTTTTAGGCTACACAATCATAACAGCAACAGAAAAAGACAAACACACAAATAACAACACTTACTTTCAGGGGGAGCAAGAGCTTTTCATAGGCAACATGATGAGGACCCCCAAATCTTTCATTGGCCTCACGCAGTGCCTTGTCAATGTGTGTTCTGTATGATTCAGGCAAGCTCTCGTAGTTATCCCATTCCTGAGCAGAAACCAGCAGAGTCATTGCCGTCAGCAGCAGCAACTTCAGTACAGCGCTCATCTTGTTCATTATGTGCTCTGAGTGTTTACTGATGTCTGAACTCAGAGAATCACTCAGTCAACAAAACGCAAACCATGCGAACACACGCAGCCAACGGCAGGCTCTCCTGCTCATAACACCACAGTAAGCTGTAGTGATGACGATTTTGGCTCTTTTTAGTGAGTCGTATGAATCGACTCAGCTCACAAATCAGAGTCGACTCTTTCGGCTCCCAAGTGACTCTTCACTCTGTAGCACTGTTCTAGTTTTTTGCTCCCATAATACGCTGCGTCAGCCATATTGTCATTGAACATTAAATAAAAATAATTTTCAAAAAATGTTTCTTCAAGGGTTCTTTAGTAAAAAGAATGGTTCTATTAAGAATCATGAGATCTATATGGAACCATTTCATCCTTAAATGTTTCTCTGCATGGTGAAGTGGTTCTTCAGACAGATGGAGGATGTGTTGTATATGGTGCTATACAGAGCCTTTTTGAAAAAAAAAACTTCTATAGTTACAAGCTTGACATTGTAACAATAACAGAACCCATTTTGTGCTATATGGAACCATATTCAACACATTCTCTGAAGAACCATTTCACGTTGCAAAGAACCATTTGAGCATGAAATTGTTCTATATTGAACTCAAGGTTCTACAGAAACATTTTCTTCACTAGAACTCTTGAGAACCATCTTTTTAAAAAAGTTTTTGTTTAATTAAACTGCATTACATGTGCTATTTACAAAAACTGAATTAAGCCACATGAGAGGCAGTGATCACAAGACAGGCAAAATGCAGGCAAATCCATCAGACAGGCATCAACAAAGACAGGTAAAATAAAAAAATCTGAAGAACTAAAGAGGCACTCTTGGGCACACGCCTAAGAATCACATGAAAATCAGAATTACTAAATCAGACAAACTAACACAACAAGCACCAAGTTTGGGGATAATGAGATAATGAGGGGATGGAGGTGGAATGTCCCAAGAAGATTTGTGTCAAAGAACATTGTGTGAGGGGATGAATCCGATAATCGAGAGCTTGGTGAAAGAGTATTCAAAGAGAACTCCGTCAAAACTTTGTGAAGGATGTGTCTTCCGAGGATGTAAGTGAATTATCTGCTACTGTCATCATATCGTCATTAGTGTAACATTGATTTCGCATTTGAGACTTGAATATCGAGCCATACTTTCTTTTTGAGGCTGAGCTTGTGAGGTTAATATGTAGGGTCATATGATGTGGTCTGAAAAAACCCCTGTGAAATCCAACTTGACCCCTCTGACTTTTTAAATGATCATTTCAGGCTTTACAGAGCGACTTGTAGTAGCGCAGACACACCATATTTTAGCCTATTTTTTGTCCAGACTCTCCTTCTTACAATTTAAACAAAAAATCTTATGTAGTGCAGATTTAACTAGCAGAAACATTTTCACCAAATGTCCACCTTCTTAGAGGACATTTTTATAACTATCTCAACATTTTAATGACACGTTATTTATGATATCTACATTTCCAAGGAGACTTTCCTATAGGACCAAGAGAGTCCTAAGATTGTGCCTTACAGTAATCTACATGAATGCAGTGAATTCACATAATATGTTGTCTTGTTATCGTTCTGTGAAATATCATTTATTTTCATAATAAAAATACATATTGACAGAATTTGTTTCCAGTCTTTTAAATGTTCCTCCACTCCTGTCTCTGCAAATTACAACAAACCTATGCATAATGTTTGGTAATATCATTGAATCAGGATGAAAACTGTTCATGTAACTGGTGAACCACAAGTTAACAGGATGGACAATCCATGATGGTCACAAACTAGAGGCATGTAATTAATATAAAATATTTCCCATGTCTGTGAACCTGGATCAAACAAACATGCTTGAAGCTTGGAGGCAAAGAATTGACATTTGAGGGACCAGAGTCATTTTCAGCTTTTTTACATTTTGTTCCTGTTTTAGATTTTTTTTACTTATTTTTACTCTAAGAAGTCATGTGTGCCAAAATTACAATAACACAAACAAAAAAGAAAAGGCACTTTTTATTGAAATTGTTGAAATACCATTTTTAGTAACTGCAAGAAAAGTTTGGGTCATAAATTAAAATTTTGAATGAATAAATTTATTTATAGAAATTTTTTTTCTGTTCTTTGACTCAAGGCTTTCACTAAACAGGCTCAGCTGTCCTCCCTGTGGGTCTGTTGAAGCACAATGAGGGTTTTACTTCTGCTACCTCACAAGCTATTGAACACCATGGTTAACTAATTATTTGGAAAATAATGTGTTTATGTCTAAAATAAAAGTTTTAAAATAAGTCACAAACATTTGCTCAAAATGGATAACTGAATCCAATAATTATTTGCTACGTGTTTAAACACATTATTTGCTATAACATGAAAATGTAATTTTGATTTTAATGATTATTCTCATCATTGTGTTAGCTATTTTAAAGCATACATGAAGCCAGACAGCCAGAATAAACTTAAAATTTTCTTTTATTGAAAGCAATTCGCCCCAAATGTATGAATGATTTTCATATGTAGATTTGAACCATATGTCTATAAGTAGCTGATTTTATACAATCATCACTACATTTTCTACTTCAATTACAGCTGTAATTTGTGTGTTTCCAGGACCATACATGCAGCTTCAGGGGTCTCAAAGTCAAACGCATCCAGGACATCCAATCCGCGGCTCATCATTCTCACCTTTCTGAAACATTATTGATTCACCTCCAGTGAAGTAACCTGAACACTTTTTTCGAATGGCTGCGCTCTGAAATAAGATCAATTAGACATATTTTTACTTTTCAGTAGTCAACAACAATGGGTTACACGTTTAGTCTGGTAGTTATATATATTCCAATATATACTGCAGCTACTGTTTATGACTAGTAGTATTTGTATTATTTATGGGTAAATTCAGAACTTACATTCTCAGCATCCATTTGTCTCACACAGTCAATTAGTTCTTCACCATTTTTTGGCTTACACACGACACAGTCAATCCAGGGCTTTAAAAAAGAAATGAGAAAGTTTGTGTTAGTAAGTGATTTGTAGTGCTTAGCTTTTTCCCTCACATATTCAGAAACACAATCTGTTTACACACTGATTAATAAGTAAGTAGCAGAAAATGGACCTTGGCTGGCCAATGTTTAGTACAAAATCATTTAACTTTGCATTCAGCCAGTAAAGATATCATACACACCGTTTTAGGTTTTTTTGTAACACACTCTTTTCTATGTCCAAATCCTTTCTGTTCATCCTTCCTGCATGTTGTGACCATCAGACGCACATTTACATAGACGTCATCTTTAATCTGTGAAAAAGTGTAAAAGTGTCCACATTAGTCTCCAAATAAAACAGTAAAATAAAGACATAACAGTAAACAACAAATCACATATTCATTACAAATCTTGTACCATGAGGAGAGGTTTGGAAATGGTTAAAGAAACACATTGATAGATAGAAAAATCACTATTTTTTGTATTAATGTTGTATTATATACATATTTTCCCCCAATATGTTAAACTCAGCCAAAAGAATATAAAGTGCACATAAGAATTTGCAGAACATTCTATATTTAGGTTCTTCTCTATTTCTAGATTTTATTAGAGCGCATGTTCTGTTTGGCAAACAAATGCCTGATCATTGAGGTTATGAATTTTTTGTGATGTTCACATTCTGATTACCGACTGTTGGTAACTGATCTGAATTCTGAAATCTGCAGCTGATTAACCATAAACATTCTGACATAAATAAGTAGACGTTTGCTCAACTTTACAGTTACATCAAATTATTTCAGCTGCAGAAAATAACAGAGAAAAAAAACACTTACTTTCAGGTTTGGCAAGAGGCTTTCATAGGCAACATGATAAGGACCCCCAAATTTTCTATTGGCATTGTATAGTGCCTTGTCGATGTGTGTTCTGTATAAATCAGGCAAGCTCTGGTAGTTATTCCATCCCTGAGCAGAAACCAGCAGAGTCACTGCCGCCAGCAGCAGCAGCTTCAGCACAGCACTCATCTTGCTTGTTGTGTGTGGATCACTGAGCTCTGAGTGTTTTCTGATCCCCTCTAATGTTTACACAAACTACTTGGGAATCAGCAGTGAAGAGGGGGCCCTGCTGTCCCATCAGTTAGTTGGCAGCTCTCTTTAGCCTTCCTGGAACAGTGTTGGAAAAATGGAAAATGCTACTTTAACAATTATCTTGTTGCTGTACTTGCTACAAGAGCAAACAAATAAAAAAATGAAAACCCTTTGGCCTGAATGTCGGAAAAATATCCCCATTGACATTGATTTTCTTCACAGTTAGCTTCAGTGTTGTAAAGTTTTTAGGGGGGAAATGCAAGCAGACCAAACAATTTGACTTCCCCACTCAAAGCCTCCAGCACTCCATTATTACTCAGAGCTGTAGTGCTGCTATTTGAGACCCTTATGTTAATATCCTTACAAAAAAGATAACATACCACATAACAAGGATGAAAAGTCGAGCTGAGATTGAGAGAATAAGGAAAATTCATTGATAAGGAAGCTGAGAATTACTGAAAATACTGATATATTCAACAGTTCAGTCAGAAAAAACTTTAGCCACCTTTACTCACATCAATCTCTCATATACACAATATGGACAAAAGTATTGGGACAAACCTCTTAATCATTAAATTCAGGTATTTCATTCAGTCCTATTGCCACAGGTGTTTAAAATCAAGCACCTAGCCATGCAGTCTGCCTGTACAAACATTGGTGAAAGAATGGGTTATACACTGGGAGCTTCATCACCAAACACAATGCCAAGCGTCAGATGGAGTAGTGTAAAGCAGCCGCCACTGGACTCTGGAGCAGTGGAAAAGTATTCTGTGGAGTGACAAATGACGCCTCTCTATCTGGCAGTCTGATGGACGAGTCTGGGTTTGGCAAATGCCAGGAGAACATTACCTGCCTGACTGCATTGCCAACTCTAAAGTTTGGTGGAGGAGGGATAATGCTATGGTGTTGTTTTTTTTAGGGGTTGATCTAGGCCCCTTAGTTCCAGTGAAGAGAAATCTTAATGCTACAGGATACCAAGACATTTTGGGCAATTATATGCTTCCAAATTTGTGTGAACAGTTTGGGAAAGGCCCTTTTCTGTTCCAGCATGACTGTGCCCCAGTGCACAAAACAAGGTCCATAAATACATGGTTGGGTGAGTTTGGTGTGGAAGAACTTGACTGCTCTCTATATAGTGCACTACGTAGGAATTTAAATACGGATCCTGCACCCCAATGGTGCAAAAATAAGAAATAGTCATTTGGGACCGAGCCACATCCGTACTTGATAAAGGCTGTAGAGGCTAGAATTTCTAAACTTTCATAGCCAGCACACTATTAGGAGCACACTATTTAGGGAGTACAGAGCCATTTGGGAATCAGTTTGACGTGACGTCTGACTAAAACATGAACATGTGTAATCCATTCAAGTGACGTGTAGATTTATGCTGACATTTTACAGTGAAACATGTAGTAAGTACTTTAATTCAAGCTTGTGATATTAAGAATAGAGTGGTTTAGGCTGTTGGCTATCTTTTAGCCTGTTCGCTGACCAGCCTAGTTCTAGTTATGAACACAAGTTGCCGGTCCCTCAGTTTAAATAAAAAATGGTTTCTTACTTTATCAATATACTCGGTGGTCCATGTGAGCAGCATGAGAGTCAAAGATCATTCCAATAACAGCACAAGGATTTTTCGTGTTATGGCATAGTAATATACAATTCAGTTGCTGTTAGGCAGTCATAGGTGTGCGTATATTGTGGATTTTCGAATGGCTTTGAAAGCGACTCAGCCAATCAGATTTTAGGATCAGAACTATCCGTTTTATTATAAGGTTTATAACACACTATATATTCAACTCATCATTGCAACTTTTATGAAGTGATTGGTCAGCCTCCACTTTCAGTGCAAAGACAAATTTATTGGATCATTTTTATCTATAAAGCAATTATTAGTAAGCTTCCTTTTTTCCTATGTGTCTGCATTCTTATCAACAAATAACAACAGATTTTGACTCTGATTTGATTTTGTTGTCTGTGGTAGCGTGTCCTTTCTTTGTGGATTGTCTTTTTGGTTGTTGTGTGCTGCCTTCTTGGCCAGGGCTCACTTGGAGATTTTTAATCTCAATGTGAATATCCTGGTTAAACAAAGGAAAAAAAATGCCATCTTGTATCTGTGTATAGCTCTTGGAGTCTTATTTTGTAAATGCCAGTTGCAGAAGTTGCGTACTGTACCTCTAAAAAGTGCCTTACTTTTCATTTCTTCACAGCTGGCATGCACTGTAACACAGCTCTATAACAAGAAAGCTGAGCTTGTTTTTAATAAATATTGTTTATTGCTTTAACTTTCTTGATTGTTTTAACATTTCTATCCAAATGTACATGGAACAAGACAGGACAAAACATTGTATCTTCAAAAAGATAACTTTACAGGAGAGGGAAAAACCTCCCTAACTTTGAATGGAAGTTAACAGAACAAGATTTTTCCCAAGTAATCTTGGACCATTTGTATTGGTTCATCCATCATGAAATCTTAAGACAATGTAAAGGCCTGGAGCTTTTCAAAATTTGTAATACAAAAAAGATAAAATTGAAGATTGGAGGTTTTAACAGTGAAAATCTGTTATTTGTTATGAAAGTCATCTGTCTAAAGTGTTTTTTTATATGGTCATCAGTATATTTTCCATTTCATTCACTGTAATCTGTGGAAAAAAGTATAAGCGTATAAATGTATAAGTGAGCCACATTATGCCACAAATACAAAAATAGCAAAGTGTTGACAAATCAACAAACTATATTATTATCATTATATCAGCAGTTCTAACCTTATCAATCAATGTAGTTATGAACTTATTATAGCTAGTTATTGACACAGATGGTTATTGAAAGCGCGTTGAACATGCGCAGAGTGTTTTTTAACTGCTCATTTGGTTAGATGAGCACTGACGGGCCAGCCCCAAGCTCACCAAACAAAGACTGCTAGGAAAAGTAGGTAGCCTACTGGCATTTACACAACAGGTACAGGAAGAGAATTGGAATGTATCAGACAGGCCTGCCACTTTCATATGTAATAAACATGCAACAATGTCAGTTACAAAGAAAAAATGTATATATTAGATGTTATACTGAATTATTGATCATGTCGTGCACTGCTCCACAGAGACATCTGGTGGCACCACGCCGGCCCTTTATGTAGAGAATGAGACAACAAAAAGCAGTGTAAGAAAAAAGCAAAAAGCAGGCTCTCATTCTCTTTCCACCACAGTAAGTTGGCACAATTAATACTGTTGGGCTTTCTGGCTAATTAGCAAAACATTTGCATTATGTTTGTTATGAAATCACATTTAAGTAATTTATTTAACAAATTTTACAAACGACAGATCCCTGATAGCAAGAGGATAGCGGGCCACTGCTGGCCCACTGAGGGCAAAGCTAGCGATTGCCACCAGGCTGCCCTAGCTTTTTGCTCATTGTTTTCAGAGTGGTCCACTTAAACAGAGTTTTTCTGTGTCAGATTTAGATTTCACCCACTTTTACAGTAAGAAGGCATGTGTAACAAAAGTACAGTAAAACAAACAACAGAGAAATGGCGCTTTGAATTATTGTTTCTTGAAACTGCTGCAATAACATTTTCAGTGACTGCAAGAAAGTTCATTTATAAATCACATACGCCCAACACTGTAGGAGTTTTACCTCATCTTTTACTCATTGTCACTAAAAATGCTCAGCTGCCCCTCTTTGAGGGCCTGTAGAAGCACACTTTTACTTCTGGTGCCTGACGAGCTGTTCAACACCACAGTTAGCAATATATTTGGAAAAGAATGTGTTCATGTCCAAGCATCTGTTTGTGCTGAGAGACCCAGTTAAATCAAAAGTTATCATTCTTCATAACAAGAAATGTAGATTTGTTTTAATCATTATTCTTTCTATTGTGTTAGCTATTTTAAAAATAGAGTAAATTGAATCAGACAACTTAAAATTTAAGTGTCCTTTTATTGAAAACCACACAAGTAGGTTTCAACCACACGTCTAAAGTAACTTATTTTATACAGTCATCTCTACATTTTCTGCTTCATTCACAGTTGAAATTAGTGTCATTCCATGTTCAAGTGTGCAGCTTCAGAGGTCTCAAAGTCAGAGACATCCAGGACATCCAGTTTGCAGCTCATTATTCTCAGTTTTCTAAGGCATTCCAGATCCATGTCCACGGATGTAACCAGATCAATCAGACATATTTTTACTTTTCAGTAGTCAACAACAATGGGTTATACGTTTATTCCGGTAGTTATATGTATTCCAATATATACTGTAGCTACTGTTCATTACCAGTAGGACGTGCATTGTGTACAGATAAATTCAGAACTTACTTTCTTGACATCCGTTTGTTTTGCACAGTCAATTAGTTTTTCACCATTTTGGGGTTTACACACAAGACAGTCAGTCCAGGGCTTTATAAAATAAATGAGAAAATGTGTGTTAGTAAGTGATTTGTAGTGTCTGTCCTTTTTCTCATCTCAACATGTTCAGAAACACAGTCTGTTTACTCAGAAAATGGACCTTGGCTAGTCAATGTTTAGTACGTGATCATTTGACTTTGCATTCAGCCAGTAAAGATATCATACACACCATTGATGTCCAAAACCTTTCTGTTCATCCTTCCTGCATGTGGTGACCATCAGACGCACATTTACATATAAGTCATCATCTGCAATCTGTGAAAAAGCATAAAAGTGTCCAAAATAAAGACATAACAGTACACATATCACATAATCTACTGCTCTCTCTCTCTCTCTCTCTCTCTCTCTCTCTCTCTCTCTCTCTCTCTATATATATATATATATATATATATATATACACACACACACAATGCCAAACCACATTCTGCGTGTATTACGGTAGTATTTCTCCTTATTAAAAGAGTCTAGGTGCTAAACTGGCCTGCCTGCAGTCCAGCCCTGTCACCCACTGAAAATATTTGGCACATTATAAAATGAAAAATACCACAAAGGAGACCCCGAACTGTTGAGCAGCTGAAATCCTATATCAAAGAAGAACGGGAA